GGACCTGAGTTGTGCAGCCGTTGCATTGATGTGAAACCAGTTACACGTCAGCAGGCGCACACCTCGGCTTCATTGCCGTCTAGAGGTAAAATCTAAACACTAAAACGACATAAACCTAAACACTTTGGAGACTCTAGATCATGATTAACATACAACTGTTCATCAGATCGATCTTCGGCCCCATGGCGCCCTCATGTGGAGAGTAAAGGGCCATGCATGTTTCACCACACCAAATTACTGTATTAATCCCAATGCAACCTGAAAATGCAGATTTGTTTATACATCAATGTCCATAATAAGATTTATAAAAATGTTGAAATTAGTTAGTAGAATTTTGGTAGAATTTTTTTAAACTCCAGAATATATGGATATGCATATATGGTGTTTGAGGTTTCAAATCGAAAAGTTATCCTACTAAACCGATTTAACTACCTCGTGACAAAAACCCTCCTTCCTCTAAGAGAGTGGAAAACCACAATATTTTGACATTCACAGGTTAGTTGGATCCCCAAAACAAGCCGATGCCCCATCGCCTTAGAGCTCATTTTGATCAGATGGACCACCAGCTGATATGTTGACAAAGGCCAAGAGGCCAAATTGGTTCTTGTGCAAATCTCACTGAATGACGTGCGGGCAATTTTGATCAAATAATAACAACCATAATGAAATGAACTCAAGTACTTTTCAAATATCAGTTTGCAAACTCTACTCTGTAAATCCAAAAATGGGATTGCACCCAAAGTTTTTCAATTACACGCATCACGTTGCAAGCGAAAGACACCTCCAGCAAGGAACAAACCTGGAGAACGTCCACACACACACACACACACACACACACACACACACACACACACGTATCCAGGCAAAACATGTCAGACAGAACCAAACTCAAATCTAGGCCAATCGCATTACACCCAGTGCCACTGCGCCAAACACCAAAAGTCAAGAGTTGTGCCTCCTACTCAAATCCTCCACAACTGTGAAGCAACTGTTACAGCTGTTATGTCATTATAGACAAAGTGAGGTCATCGGGTGCTCTAAGGCTGACTGCTGTGAGTCATATATATCACCTCCGTGGTTCTAAACAGCCACACACGTTCTATGTGCCTATGTGTGCCCATTCAAAGGACATGCATGACATGGGAAAGGAAACATGTCAGTCATGTCCCTGAGGTGAGCCGAGCAGAGATATACTTCCATAAACGTGTCTACTGATTCAAATTAGAACAGACAGCCAACGCACAGCGATGCTTCACCTGAGTAATTAAGTGCTTAATGCATCATTTAATCCTGATCACCACTCAAAAGTGTGTGTGTGTGTGTGTGTGTGTGTGTGTGTGTGTGTGCGTGCGTGCGTGTGTGTGCATGTGTTTCAAAGTTATGTTGGTACTGAAGTGACAGTTGAGTCCAAGTGATTCAATGTTTTTCACAGTGTTACCTCACCAGAAGCTTCATTAAACAACATCTCCATGTTTCTTTATTGTGCACATATGTTCACGTTAAATGCCTTGTTATGGTGCCGCACAGGGCTGCACACTGAAAGCCAGCTATTGTCTTTTTATGCAAAGCAAAAACACTCGGAGCTTTAACATACACTAAGAGCATTCAACTACAAAAGAAGTAGACATAAACCACGTTTATTAGCATCATTCACACCTGATAGATTACATTTTTAAAAAGACAAAACAGTATTGCATAATTAAAAGTACTGTAATGTTTTATTTTGACTTGTGCGCTTGTTTTGTGAGTGATGTGCTGCTCTGCTGTGATCTGAACTGCATTCCTCTGTGTCTCTGTGTTTATTGCTTTCACTATTAGCGGTCTTGGTTAATCTGAACTCTAATCAGATCTGCCCATGTGCCTCCATACAGCCGGGCGTTTAAGACTCTCTCGCCGCGTTGCAGAGGCAACAGTGTGCGGGCATTTTAACTTACCGTTTTTTTTACGATGCTCTCGGGTGCTGTACAGGAAGTGGGCACGGCTGTTTAAAGATACAGCTATAAGTCCATGTGACGCAATTTGACGGAGCTAATCGCCCATTTGCAGCATGTACACATCCACTCTCTGCACAAGACAACCAAGCAAATGTGAAAATGGCACATAACTTATAATGCTGTCTTCTAACCCTTTTGACCTTTGTCCTGTCTTCTCATCCTTATTTCAAGGAGAGACCGCTGTCAGCCCTGCTTCTGCCACAATGTCAAATATGATTATTATATGGATATGTAATATGTCTGTGGACATATTCAAGGTTTCTAGACTTGCTTGTGTCGGACTAGAGGCATTTACTCCCATTAAATCAAAGACAAAATGCACTCAAAGAATATAGGCCTTCTCACTGGACATGTAACTCTCACAGTAGATTGAAATTGAACAAGTTTTATTACTTGATAGTTACAGTTAATCGAGCGGTTCCCAACCTGGAAATGTCACAAAATATATCTGAAGGGGGGTGTGACACAATTAACTTTTCTTAAATTAATTTTGAAAAGAGTTTTTAAAGGTTCATTTTTTTCTCAAAAATGTAATGCATTGTAAAAAAAAAGTATACAAGTATAGTACAAGTACCTCCAAAATTGTATTGGTGTACTTAATTCACTTTCCGCCACTGCAAAAGGAGACAGACGGTGTTTCAGTCTGTCAGTCAGCACAAACACATCCGTGTCTTCGTGGAGGTTTTCTGTGTGCATCTTCAGACAAACTCCAAGAGCACGAGAAACAGAGATGTGCAATACTGAGTGTTGCCAATCTATTTTCCCCTTTTAACACGCCGATATGATGCCGCCGCCCATCTAATGGCAGTAGGCTCACTAACCACATCATGAGTTTATAATAACCACATCACATCCATGGCGAATGAGGTGGAATGAAAATCTAACCCAATTTGGAGAGATACACGACTGTGTGAGTAGTAGGGTGTCCCCTGAGATGAGGCTCCGATTGAAGGAGCCGTATGCTGCACTGGTAGCATGCTCTGTGAGCGTGTAATGGTCTTAATTATCATTTAGCATGCCAGCCTCATTGATGATGTATCAAGCCAGTGATAAAATAGTAGAGCGCAAAGAGAGAGAGAGAGAGAGATATGAACATATCAACACTTAAAGGCACAGGCACTCACTAAACAGTGGTACTCATCCTTAAACGCACAGACACACACACACATACACACTCACTCACAGACAGAACAGCAAAGTTATACAGCATCATACCCAGAGGTGCAATTTGAGTGATACACACACACACGTTTCCATCCAGCTGAGTGACATCTCTCTCTCTGAATTAGTCACGATGAATGATGTGTAACCAGCCGTGACTCGTTCTGGCTGGGGAGATAGATAATTCACTTTGTTTAATTAGTCAAAAGTAGTAGAGCATGCTCTACCCCCCCAAACATACACTCTGGTTGTGCAGCGTCCACACGGCTGTGTGATCTCAGAGAGACAGTGATCACACCGGTGTAACATTTCACGGGGCAAGGCTCTGAATCTTATCTGCCACACTGAGGGATCTGTGACTCTTCCTGCTGCCCTTTGCCTGGTTGTACCTTGACAGAGATTTCAGACAACAATTTGGGGATCACAGCTCCAGAGCCGCATCTCGTGCGCAGGGGAACACCGGCTGGTACTCGGCTGAAAGTTTGTGCGATCAGGAGGCTGTTGGCTGAGTAACAAAACTTTGAGGTACAGTGATGAACAATTTTCCTTTCATGGCTTTTTTATGAGGTCCGGCTGCTTTCTGATGGACCTGTTCTGAGATGATTTACAGTGTGGTTTGAATTGGTTCATGATTAAAGTCAAATGCTCGTTGTTAGAAATAGTACTCCTAGTAAGTTGTATGTGAAGAACTATCATGCTGTGTAATAGATAGAGTAAGGACAACTATATTGTTAAATAATAGAATCTGCTACAATATATTGCATATATGCTACACTATAATATACTATCCTGTACTTGTTTGTATGTATAACTACAGTACCAGTCAAAGTCTCATTCAATTCTATGAGAAAGTGTGTTCAAACCTTCGACTGGTACTATATATGTATATATATACAGTATATATATGAATATATGCACACATATATATGTGCATGTACTACTACAATATTCTTCCCTTTTATTGTATAGGAAACTATACTTTGCTATGACAATTTGATACAACATAGTATAGTGGGCTGTACCTTCACAATATACAGCATTTATTTTGTACTACACTATATGTATTGTTATATATGCTGATATTGTAGACTACGGTATCGTACAATATTACTATTTGCTGAATACAATGCAAGCTGTAATTGCAATGGGATATAGAGCTTTGCATGAAATAAAACAGTAATTATTTTCCATCTATCGTATCAATCATAAGCCATAGATAATCGTGTAGCAGTGAACCATCAACGTTCAAAAGTTAATATCAGCCAGTTCCTCGTTGCCCTGCTCCACTTTGTTACCATGGAGAGCTCCAATACCCTAAAGACAATAGTAAGTGCGTGCACAGCATGCGGCAGAAAATAATAAATAGATTTATGCGCAATTGTCACATTTAATACATTTACGGAGCGCGCTAGTGAATTCATTATTACACCATATGCTAATGCAGCTGGGTCCCTGTATTTATGAGTCTGTGTGTGGGTGTGTGAGTCTCTCGCTCTCCTCCCCCTCCTCTCCCCCCCTCCTCTCCTTCTCGCGTGCGCATTGGGCTTTGAAGTGTAACCAACAACTGCTGTCTCGGAGTCAGCGCGGTGGCAGAATATGTGAGAGATGGGGCCGAACTCCGGCAGGTCCGAGCCGCGTGTCGTTCTCTCCGGGGCTCCGCGCGGCAGGTCGCTCTGAACTTGGCGCTGAGGACATCTGTCGGTGCACCGGGAAGCGACGCGCGGTCGGAGGACAACGAGGGTTCGCGGGCAAAACTACTTTGGACAGCAAACACGGCGCGGCGTCGATGGGAACGAGGCGATTAGTGTGAGGAGGGAAGGAGAGGAGGGGAGAGGAGGGGGGGAGACGGGGGGGAGGTCGCATACCGACAGCCGAGCGAGAGAAACGGGAAAATCTCTGCTCCTCATCTGCGGATCAATGGAAGCGGGGGCAACGTATGGACACGGCCGATGTCCACCGGGCCGGGCGGTCGATGCGTGATGGCAGGTCGGACATGCACGCTAAAACAGGTTGGTTTGGCCTCGTTAAAACTTCAGCGGGATCAGACGTGGGACGATTAGCGCGCGTTTAGGGGCTGAAGATCAACCGAGTCACCGTCGCTTAACAGCGGCGCGCCTGGAGGTGCCAGCTGGTTTATTATGGGAATCCGCGCTCCACCATTCACCGGACTTTTACTGGATTTCGAGGGTCGTCCTTATCGCTGCATCTGGTGGAAGGTCGTCCACTATTACGGATCCGGATATCCTTCAGATCTGTGTGTGTGTGTGTGTGTGTGTGTGTGTGTGTGTGTGTGTGTGTGTGTGTGTGTGTGTGTGTGTACGCGTGTGTAAAAATTGTGCTTTCTAGTTTTCTTGTTCGCCAAACGAACTGTGAATAACTGGAGCGGCTCTGCTTCGCACTCTAGACGCTCAATGGGGTTTTCTGAGATGCTTCCTTCTGTATGCATTTATTTCCTGAAGAAAACCAAAATCTACTTTAGATAATATATATTTATCTTGTAACATAATAGGAGGACACCGCAAACTCACTGCTGACTTCCATGGAGATACTATCAGGATGATGAGGGATTTTCCTTCATTTCTAGGTATCTCATACACTATTTGATTTGAAGCAATCTGCTCTCTGTTAGTGTAATACCCCAGATGGACGCCCTGTGTAATGGAGCCAAGAAACCCGAGGGCTGCGATCCCCTTGTAGACCCCCGGCCGCCTCCTGCCAAGCTGGCTCGACTGGAACAAAACGGAGCGGGACCCTCGACCCAGGAGAGGAGCAGTCAGGGGAGTCCTGTGGCCAAAAACCCCAGTCTGGCCCAGAAGCCCCCCGCAGCGAGGCCACAGAGCAAGAGCTTGCACAGCAAAGGTACGATGGGCTGAAACGTTGTTATGTCACACTGTTGTCATTGTGGCTCCCACACGTCCGATAGCATGTCCTTACTGTCACCTCAGCGAGCCTGCTGCCCGTGTTCTGTGTGGTGGAGCACAAGGAAAGTCCCCCGGAGAGAGAGAGGAGAGAAGAACACGCAGAGTTCGTGTTGGTCAAGAGAGACCTGCTGTTTAACCAGCTGATAGAGATGGCCCTGCTGACACTGGGCTACTCACACAGCTCTGCTGCACAGGCCAAAGGTACGCGACACACATCGGGGCACGGAGGGTCAATATGGAGTCGCCTCTTTTTGTTCGCAGCTTTCACGTTTGTGTTCAGGTCTCATCCAGGTGGGCAAGTGGAACCCCGTGCCTCTGTCCTGCGTAACCGACGCTCCAGATGCCACGGTGGCTGACATGCTGCAGGATGTTCACCACGTCATCACCCTTAAAATACAGCTGCGCAGGTAGGAGACCGACATCACATCCATAAATATGTCTCTATGTTCACTCTATGTGTGTCCGAATGTGAGGTGCATGCTGGGAAGACTCACCATCTCTGATTTTTTTATCAATAAAAGAAAACCACCAAAGGGAATGGACCAAATCAGACCCAGCAGGGAATAATTAAGCTTATATTCTTTCTTAATGCCATTAGTTTAATGAGTGATTTCATTTGCTTATTGCAATGAATATGCATGAGGATTTTGTTGGTGTGTGACATCAAAAATGATTTCCTTGCGCTACTTTTCAAAATAATCAGTTTCCCTAGAACATAGACTGACATAATATATAGTTGTGCAAATGTTATTGTGTCTTGTGTCATATATCTTTAAGAAATAGGGCAGTGCATCATATTTATTGTAAGATACAAAAGATACTGTGATAAAAGCCTACAGGTGTCACTAATAACATTTACGATGGAAGCTGCTAAATTGAATTCGGACATCATTAATTTTATTATTGACACCTGAGACTGTGCTTTTCCTACTGTGACATTTCTACGTGTCTTCCATTAAAACATTAAAACAGGCTTTTTTAAAGGGGAATGTGGCATCATGAATGTTTTCCTTACGCTCGTGTGAGTTTATTTATAGAATGTATTAAGTGCTCCAGGTTCCCTCCACAGCCCCAAACTTTACTGCAAACATAGTTATGAGCAAGGAAAGACGTGCGCGGGAAGTTCTGTTTATCTGTCACAAGTATTATAGTGAGCCTTTGAAAAACGTTTTCTGCAGGGTTCCGTGCCTGGTAACCAGTTTTATTATTATATTGTGTTGTGATCAATTTATTAAAAGTTCTCAGCGCGTCCGAGATGATATTGTGGATAAGTTATAGCCATAGACTCTCTTTTAAATCATACTTCCACAGGGAGGAACATGTCCGTCCTACCATATCGTTCCTCACTCGTCTGATTCAAAATGTAATTTATTGTTTTTAAAGCTCAGACCATTGCTGGTAATAACATGGTATTGTCAATTGTGACTTCCTCCAACTCTATGGAGGTTTAAGATGGAGTTACGGCACTGCCTCCTTTAATATATTAAACTTATGCAATTCAAGTGTTTTTAATTTGCTCTTTGTCTAGCTGTCCCAAATTGGAGGACTTGCCTCCTGAGCAGTGGAGTCACTCCACAGTGAGAAACGCTCTGAAGGAGCTCCTCAAGGACATGAACCAGAGCTCCCTGGCCAAGGAGTGCCCCCTTTCTCAGGTACAATACACACACACACACACACACACACACACACACACACAGACACACACTTAGAGCACGTATACAAGGAGCAACATGAAGAGAAATTGGAATGAAGTTAAAAGTGTGCACGTAGCGTTTGGCGCACGATGCAGAGCCCGTGTGTGGTCCATGAGTTAGACGGGATGTCCAGATGCAGAGGAAGATAAGGTGCGCGAGCAGAGCCAGCGAAAGAAACAGATAAAAAAGAGATGGCTATCTATTAAAGAGCCTTCCCGCATGGGTAACTGTCAATCTAGATTATTTTCAACCGCCAACCTGTCACTCTATTGGTCTGCCAGCCTCACCTGCCGTCTTTCTCTCTCTTACTTTATTTATCTACCCCTCTTTGGTCTTAGCTTTTTCTGCATTCTTGACTGATTCAGCAATAACATCTTTTCAAGATCTCAATCGTTTAGTCAAGCAAACACAGACACACCCGCAGAAATAATTTCACATTAATCATGCAGTATTTGGCGTTGGCCATTGTATGAATATTCATAATTCTCAACTTAATCTATCGGTTATTTTGCCGGAGGGACATCTACAAATTTCTAACCAACTCTCTTGTCTTTAGATTCCTTCCTTCTCTGCAGATCTGATACTAGCCAATCCTCCCTCCCTCCCATCTCTCCCTCTTTCCCCTCTGTCCTATCACTCCTTTTGACCCCCTGCCTTGTTTGCGAGAAGATGAAAGCACTTATCGGATGTAGAGATTGCACGGGACAGTCTTGGAGGAAAAACTATGTGTGTGTGTGTGTGTGTGTGTGTGTGTGTGTGTGTGTGTGTGTGTGTGTGTGACAGAGGCAGACACAGAACAGCGTCTGATGACCTCTAGTGTTTTGTTTGTTTGCACACACACACACACACACAGAGGAATGCATGCATGCTCACACACATGTGCGCACAACAGAGCTCACAAACCGACGCACTCATCTGTCTTTATTATCCTATTTACCTGGGGGTCTTTTTAATAACACTGATCTGAGTTCATTAATATCAGATGTGTGAACAGCTGAGACACCCGGGCCGCCCGTAGCAGGAGATCGGAAAATGTAATGAATTTCTATTGTTTTTTTTCCCCTCTGTTTCAGAGTATGATATCATCTATTGTAAATAGCACTTACTATGCAAACGTCTCAGCTGCCAAGTGTCACGAGTTTGGTCGGTGGTACAAGCACTTCAAGAAGACCAAATGCTACAAGGGTGAGTGCTTTCAAATCCAGTCTGCAAACACGAAGTGTGTCTAATAAGTCTTACAGCACGTCCCAAAGCCACACACTAATTATGCAGTGTAATCCTGATGGTGACCTGTTTTAGCTGTTAGCAGACAAGATGTTTCCAGGGTTGTCTCACCACCACCTACAATGTATTTAAAAGAATTCCAGCTGTGGAGTTTAATTTGAGGATTTCCTGGTGGCGATTTGAGTGTACTTCTTTGTCGCACTTGTCCAACGCCACTGACAATAAGCATCTAGTGCGTGTGGCGTGTTAATAATTCAAGCATCTGTCCTTGCTTTCCTTTTCCTGCACCAGAGATTGACAGCGCCTCTGACCAGTCCACACACATCACGCTCACCCAGCAGTTCATCCCGAGCAGCCCGGCCGATCAAAGCTCAACCCTCTTTTTTACTCACGGCGAAGTGTCCAACATATGCGGCCGTTCCCCCCTCGGCCTGCGCCCTCCCGGGTTGGTAACGCAGCCTCTCAGCCCCCAAATGGTCAACCAGCAGCTGGCGATGGCCCAGTTCCTCAACCAGCAGTACGCTGTTAGCCGCATGCTAGCTGGCCAGGGTCTCTCGGCCTCCACGCAGCAGTATCTCAACCACCCGCCTGTAGGAAGGGCACCCCCCACCGCCATGGTCTTCTCCAAGGCCCCTGATTCCCAAGCCCCGCAGCAGGCGCAGTGCGGCCCGGGGGGAGGCGCTGCGGCCGGGCCGCAGACCCAGACGTCGGCTGGGTCTTCTGCGGGGCCGACGGACGTGCCAAGCGACATCTACCACTGTGTGAGGGAGGAACTGAAGAGGGCCGGCATCTCCCAAGCCATCTTTGCCCGGGTGGCGTTTAACAGGACCCAGGTATGTGAGGAAAGAGGGGTGGGAGGGGGTCTGTAATCCGTGTGAGATGTGTTGAAAGTCAGAAAAGGTTGCAACTGTTTGCTGGTGATTATCTTTTGGAAGCGTTTCCTGGTGATGAGTTTTGTGGCTGTGTGTGTGTGTGTGTGTGTGTGTGTGTGTGTGTGTGAATATGCGTGTTTGATGGTTGGCACATTGGCATGGCCTTTGCCGCAGTTCCCCCTCCCCCCGTGCATGTGTGTGTCTGTGTGTGTGTGTGTGTGTGTGTGTGTGTGTGTGTGTGTTTGTGCCAGCCCTCTGCAGCACAAAGCTGGTGCCAGCACTGAAGCAGCTGCTGGGCCAACTAATCACAAGCCCTTGGAGAGAAGCTGTCTCGCTCTCTCCCTTTTCTTTCTTCGTCTTACTGTTCCTCCATCTTGACACCTTTCGCTCCGGCAGCCCCTCTCATCTATTTAATATCTACCTCTGGTTGTAGATCCATCTCACTTTTTTGAGTCGTTCCTGTTTTCCCTCCATTGGTCTCCCTTCCTTTTGCATCCACATCTCCCTCTGCCATCGCCCCGAACACTAAAACACCACATTATCTGTGTCCATCATCTTACATTCACCACCACACCCGCGCTCAGAGGACAGGCCCATTGTTATTATTATTATTACCGTCATTATCATTTTCATCACAATGGGGCGCAGCTAGTTATTATCCACCCCCATATTTCCCCATTGCCAAGTCCAAGGTGCTTCGGTGCCAGCCGTACAAGTTGGGCGTGATGCCAAGATGCCGTATAGAAGTGAGGGGAGCATTTATCATTTGTCATTTCGAGTAAAGCCACCATCCATTTTGGAAGGGCGGGTTTGCTGGATGGATCCAAAGATGATCCATGATTTGAATAAGAAGGCAGTTTCTCCCCTTTTCATTTCGCTGCGAGCGTGAAATCTGATTTATTTCCAGAAAGGAAGTCCCACAATCCGCGTGTGATGTTTGAGGGGCTTTTGTCTATGCACAGATACACCCAGAATAACGCCAGCTCTACGGGCGGGTGACTGGCTCTGCGTCATCTGTGGAACACTAAACCGCGGGAACTTGATAGCGCTGTTCTTTGAATGAGATCCAGAGTTGGATATGAGGAGCTTTAGCAAAATTCCTTCAGGCACATGGGAAACTTTGTAATTGCCATCTTTGCCTGTAAATGATGGGAAGATCCAAATCTCACAGCAAGAATTGTTTTTATTTGGAAGAACAGCAAAGGAATAAACGATAGCTGTTTTGTGATTTTCCCAATCCTTTTTCGTAAGATACTGATAAGGAAATATCTTGTGTGTTTGTATGTGACTTTGCCAGGGATTGCTGTCAGAGATTCTGCGAAAGGAGGAGGACCCTAAACACGCCTCCCAGTCGCTGCTGGTCAACCTGCGGGCCATGTACAGCTTCCTGCAGCTGCCCGAGGGGGAGAGGGAGCGCATTTACCTGGAGGAGAAAGACAGAAGCCTGACTGGATTCACTCCAAGCTGCAATAACACCCCACCGAGATCCACACAGGTCAGCCAGCCAAAGAGCCACTGTGCCACGGGCAAATGTTTTAACTGTCGCTGAAATTTGGAAGAGGAGAGACCTGTTTTGTGAAAAACATGGACTGCTATGAAAGAAAGCAGAGTTAACTGAGTTATAATCCAGATCATAAATCTGAAACTAGCTCGGCTTTACGCTCCTGAATCTTCTAATAACTAATTTTGTATAAATCATTTTACCTGTATAGAGAACCGTAAATTCAAATTAGTCACTAGGTTAATGGTAGTGGGATAAATATTGTACTAATATAGCAAAGAAAGGGATGAAACTCACTGAATGTAACAGACAAGTAAAGGAAACTGATTATACAGCGTCATATTATGGAGTCATTGTGAAGAAATTCACAGCAGCATGAGGTAGAAAGCAAAGATATGCTTCAACAACAAATTATATTTTGCCAAGAAACTTGGTAAATACATTTCTTGCTCCCTCCCCTAGCTAATAATACCATCAGCAGGCCAGAGCTTGCTTTGCTTTTTAATCCAAGTTGTCCAAAACTAATGCATTTTTTATCAGCCTGATTAATATCAGCATGGGAAGATTTCCACTGTGTGCACGTTAACTTATCATGAAAGACCTTTAAAGTACAGCTTCACAGAGCAGCTTCTATGTTGTCTTTTCACGCAGAAAAGTGTTGCATTTCTCAGTTATTCTACCCCTTATTTTTCCAAAATGCAGTGCAGCAAAGATGACATGAACTGTATCAGCGTGTTCTCTTGCCGTGCCCTGCCTTCAATCTGCCTCCCTGTGCCCTGCACTGCTGACTCCCTCTGTTAACCTGGAGATGCTGACTGCCACATGTTTCCTTTAACTTACACACAGTCGCCGGCTGCTTCTCCTGCGAGGAGGAGCATTATATTGCAAAAGTATCATGCTGCCTCACCAGATCAAACACCCTTTTGCATAAGCACCCCTAGAGCAGCATTAAAGCCACCATTGCTCACCCGGCTTCCCCTGTTCACAGTACATCGTTGGGCAAAGTGCCCGGCCCAGCCGCCATCGTCCGCAATCCGCATTGGATTCATTTCCCTTTGCTGCAGATGCCCAGTACCAACACACTCACCGGGGCTCACTCGTCTTTCTGTCCCCTTGTATGCTCCTTTTCAGTCGAGACTGTCCCCAGTGACCGGAGACATGGGGGTGCGGGCGGACAGCTGCGTTCTCAATGTCAGCGCTTCCATCTACGAGGACATCCAGCACGAGATGAAGAGAGCCAAGGTGTCTCAGGCGCTGTTTGCAAAGGTGGCCGCCTCCAAGAGTCAGGTACCTGCTTGCTGGCTTGCTGGTGTGAGTCTGATGAACACGTTTAGTCTTAAACACACGTATTGCACCCAATTTGTTGTTCATTGTTTGAATGTAGCTTTGATGCATCGATCTCTCACCGAGGGATGAATGCGTGGAGGAAACCCAGATAATCAACCCAGCTGCTGTACTCTGCAGAGGACTATCATCGGCGCATCAGCCCACTATTGTGTCCCAAATTATCACAAAAACACGTGAACCAATACACACCACTTATGCACACAGACGTACTGCACGAGCACATGTACGCACACACAAAACCACACACACACACACACAGGCAAACAAATACGCTAATACACATACACACATGCATGGTTTGAGTGTTTATTGTTCTCATTTTTATGGCGGCCTCATAATCGTGTTATTGCCTTTTGTTTTGAGGATAATTTCGCTTCATGGAATGGGGGGATTTCAGCTGTCATATTTTCTTCTTCTTGCGTTTATCTCCAATTCTCCCTTTCGTTTTTTAATTTGTTTCTTTTTTTCTTTGTATCTTTTGTTCCTTCGTTGTTCCTTCTTCCCTTTTTTCCCCTCCTTCATATCCACTCGTCATAAGATGTTTGGAGGTCATGCAGTGGTCATGCCAGCATAGACAGGTGGTCCAAAACCCCTGAGGTTTTTTTTTTTCTCTATCTCTACGTTGGCCACCCTTCTTTACTTTACTTTGCTTATGTTCTCTTTACCTCTCTCTCTCTCTCTCTCTCTCTCTCTCTCTCTCTCTCTCTCTCTCTCTCTCGCTCTCTCTCTCTCGCTCTCTCTCGTTCTCGCTGTATTAGCCGGCTGCTTGGCAGGCAGAGCCATGCTGGATCTCTCTGTTCTATCTCCTCTGTGCATCTGGATGGCATTGTGTGCTAGACTTGGTCTCCAGCCAGGTGTGTGTGTGTGTGTGTGTGTGCGTGCGCTTGCTTATGTGTGAGTGTGTTTGTGTGCATATTTTTGTGTGCATATAAGCCTGCTTGCTAACTGAGTTATAATCCAGATCATAAATCTGAAACTAGCTCGGCTTTACGCTCCTGAATCTTCCACAAGTTTCTTCCCTTGTGAGGCACAAAATGTGAAAATATTCTAGCCAATAAAAGAAACCTTGCTTGGCTTTACAACATTAACTAATTTTGTATAAATCATTTTTCCTGTATAGAGAACCTTAAATTCAAATTAGTCACTAGGTAATGGTAGTGGGATTATGGGGGCGACATGGATCAAAGCTCATAAATGTAGATTATGTTGCGGTCAGGGTCACTATTTTAGCCTTTTACTCGAGGTCCTTATAGATAAGATAAAATTAGTTTATTTTTGGTGCCAAAGAAAGTATTTTGGTTGTGTATTCATAGTAAGTTTAGCTCAGCGTAATAAGTGGACAATCTTTACAATCAACCAACTGCCCCATTTGCACCCATAAACGTCTCAGGAGGCCTGATGTGTCTTTTCATCTGCGTTATAGTGTGTTATAAACCATTCATTTAAATAGAGTGTCAACCTTCCTCCTGCAGGGCTGGCTGTGTGAGCTGCTGCGTTGGAGGGAGGATCCCAACCCGGAGAACCGGACCCTGTGGGAGAATCTGTGCATGATCCGCCGGTTCCTCAGCTTGTCCCAGGCTGAACGAGACGCCATTTACGAACAGGAGAGCAGCAACACGACAGCACAGCAGCAGTGCGCTGACAGGCTTACACTGCTGAGCAATGACAACACACTGGTGAGGCTGAAAGATTAACAACAACCGTTGTGAGCTGGTAGATATTGCTCATCACCAATAGAAACGGCAGTAAAAGCAGAAAACTACACCTAATTTTCCCATCATCGTATTTCAGAAGGGAGGCTGTCCTCGTGTCTTTGTAAAGCTCCCTAAGAAATCAATTTAAGAGAACCGATCAAAAGATCTCTGGGGTGTCAGATGGAAAAGCGGCACGCTAAATGCCAAAAATGTCAGGCAAAACAGATGATTACCACGTTAAGCGATGATCCGTGAGGCTCATTTGTTTTCTTTACCTTCCATAGCTTGAGTATTGATTGAAGCACAGACTCACAGTTAATATTAAAAAATGTTTGGGAATGTACAGTATTTTATGAGGAATTGCATTATATTAATAGCGAGACAGAAAGGCTTCATGTGTGCTTGCTCACAGCAATTATTATTATTCAGAAAGAATGATTAAATAGCTTATATTTGTTTATCTTCATATCAGAAAAATATTTCCGTCTATGCTGACTTAAATTTACGTTCTCTACCATTAAAGTGAAAAACAATAACACACAATCAACATCAACACAATGGAAAATAGTTGAAAATATAAAATCCCCAAAAACAAATGCCGGGACAGCTTTTACTCTAATTACATCTAACATCTATTTCATGTCTCGCCAGTACCAACGCAGCTCTCCGCTGCCACAGCAACACCATTTTCAACCGCATCAACCCCTGCACCCGGAGGCAGGACCTCACCTGTCTCCACGGCAACCGTGTGCTGCGTCACCCGCCGAGTCTGAAGCGGGGAGCAACCGGGGCCAAGTGAGAGTACGTCTGCAAGGCCGGGCCTGCGATAACGGCCAGAGAGTGGACAGTAAGGACTGGGTCGAGGGGGGACAGGGAGAGAGGAGCAGTTTGGGAGGGGAATGGGGTTCTACTGGCAGCGTGAGGGACAAAGGTTCAGACAGCAAGGCGCACGTGAGGGACGGACGGCCGGGCAAAGAAGAGATTACCGAGATGATGGGAGAAGAGGAGAAGGAGAAGTCCATCATGAAGTGGTGCGGTGTGAAGGACGAGGACCGAGGCAGGCTCAGGGATCGTTCAGATGCAGATGACGAGGTCAAAGGTGCCGACGAGGTCCAAGACGAGGGGTTAAAAGTCTCCCGCGAGGCACTGGGGATCTTGCAGAGCTTCGTTCAGGACGTGGGCCTCGACCCAGACGAGGAAGCCGTGCACACCTTGTCGGCTCAGCTCGGCCTGCCCAAACACACCATCCGGAGGTTCTTCAACAGCCAGGATCACAACCGGCATCGACACCGCAGCCGGAGCCCAAAACTGGGTGGGGACAGGCGGCCCGCCGGCACGGACCCGAACCTCTCGCAGACGGACACAAGTGCAGAGGAACAGAAGGAGGGAGAAACAGAACGAGAGGCGGAACAAACAGTGAGAGATGAGACTAGCAACATTACCGTTTTGAAAGAATCTGACATTGGGACACAAACCGTCTGCCCGATGAAGGAAGAGCAGGAGAGCTTCATGTGACCCCCCCAGTCCATGCAGGGGCACGCGAGCACTGACTCAACCGCTGCAGAAAGACTAAAAGCCGTACTTGTATATGTTTATGCGACGGCTTCGTAGGACGCTGGTGAACATCACTGTGATGGTATGTCCATGATGATGTTGTAACACATTGTTTCCATGTACATAAATATGAACAAACAGTCTCAGAAGAGTAATTACAGTTGGTTGACTGATCTAAAGTTTGAGAAATGTTCACGCCAGAAATGCCTTGTGGAAAGGCGCACCGCCGATCGGTTTTCCTGTTTGTAAATTTTCCATTGTTTATGTTTTTTTCGTTGTGTTTTTCATCGTTCCTCATTTTGAATCGTTACCTTCAGGAATCTCACTGTTACTGTACCGCACGTTGTTTTTTTGTATTTATAACATTGTATTAAATATCAAGTACCCTGATTCTGTTTGAAAAGGAATGATCGTTGGATTTTAAGATCATACATATACAGTGTTTGGAATGAACCGTATAAAGGGCCTCCTCTGCATCTTTTACTGCAGCGCGCAATCAATCAATCGGTGAAGCATTGAGTTACCAAACATCCATAGAGTTTCTTCTACAAATGAGTCCACCTTTATTCCTATTTCTCAACTTTAATCGCAAAGATCTAATTTGCTCCAAAACACATTATAGTTTACATACAGTGTTTCTATTGATGCATGAATCTATAAATCCCTCGAGTAGCTTTGCTATTTCAGGGAGTGTTATGTTGACACATCTTGTGGTTTTCATATTGTACTGATTTAAAAGCTACTGATTTACATGCTACTCATTTATATGCTACTGATTTATATGATGTTGCAGAAGCACAAAGCGTGCTTTCAGGAGTGCACAATGTTTATTGTTCCTTGTTGAAGACGGATTGTGGACTGGAGGAAAATGACGGAAGCCGTGCAGTGTGTACGTGAAATGTTAAACGACAGGTATTTCATTTGTAAAAAAAAAAAGAAAAAGGCATTTCATAATTGTACTGTATGTTCATGACTTAAATATGTTAGAGTTACAAATGTTTATTTCACATACAATCTGTGCGAAATATATTAAAATGTTTGGAAATGTCCAGAAGCTTGGACGATCACGTTTAATCCAAAAAAAAGTGGAAACTTTTGTCACACGTGAAATCAATTCGTTATGATTTTTTTTTTTTTTAAATGTACTTTTAAAACCTCATGTGATAGAATCTGCAAGAACACAGGCTGAGATAGCTCGGAGGTATAGTGCTATTTTTGCTTTCTACTTCATGACCATGGTTGTTTAAGTAGCAAAATATCAGCGGACAACATTTAAACTTTAGAAATATTGGTATGGGTCGGCAACAAAGGGAATTGGATTTGGGACAGTGGATGAGATATAACATGCTATAAAGACTTCTTGAAACAATTAAATAAGAGATGAAGCTCATTTATCAGAATGCTATTTTAAGACAAGCAGAGGACTGAAGTTAAGGACCCATTAAGGATTAAACCAATGGTTCTGATGTCCACTGCCTGCACTCATGTTAGAGGATTAAATCTCCTCTTATAACTGTGTCTCTGTTGGTGAGCTGATGTCATTGTTCGGACAGTATTATTCTGTGCCGATCACCAGGGCTCTCTGTACAAGCGGAGCTGTGTCTCCTCAAGCACATGCCCCCCCCCCCTCATATCCTAAGTCGCTTTTCATTCTTATTTTATTTCATTTATTCCAACTGCTATTTCGATCGTAGTTTTCTTCTCCCCCTCTTCCCCAGACTCTCATCCGAGTCTCCCACACTAGACTCACACAGTGCAACGTTCAAGCCCCATTTGGTCAGAATAGCTTCAAAGAGTAATTCAATAAAGCTATGCTCTTTTTCTGTCAGCTGTTTCCATGACGATACCCAAGTCAGGGCCAGCAAGAGGCCATGAAAACCTCATTGTCAGCAATATTAGCTATAGTAATGATGATAATGGTGCTCTCGAAATGCCATCCGTGCCTGTTGTGATGATGATGGTGGCAATGATGGTCATTATGATTGCTTTGTGTTCACTCCCTCCACAACATAAACACACAAACACACACACAACAATGCACAAAGCCCATTAATGCCATTTAATGTCACTTCTATATTTTCACATGGATACTGTCGTTTGTACGACGCCCGTCCTGCTGCTTTTGTTTATCCCTGTTTTGTCTGTGGAAAGCACTTTGTGATACAGATAAAAAAACACTCTTACATACATTTGACTTGCCTGACCACAGAGGTTTCTGCAATTAGGTCCCCATCAAACCATCATGTTGCCCTCAACCTCATCTTTTAATTCTCCTTTAGGTTGAGGATATTGTAAATGCATCATGCACAGCTTCATACCCTGTATGTTTCTTAAAATGTAGCTTTGCTGCCACTATTTCATCATACACATTAATATTAACAATTGGGTTGATTAGAAGTTTTTTAGGTAAGTCATATTGATTTGTTTTTCAACCCCCCTGGATCAGGACTTTTATTGACTCATCAGGTAAACTCCACCAGTAGGTGTTTGACCTTTGACCCAATGGACAACTCACTACATTTAAACACCAACTAATCACGCGACGCGATGGCTGCATTCTATAAAACGCTTTGCTGTTGATGTCGAGCCTTTTGAGACTCCGCCCGAAGCCTCGCGAGCGAGCAGCCGGAGAGGTCACGTGATCAGTCAGCTGATCTTCAGCACATCCGCCTGACCCAGCTGCTGTTTACAAATCAGCGGACACCTCCCCCCCCCCCCCCCACACACTGCACAGCAGAATGAGGAGTCCTGCGTGACCTGCACAGGTATCTGAACCACACTAGGACCCCCTTCCCCCCCGGGTTTACGGTGACCGTGTCGCGTTACTAGGACTTGTATCCGCCTCTCTCTCTCTCTCTCTCTCTCTTTTCGGAGGGGGGGAGAGATTCTTCTCGTGGCTCACAGCAGCATCCGTGTGTCGGAAGGGAAGCCGCGGGCCCCGTTCGTCGGGTCGCTTACAAACTCGCCAACAGCCAGTCCGTCGCCGCGATAATTTACCCGCTTCCCGTCACCGTGACGAGTCTCACTCACGCCGGCGACCGACGGCGCGTCGTCACAGCCGTTGCGCGCACCGAGCCTATCTTAGCCCTCCGCTAGCACGGCTAGCTGTCCGCAGGACACGAGCTAGCTTGGCGTTCGTTCGATAATCCTCCTGCTTCCCCCCCCTTCCGGAAGACTGACACCGTGTGCATGTCCCGAGTCCCGGGTCCAATTATCGGTATTTTTAGTCCTTTGTTGTCAATTATATTTGCTATACGGTTAAAAATAACCACCATAAAAAAGCGTTTCCTCTGGCTGGCCGACCGCGTCTAATGAGCTCGCAGTGCAGAGGTTTGGTAACGTCCTGCACTGGATGTCCAGTCAGTGAAAAGCGCGAGATGGGACCTTTAACCCAAGTGTGCATGTGCAGGGTGAGGAACTAGGCATTAAATCAGTGGCGCGATTCATCCCCTCCAGAGTAAGGAATGTGCGCGTGTGTGTGAATGCATATGACGCTTCTTTAGAGGTTGTAAGAGGTGACCGCATCCAGCAATTCACAACAAAAAGCTGATTAAAGTGTTTAAATATATATGTAGTTTTCATCTTTTTACTCCTCCTGTTAGTCTGTTTTGCTTTTATAATCAGCTGGGTCCCATTGAGGGACAATTTGTCTTCTGATTGCAGGTCATATGGGTCTCCTATTAAAAAGAATCATAAAAAGGTTCAAACGGGGACAGATTGCAGCACAGAAACACACCCAAACGCAACAAGTTACACAAATAGAATTGTTCACTAAAAACAGAAGTACTTGAAGCCCCTCAGGTTAGAAAACATTCCTCTGCTTTTTGCACACAGACGTGTATTTGTCAGGTTTAATCTTTGCTCGTGTATTTGGTAATCGAATCAGTCGCGACCCAGCGAGGTCACAGTATTTCGCCGAGGTTAAGGCCCGCGCTTGTTCCCAGCCCGTTGAGGAGCATGTGACCCCGGGGGCCTGCCGGGCTCAAGCCGAGGCATGTGAGTTTGTTCAGCCGAGTCGTTTTCACGTCGACTGAGCCACAAGCTGCAGCATCGACTGCCAGTGACGGCGGCTCCTCTCATCGGCCGCCTGCAGGATCCTGTTTGAATATTCATCCCTTTAAGAGCCCCCCGTGTACTGGTTTATTCCTCCCAATCTATTTTACATAAGACTGCTCTGACAATAGCTCGTGGAAACGAAGACGAGAGTCCCGGTTCATTCCGTGGATTTTTGTACAGTAACTTATGCGGATGTCCCAGAATGAATATTCTTCAGGCACTTTGGTAAAACGTTGAAGCTTTCTTTTGGGCTTAGCATGAACGCTCTCCAGATTGTCCCAGTACGGACGAATCCCCGCCTCTGCATTCTACAGAAGCTTGTTATAATAACGGTGTCTTGGCCGGCGGTGTGGAGGTGAACCCTCCCTGCCGATCGGCTGATCCGAGGCACTGAAATATTCTCAGGGCCCAAAAGAATGCGCTGCTTGCCTGGCTCGGCTGAAGCGTGAACACCGGGGGAGGTGGGGGAGGAATGTGTGGTTGCTTTCCGATTGAGTGCGCGTTGAAGTAAAGGGAAGTGAAACATTTTCTAGATCGCACATTGAGGTTTGTCGGAGGAAGGGGTTCGGTTCGAGGTTGTTTGACTTGACTAGACTGCCCAAAACTTTGCTTTTACTCCTTTTCAGATCCTGTTTGATGCTTGAGTGCTGGTAACATGAGAACGCAGTGCTGCAGTTTGTGTTGAGCCTCACGTGCTGCTGTTGCAAATCCCGGAACACATCTTCCACCTCAGAACAGATGGACGCAGTGTTATTTGTCTCTTGATTTATTTATGCATTTCATTATGTATTGATTTGATTATTTCATGAAGGATACGTGTTTTGAATTATTGAGGTGTGTCTGCAGGTGCTGCGCATTAAATTATGCAGAGGCTAATTTGGCTGGATTATTATGTAGTAAAGTTCGGATTTCGTTCGGCTCTGGGAAGCAGTAACGAAGGCCTCGTCTGCTTTGGCCGCATCGACACACACACACACACACACACACACACACACACACACACACACACACACACACACACAGGGAGAGATCTGAGAAAGTTAGGAATTGCATTTTATTTCTGGAATGAAGGGACGACTCGTAGATTTGGTCTTTTTGGGCCTTCGGGGAAAAACGTTCCTCAAATATCTTTCGACACTTGACCGTGCGGATGTGAATTGATGTTCCGTGTGAGTGGAGTGCAGTTATATCTGTAGATCCTCAGGAGAGTTTGACAAATCTTTCATGGCACTCTTTTAAAGTAAAATGGAGACGACAGGCTATTATTGGAGATACCTTTCTTCCTCTCCCTGTATATGTGGATTAGTTACGATTATTTAATTTGATATCCTTTTCATGAGCGAAAGGGAGAAAAAGTCCCTCAGATTTAAAGTGAGCATTAGTCTTTGAGGAGAACAGATGTTTCCTAAGAAAACAGCCGCATACATTATGCATATACAATTATTTCTATTTTACTGTGTAGCTGATTTATCGAGCGGGGTCCCATTCACATGGTTAATAGGTTTATGAGATGCCTTTTGTTGTGTTATTTCCACAATTAATAAAGCGAACGCAAACGTAACGCTCGGTGGAAGCGGCCTGTGTATCAGGCGAACCATATTCATGAACGTGGAATAATCCCAAACCGGATAAAGAGCGGAGGAAGAATTGTTTAACCTAGATAGTGATGCCGCTCAGAGGAAGTTCTACTACTCCGTCACAAATTGGATCAGGGTTCACCTGCTAGAACCTCGTACAATGTGGATCACACTGCTTTGTCTGCTGGACAATTTGAGCTAAAATCATTATAAATACATTTAAAACTTTACCTCATGATGAATAAACTGCCAATTGTCTTGATTTTATGGAGTGAATATGAATAGTTTCATCAATCTAAAATGTCAGAATACAATTGATAAATTCCCATGTTGGTTTCCTGGAGACATTGGTGGCACACTCGTCTGTTTTGCTTTGTCCAGATAGATTTGCAGAAAATACTTTCAGACAAACGAGCCACACGTTTGATTTGAAAAATGTGCTTGATGAATGACTTAAACAATTAATTGTGATTAGAAGTGTTGGAGATGATGAAGTGGTTACTGGACTCGTTGTTCCATCCCTGGTGGCCGAGCTTCAGACTTCACTAGCACACAAGTTTCTTGCCGCTGATGGTGAACCGCTCGAGTGTTTGTCCTGTTTGTTTAAAGATAATCTTGATTAACTAGCGAGATTTATAAATGATTCAGCTGTAATTTGTCCAGGTTTTACTTTCTGGCCCGAATTAAATAATTGGATTGTTGCAATCTAGCAACAGATCACAGAATTTTATTGGTATTCTCTTCTCACAGCATTTGATTCATGGACTGCTGTTGGTATTTAATGAGAATTTAAACAAATGTAAGATGATTAACAACCCTTTCTTTAATATGGATATTAGGACGAAATAACAATTTAATTCATAGTAATGAGTTGATCATTTTTATTTATTTTCATTTATTTCTTTGTTATAATTGTATTGAGGTCCTCGTATTAACTTTCAAGAGTCTGGCGATGTTTTCATCTGCTCACCAGGCCAAAGTATTATTAATATTAACTTTACTCTTAACTAACAAACATTTTCCCTTTCTTATATCACAGAATTTGTCAATTTCTTTTAAAATATCATTGTCTTCATTCCCCTGTGGGACTGACTGTTTAATTTCCTTAATGTTTATTCCTCTTCCTGCAGAGTTCTACTTTTTTCTGAGTCTTGGCGGAGAAGAAGCGGCTGTGACAGTAAGTTGAGACATTTAACAACTTTGGCAGTGGGGCCAAACTGTATTGATTCCACTAAATGGATTTTGTAAGCAAACCTTTGTGACGAGGTCAGAATAACATTTCCCGTTACTCGCTCCAGATCCGGCTGGGTCGCGGAAATGCAGCATCCCAATTTCGAGACCCGCCACCCGCTCCAGACGGACGAGCACCAGGAGACGGGCTTCGACCCGCTCAACAACTTCAACAAGAACCGCAGCAGTAGGTCAACTCGCACAGCACAGCAGACTAGGACCTGACCTCTAGATCACAAGCCTTGGAAACGAGATTCCAGAGCCTTAAAACGTGCTTCTGTCGCGTCTGTTCTTTAACATCAGACTACTGATGGATGCCAAGGCGTTGACGAGTCACAGAGTAGACGACAGACTCAGTATAACTTAAGACATGTGAAGAAAGGGAAAAAAAAAAAAAAAAGAATTTGGAGCTCATTGTGAAGTGTGAGTCACGGACATGGACGCCCCCGGTGCTGAGGCTGTTTTTGTGTTTTTATGTTTACGTGCGAGTAAAAGATGTCGGGGGGGGACTGGCGTGTTGCGGAACTGATGAATATTCATGCTGAGTGTCCCCGTGGAATGATCTGCTCCTGTAACTAATGTTGATAGACAGCCCTCCGACTTGAATGCATGTTCACCTGCAGGCCAAATTAGACTTATTACTGCCAATGAAGAGGAAGAGGAGCATGGTGCTTCCCTCCGTCGTTCCTTCACCTGCTTCTGGCCCATTTCAAATAACCATTTGGTCCTTTTGATAGCAGCTAAGAGGCCAGTACCTTGTCATGGCAAAGTTGTCAAATGTTTTATATTTTTTTCTTTATCAAACTAGCTTTAGAAAATGACTTTCTCTATCACTGGTTGTTTACATCGCCCCCTTGTGGTTGTGTCTGTCTGCTTTTAACAGGAGGCTCTCTTGACAGCAGCACTTTCTCACAGTCTCAGTCAACCTTCCTCTCGTACAGGTGAGTGTTTGCAGTGTGTCCCCCCCCCTTTTCCCCCCGTGTGGGTGAACCATAAACTCTTGGCCCGGCTCGCCGCTCCCGCCTCCTGGTTTACTGGCTGGGTGACACACCAGATGGAACACTGTGCCCAACGTGGGTTTGATGAGTTCACAAATGTCCCCGTCCTCTGCCTCCCCTCCTCCGCGCAGGAAAGAATGGGACGACCTGTTCCTCAACAGTAATTACCTGGCCAGGATCCGGCAGGCGGGCATCAACGGTCGACTGCGGAGCAGCCGCTTCCGGAGCGTGTGCTGGAAGGTAAAAACCCGCCGCCGGCATCCCCGGTCCTATCGGGTGGGATCACATGGGGCCTTCGGCAGCGGGCCCCTTTTTTTCGTCGATTGCAGAGCTCCTTTGTTGCTCCTTTGGTGTCACTCGACTCCTAAGAGCGTACACACTGACCCGTGCTCTGGCTCCCCGCAGTTGTACCTCGAGGCTCTTCCAGAAGAAAGGAGCCAGTGGATCAACAAGACCAAAGAGCACCGGGCCCATTATGAGAAGATCAAAGAGACGGTGAGAGTGCCTCCGTGTGGCCGTTTCTCTCGGCGCCATGAGAACATGCTTTCTGCAGTTGGCTGCACGTGTGCATGAATAATTCTGTGTTGTATTATTGTGAGGAATTACTCTTCAGTTTCAACTACCACCAACATTTAAAACAGCGTCGAGCTGCTCACAGTTTAGGCTGCTTTACAAAATGTTTACCTTTCTGACAGTGGCCATCTGGTATTAACATTTTTCTTTTCTTTTTGTCACAGCACATCACTAACCCTCGCAAAGCAGGCCAGCAGGACCTAGTTGTCAACAACCCGCTGTCACAGGATGAGGGGGTGAGTGAGTGTGTTTGTGTCTGTGTGCGACAGTGAGTCTGTCTCCTTCTCGTTGTCAGTCGGTTGCTTTGTATTTGCATGCAAAATGTGACACTAATGCATTCCCTCCAGACTTTAGTTGCAACATTAATTAATGTTCTTTTATTTATTTATATATATATATATATATATATATATATATATATATATATATATATATATATATATATATATATATAATGCGCGCGAGCCACTGAAGTTATTTTGGGATGTGCAATTAATAGTGTTTATAGTAGTTTTCTTTTAATTTCATCTCATAATTAATTTAAACTGTTGATGACAGACCAAAGAGCTGTCCTCGGCCTTCAGACATTTCCTAAGAAGGAAAATGTGATTTAGTACTAATTATGGAGAGTGTTCAATTTGTAGACTTCCTGTTGTTTCATTCAGAAGGACACAGCAGGTTAGCAACACAGACAGGAATAACATTTCCAATAATAAAAGTCTTCGTATTTATTATCTCAGCGCAAGTGTCTAAATGCAAATAACAACCAGTAGTAGTACTAGCTACTCGTTATATGAAGAAGTTATTTTTGAGGAAACTTCAAAGGAAATAACCGAATGTAGCTCCTTTGGTTCTGAATGTTTTTTCCTCTCCTGTCCAGAGCCTGTGGAACAGGTTTTTTCAAGATAAAGAGCTGAAGGGGATGATCAAGCAGGACGTGTTGAGAACGTAAGTAACACCCCAACAGGTTTGTGACATCAACATGAAGTGAACCCTCATTTCTGTCTTTTCTGATTCTACTTCCATCTCATTTAAGGTTCCCAGAGATCCGTTACTTCCAGGACGACGATGTGAGGACCAAGCTGACGGACATTCTCTTCTGTTACGCCAGAGAAAATGAACAGTTGCTCTATAAGCAGGTACGAGATCTGAGGTAACGCGTTGTGAGTAATTGATTCATTTTGTGGGTGAAGTATTCCTTTTTAAATGTAGCAGTCGGACACTTTCGTTTTCAATCGAAGGTCCTTGAAAAATCAGTCCTTTTTCATTGGGCTTCCGTTCTAAGCTGTGTGTGTGTCTTTTGTAATCTACTCATTATCGGTGTCTAACAGGTGCCAGCGCATAAATAGATGCTCAGCAAAGCATCTTTTCTGCAAACTGGAAGTGACACATGGCCGGGCAGTGGCTAACAATATCCAAATTAAACCTGTCACCACAGATTAGAAAGCTCGTGCATCACTATTACAGAAGGACTGACCACGAATGAACCGTCGGTTCTCTCTCCCCTGCCCTTTCTTTTTACGTCTTACACGCTCTTCTCTGTCTGTCTGCAGGGGATGCACGAGTTACTAGCTCCCATAGTGTTTGTGCTGCACTGTGACCATCAGGCCTTCCAGCATGCCAGCGAGACGGCGAGCCCCAGGTCACTTCCTCATGACCACGACGCCGCTCACCCTCACCGCGCCCCCCCCCACCCACCCATCTATTCAGAGTTGTGATCTTTTTTCTTTTTTTTTTTCGTTCCACAGTGAGGAGATGAAGTGTCTATTGAACCCGGAGTATCTTGAGCACGACGCCTAGTGAGTGCTCTCCTCATATCGGACAAATCGTGTTCAGAAGTTTTATTGCTTGTCAAATACTTGTTGTCCGTTTAAGTTACTCATGTTTTCTTTCTCTCCGTCTGCCCTACACACACACACACACACACACACACACACACACACACGTCTGTAGCGCCTTGTTCTCTCACCTGATGGAGACAGCAGAGCCGTGGTTCTCCAGCTACGAGAGGGAAGTGAGGAAGGTCAGTGTGATCCGATCCAGAACCGCTTTTCACGCTGCTATAATGGCCGCGCGGAACACATGACATTAAACTTGGAATGCTGCCGAATGGCCATCAAACTTGGTTAAAATCCAGAGGATTTCAGTCCTTGTCGATCTTAAGACACCCGTGGTAACCATGGAAACAACAGGTGTGACGTAACGCCACAGCCGCTACTTCATCACCAATACGTCAGGATGACAAACTAACTTGTGATATCTTTATAAAGAAAGCAGCCAATAATAATTGAACTACTTGCATTGTGTGCTGCACACACACAATGCAAGTAGTTCTTCACACAACAGCACGTCACACTGATGTGTTTGTTGCCAGCAGCTCTTCTAATGGCTCATCGGGACCTGAGCTCCTTGTGCAGTTACTCCCTGCGATATTTAAAACTGGTTCACTATCCACTGTTAGTAATTTCACTTTGAATGTTTCACATGATTTGCCATGTTTTCCCAGTTGGTTCGTTTTAACTGGCAGCAGTGGGAGATGTTGGGTTTACATTAGCCGTAAACGCTCAGATGTGCCAGCAGACGAGTGAATAGTAAACGGCGATTTACCGTCAATCATTCAAACTCGGGAAGGCAATTTAAATGCAGAAGGGGAACGTGCTGACACCAAACATCTATTCAGTGAGGCAATTACAGACTGGAAATAAAGTTAGGGGCCGTTGCTGATAGAAATGGGCTTTGTTTCTAAACCTATTCAGATGTGGTGATTTTTTTATTTTTATATGCCATTTCAAACAATGATCTACTGCTCCAGGGGAAGGACGAGATGCTGACCAGCATCCCGTTCGCACGGCCCCAGGACTCGGGGCCCTCTGTTGCCATAGTAACCAAAGTCAACCGTATCCAGGACCTGCTGCTGAAGAAGAACGACGTCGAACTCCACATGCACCTCAACCGACTGGAGATCGCCCCACAAATCTATGGCATGTCAGTACCCACTCCTGTATCTCGGTGCGTGTGACCCTTTGACCTCTTGAGCTGTACACAAACCCCGCTACCCTGTTTCCGTCCGTATGTCCTGCAGCCGGTGGGTGCGGCTGTTGTTCGGCCGCGAGTTCCCGCTCCAGGACCTGCTGGTGGTGTGGGACGCCCTCTTTGCCGACAGCATCACCCTGGACTTGGTGGACTACTGCTTTGTGGCCATGCTGCTCTACATCCGAGACGCCCGTACGCTCCCGTTTATTTCCAAAATAATCCAGGTGTTGTCTTTGTAGCGTGTGTTTTCATAAGAAACGCGTCACTGGAAGCCATTGAATCCCTGATGCTATAGATCCCGTGCCAAGGAACTACATGCCTCCAGCAGACGTTTCCAATCAATATATGTGCTTTCTGTACACAGAAGGTAGAAGAAATGCTGGAAATAGATGGGAACGCGAGAAGAAAATCATTTCCAGTTAATCAGTGTTTTCAATGTGCAGCAAACGTTGGGCTAAAGGATAGTTTTCCCATTGATGAGAACGTACGCAATCAAAAAATAAAGTCAATTTTGTGCGTTTTCAGACTGCTCTCAGATTTGTATTTATAACTAATTTAAAATTTTGCCACAGTGCAAAGGCAAGAATATGCAAGATTTAAATATGTTCTGATATTCATGGTCTGTGTACGGCATCACTAATACTGCGTTTGTTGTGTGTTTCAGTCATTGCTAGTAACTTCCAGACCTGCCTGGGCCTGTTAATGCACTACCCTCCGTTAGGAGACATCAACTCTCTGCTTCAAAAGGCTCTTTTTCTTCGAGATCCCAAAGTAAGCAAACCGCAGCAGTAGTGGGAACCTCTTGTGCTGTTTTTGATGTACATGCTGATTTTTGTTTCCCAAGAACCGTAGCTCTCGGCTTTAGTGTCTGTTCCTCTTCTCACCAGTCACATTGTGGGATACGGAGCGCTTTCATTATGCCGGGTGCTCACACGTTTAAATGGAGAAGAGAAAGTGAGGATTATTCCGTTCTTTCACAGGAGGCGGTGTTGTTGAGAGGCTTAATATGGTTCTCTGCGGAGGTTCTACACTTGCTCACCCACAGAACAAAACAAACAAGTCTATAGTGTAAACCAGTCAGTGTTATCTCACTGTGGGGGGAAAAGTGCATTACCGCCACACACGTCGGTTAGATATTTTAAGGCGGCTACTGCAAACACATGAAGCACAGGTGCAGTCAATGAACCGGTTAATATGGTCAAGAAAGGGAAGTTGCACAGACATGTAAATGTTGATTGTCTTTATACTTTGTGAACGCAAATAAAGCTTTCTAAATTCTATTACAAACCTGCAATATTTAAATCTCCTAGGTCACGGTCGAGACGGTCATACTTAGTGTGTGTGTGTGTGTGTTATATAAATTCCCTCTTGTTGAAGGGATTGTCTGTAAACATTGATATTACGGCTGTACATAAACCTCCCCCCTTCACTCATGTTTACATTTGAAGGGTTATTAGTATCTTGCAGGAACATTGAGCGCTGACACAAAGGGAGGCCGGCACTAAAAAGCCAGTCTAGCAGCATTCTAACCGCACCGTAAATTCCATTTTTAGAAGTAAAACAAAGTAATTTTTTTATTTAGGGTGGTGGCGTGATTAAATATGACGCCAGACCTTTAATGCTGGATTCCAAAGCCCTCAATCATTGAATGTTAACAGGACATTCAGTCCAGCCCTTATTGGTATGCGCCGCTGTGAGCGCTGAAAAGGTCGCTTCTGTCGCAGTGTCTCGTAGACACAATCAACAATGTCTAGACTCCTGGAATATGCAATATCTGCTAGTTTATTTAATGCCAACCATGACTTGGACCCAATAGAAGCCTAAAGGTGCTTTCAACAGATACATTTGAGTGAATAATATTTCCTTTAACTCAAGGTTGACTAAAAGGATCACTTATTGCCACAAAGTGTATGTACCATTTTGTAGCTTCTTTAAAAAAAAATTTGCTTAACAGTTTTGTGCACAAATGTCTCCCAAAAAGGCGTGACTGAACACAAAATGACCCTCTTCATAGTGACCGCTTCCTATTACAATCATGTAATTATGTCTGATGTAACACGGTGGGGACGCAAGAGATTGAGGGCGAAAACAAGAACTTGTGCTACCTCGGTTAACGTGACAACACTGCGAGCTGCAAACATCTGTAATCAGGATGTAGCGGATTAAAAAGGGTATTTCTGTCACATCTAAATCACACGCGAGCATCACATTCTTCCCATTACCCTTTTTATGTGCGTATCTACGTGAACCCACTGACCCGTACCGCATGCAACCCCACTCACTACCTCCCTGGGAGGAGGAATCCAGCCAGGTGCTGATCCAACGCGACAGATCCCCCCCCCCCCCCAGGTTAAAGACCGTGTCACAGCACGTCCACGTCACCTTACACCTGGGCTAGAGGGCCTCATGGCTGATGACAACGGGGCGAAGGGGGGAGCAGGAGAGGCGCTCGTTGCTCATACGCAGTGACTCAGAAACGTCAAGGCGCTCGCGTGTGCTTGTTTATGTTTTCATGCGTGTGAACGGGTCGGGTTGATTGATTGTGTTTGCTCCGTTTATCACGCAGGCAGGAAACGTTTCCAACGTGTTTATTCTGTTCCCTTCCTGTAGAACTATCCACGACCGGTCAACTACCAGTTCCAGCAGAACCTGGATTACTACAAAACGAGGGGAGCGGACTTGATGAACAAGACACGGTAAAACACGAGCACAGCTGCTGGATGGGAAAAAAAGTCACTATCTGATCATACTAGTAGTAAATTTGGTAATGAAAGACTAATCCTCTTGTTGACTTTAAAAAAAGGGTTTGGAGTTTTCATCCTTTCATCATAGTGGTTCATAATCAATCATCACTTTTTACATTGCAATAAGTATTCCATTTCTAAAAAAACATTTTTAAAAAGGTCTTTATTCCAAGCATTTCTTAATGAACTGCTCATACTTATCCACTCATGTCACTTGTTTTTTAAAAGGGACAAAGATGTTTAATGACAGTATGAAAATCCTTCCTGCAGAAGCTTAACATCTGCATGACATTTTCTGTCATGGCAGTGACCACCATGCGGTCCTTTGGTCAACTTGCGTACAGCACAAAGCTGGAGAAGCTGACGACAATAAGGGATCGTTCATCTGATTTGTTTTTATCAAACTCTTGAATAAGCTCAGCAGTAACGAGTACACACCACGTACATTCCTCCTACAGTATTGATCTTTATCTTCCTTCTTCTCAACGTACTCAACGTACGTCTTTCCAGCTCTGGTTCCAGTACAAAACCGGCCCCGCTCAACATCAACAAGGTCTCCAGCAGCCTGCTGAACTTCGGCAGGAAGCTCATCGCTCCGGCCATATCGGGCGGGTCTGCCAGCATCTCGCCGATCAACAGCAGCGAGGTGCACTCCTCCTCTTCCTCCTCCTCGTCGACGTCCCCCGCATCGGCGCCGGCGCCCGCCCTGTCCCACCCGCTGGCCGAGGCCCCGTCGGGCCAGGCCCCCCCGCAGACCCAGAGCCACGCCCAGACTCAGCACTACCGCCTGCTCAAGTCCGAGAGCATGCCCGTCCACCTCAGCAAAGGTCAGTGGGCGGGACAAGCTCGTGTTTGCAGCGCGCCCGCAGATTGACACCGGCGCAGCATATCTGAACACCTGCATCTGTGTGGCAGCATCAGCTTTGACGGCGATCTGTTAGATGTAGTTTTCAGGTGGAGGCTCTACTCTCTCAGCCCGAATTCACTCTGACACACAAGGCAACTGCTACCACGGCAACGGCTTGTGTGACAAACACCCTCGTCCGTTATAGCGTGTCCCCGACACACAGTCTGTCGTTCACGCATCCTGCTGCTTTAAAGCGGCTGGTTCAGTCCGTGTTCCGATAAATAAGTGTCCACAGAATGTAATGGTACATTTTGACCAGCAGAGGGCGGTCAACGCGCGCCACATGAACATTACACTGAGAACATTATGCCTTTTTAGATGGTTTCCTATTATCCGTCTGCTATAGAGGCTTTTTTACACAATTAATACAAATAAATTATTTATATATCTTGTTAATTTAAAAGATTAGTTAACAAACACTAACAGAACGACAGCAGAAGCACTGAAAGCAGGGACAAACGTCATTGAGGTAGTAAATAAATCCACTTATTCTTGCTTTGTTAGAATTCCTTTGATTATTCCAACTATTGCCAAATTGACGCTTCACATTGTTAATTATAATCTAATGAATTTAAAATCCCCCTATTTCTGACACATTAATGGTCACGAATAAACATCCATGCTCAAGCAGTACTGTAGCCTTTCATCTGATGAGCTATCTGCCTTCTTTAATACAAACCGTACACCCATTGTACTGTATTCATATCTTGTCCATCTCTCTCAGGTCAAAGCTCCATGACGGTTAGCTCCTCTCCCAGCATAGAAAGCCTCCCTGGCGGGCGGCCTCCATCCGCCGCTTCTCCGCCTCTCCCCCCCTTCAGAGGGGGCGATGTCAGCACTTCATCTCCGCCCCTCTCCGCCACCAAGAAAGAGTCGTTCTTCAACATCACTCGCTCTCGCTCCCACAGCAAGAGCATGGGCAAGAAGGAGTCGGTGAGCAGTCCAGCGTGTCGCCTGTCTTCTCTTTGTCTCACTTCTTTGTCAATCCTAACGCCTCTCTTGGTTTCTTCACCCTCTGCTTCTGCGACAGGAGGAGGACCTGGAAGGCCAGGTGTCGTTCCTGCAGGGCCAGATCAACGATCTGGAGGCAATGAGCAAGTACTGTGCCCGGATGATGAACGCTCACATCTGTGAGTTCAGCGACTAGACATGTGGAGATTTGTCTTCTATTAAAAAAGCGTGTTAGTGTCTGAAATGCATGAATGCAGCATTTTGTTTGAACAGACATATTGATTCTATTGTAGGGTTGTTGTATTAGCAAACATTTCATCACTGCTTGTAAAGCTCAGTGAGTGACTGCTTATTACACGTCCACAGGTAATATCCAAGAGGTGATTCTCCAGGAACACCTGCAGAAAGAGGACGAGGTCCTAGTGTCCCTGGCTGGACTCAAACAGGTGGGTCTCAGAAAGTGTTCGATGTTTTGTCACGTGTTTTTTGTGTACTTGTACCATCTTCACACGTCTCCTGTCTCTCCTCCCCTTGGATTCCTGTCAGATCAAAGACATCCTTAAGGGATCGCTTCGCTTCAACCAAAGCCAGCTGGAGGCCGAGGAGAACGAGGAGATCGCCATCGCTGACGATCACTACACCTCCACAGCAGCCGCTGAATCGGCTCGGAGCGCCAACAACCTCCGCCGTGACCACCGGCACCACCTGCAGCAAGCAAACAGCAGGCGGAGCCGGGACTCTGATCTGGACGGGAGGATTGTGAGCACAGATGAGAAGGGGGAGGATCCGCAGGGGGAGGATCAGCAGCAGCAGCAGCAGGAGGAGGAGGTGGAGGAGGTGGAAGAGCAGCAGGAGATGGCTCCACCTGAGCAACAGGTTGATTTACAATAATTCATCTTTTCGGGCTGCTGGTGATGCATCAATCACTCGGCTCAGACAGGATCCCCTTTCTGTTGTTTGCCCCTAATTATTTGACCTTTTGATCCTGTGTTCAGCATCTTTATTGCCAGCCCTTTTTTTCGTGCCAAAAAATCGTGCCCAGAGTGAAGCGCCCAGAGTTATTCTTCATACAGCAACCACATTGTTGCATTTCAACACATTGCGCTTTAGGGCCGAGGACTCAGCAGACCGGTCATGCAGCCACGGTTCAACTTCATCTACTTACTGCCCGAGATCAAGTTCTGTCTTGTTCTGTAAATAATTAAACGGTGTCTTTGTGCACCCAGGTGACAACAGTCACACAGCAGCCGTTCTGATAGTGATGGATGGAAAAGTGACACTGCAGACCGGTGGTTGTTTCATGTGAGACGTTGATTCTTAGACTTGACTGACATGTTTGGTTATGTTTAGGCAACAGAACCCGGGGGTGCTAAACGCATCGGCAATAATTTCAAGTGAGAGGGGGGAGAGTTTCTGCAAAAGACCAGAAAAAGACACCGAGGACCCTTACCATGTCTCATGTGCAGGTGGCGCCTCGCCTCGGCTCCGAGGGAAAGAACTGGGACGACTACATCCTCGTACAGCCCGCGGCCGAGCGCACCGCTCTAATCCGACGGGGGCTCGGCCCGGTGCGGACGGAGCCCGAGGGCGCGGCCGGGACCTTCCACGACCCCCTGATGGCCGGCGCCGCCTCCTCGGGCTCTTCCAGCCCGGACGAGGGCTCCACCCACAGCAAGGACTCAGACTTCACCATCGTAAACCCGAATGACCTGTGAATGCGCCCCCTCCGCTCAACCCCCCCCTCCCATCGTATCCCATCCCCGGGACGTGACTTCAAATGAGCGGACATGAGGGCGGGATCTGCCGTTTTGGGCTGAAAGGTTTTTTTTGTTTTTTTTTAATTGCACATTTGAACCGTGGCGCTTCCAGCCGTGAACACCTTCCGTACTCCGTCCCTTTACCCGTGTTCTGTGCCACTCCGGCCCCGTCCCAGCTGACGCCGTATGCCGCCTCTCATCTCGCGAACCGTCTCATGATATGTAATTGTAGCACCCTGCACTACCAGAGAGGGTGCCAGTGAGCTGCTTAGCCTGGCAAATGAGCGCTCCGTTGGACCTCAAACCTGCAGTTTCTGTACGTGGGGGGGGGGCATTACTGTAATCATTGGGAGTGTGATGGGCACACCTCTGCCTGTGTCTGTGTACGTTTCTGTCCTTGCAGAGGAAGCTTTCTCCTTTGGTACTCAAAGGAAAGAATGATGTCCTTGTGGAGGGCAGCCCCCCCCCCCCTCGCCCCCCCAACCAGTGCCTCTGACCGTTATTTGTCTCCCAACCAAACAAAAGCTAAGTCTGTGATCTTATTCTTTTTGTTAGGTTCCCTTTTTTAATTTTTAAGAAATCTTTTTAACCCTTTAGTTTAATTTCCTTGATATAAATGATTAAATGGTGTCTTTTTTTTGTTTTTTTTAATTGACTCCCCATGTGGACATTTTAATGTTATAACTGAGTTGTTTTCGTGTCCTGTGGAAACCATGTAAAGCGGCTCACGCAAAGAATGTCCCTCCAGCTGCTCACCGTGCATAATTTACTCGAGACCAATAAAACTCAATTGCTCTTACTACAAACCTGTTTTGGGAGTTCTGCTCTGAACTTTGTTAATGTGTTAACTCGTCTTGTGTGAATATCAGTTTGCACGGTGTTCCATGACTTCAGTACGCTCTGTCAGAGCGAATGGAAGGCGTCGAATGACAAACGCCGACAGAGGAAGTGTGCGCGTGAGCAGTTGTTGCGCACCCGCAGATCCGTAACCCAGCTGTCAACTTGCCACTGCACCCTGAACGCATCGCAGTAAAAAAAACAATCCGACGCTCATTTAAAAAAAACAAAACGAGTTTATTTCCATCCCGACGTTGAAGGAAGCTAATGGTGAACTGCAACCTTTCGCGGAGCTGACCGGGTCGAGCCTCATCTACTGCCTGAAATGATTTCATTCAGGATCAATAACTTATCTTAAATAATCTTCACAGCAAAGGGATCGATACTACATAGTAAAATACTGTACAGTGTTTTGCGCACACACCGTAAGGACTTCTAACACAACAGTATTTGTTCCTTGGAGGCAGACGTCTACAGATCCGGAGTTGATCATTCTGGCGGGTAACTGGTTTGATTAGCACGAGGAATGAAGGAAAATATAAAAATATAGAATTGTATGTCATAATATTTAGAGGCTGGAGGGCTTTCGTGGCGAGATAAAGTGACAAGTTTAAAGTAACAAACATCCTATAATCAAAGAATGTCCCATTTAAACACACCCTGTCACAGTTATGACTGGAATCCTAGTCATGGCTTATAATGGTTGCTGCTAGCGTGTGAAGGCGACAAACATTTTCATTACTTTTCATGCCGAGCTTCGGGTTCTCACTTCGAGACACCTTGCACAGCAGAAGAGGTCGACGTACGGGTTTTGTATTTGCAGTCGAATGCTGAAAGATGAACCTTGGCTGACTGACTGCATTCAGCTTCCCGGCGTCACTTATCCCCTGAGTCCTTGTCTGCGGCGATCTGACTGCTGTCCAGTGTCCTCTGAGACCGGGCGGCTGCATTTTAAAGCGGTTTTAAAAGGAAAGTCTGACACTAAGGCAAAGCAGGACCACAGAACATTGTAATTACTCAAAGTGTTTTGTAGGAGCAGCTTTAGATGGCGATTTGGTCATTTCCTCTTTCGCTTTGCTTGCCGCGGCGGGTCAGTCCTCCTGGGTTCGTCGGGTTTGGGAGCGGACTCGTTTCACTCCCACGCTCGCCTTGGTGAGGTTTCCGGTTAAAGCGGCATCGTGGACCTGCTTCGTGTTCTCCTGGACTTCAGCTTTGGCGTGCTTCAGCAGGTCAGCCTGACCCTGAGAGAGGGAGCAAACCGATGAGTAACCTGCCGGAGGCCAAAAAACACGTGGTGGTGGTATAACCCTTCGGGCCGTGTGTGTGTGTGTGTCTCTGACCTTAAGGATGGTGATGTTCCAGCTGAAACTCTCCAGAGCCCGACTGACCTTGCGACCCCTCAGCCCCTCTTTCGCCGCCAGGCTCGGCAGCTTTTCGTGAAACTCCATGGCTGGAGCCGAAAACAAAACCCCAACAGGTTACAGCAACGTAGCTTTTTAGGCAACTTTGTTGAAGGGAAATTCACAGATCAACCAGTGAGGACATGTACCTTAGATAGCTGTCCAATTAGGGTAAAAAGGTGAAAGTCAAGAATGTTACATATATTTATAGTACAAATTATTTTCCGTTTCAGCCATCCACTTTTTGCTAAACTAAGTATATTCAGCCGGGTGGACGTGAGAAGCAGAGGACGGATCCGTAACACTGAGCCTTGGTGGTGAAAACCGGATGGTTCTATATACTTTGCTATTTTTTTTTCTTCTGTTGTCTTGCTCTGTCTGCGTCCACAAGAAATAGACTAGTCGATATTCAATACTTTCTACTTATCAAAGCTCTGACGTCAGGGAATCCGAGAAGGAGAAACGGGAAGAGCGTTGACGGATCCAAAAGAATGATGCAAAGCAGATGGAAAATCGGAGATACGGCGAGAGGGAGAGCACCAAGTTAAGCTAGTAAAGAGTTTGTGCAATGAGTTTTTGTGTATGTGTGTGTTCCTTCCTTCCTTCCTATGACCGCCCGGGGCCACTGTCCCACTGTTACCATGGAAACCCGGAAGTGGGTTAACACAGGGCACACATCACTGCGAGCCATTGACGAGAGCCCAGACGTTAAACATGCCAAGCTGGGGACCACACACACACACACACACACACTGAGAAAAGAGTAAATAGATTGGATGTGGAATTTAAACATTCCTCACACAAAATCCCCTGTCACTAAACGTCTGCACACACACACACACGTTTGTTGCAGCGCCGTGTTCACACACACACTTAGAGAAGTTACATGAAAAATAACCTTTATTGTGCGGTTGCTAGGCAACTCGGAGCCTACGTGCCAATGTGATGTGTGTGTGTGCGTCTATTTCCCTGTGAAACCAAGTGAAGCCGATGGAGGGAGCATTATTTCCAAGCCAATAGTGAGCACAGACGGACAAACACACACCGAAAAATGGTCCTGACTCCAAGAGCCAAGCGGACGTAGCAGGAAGAGTGCATCACCTTCACTTCCTGTCCTCCATCTGAACTGTGAGCATTTTGTGATAAAGTGGTGTTAAAAACTATAAATCCACCTGTTAGTCCCACAGTTAAACAGGCCACAGCTCCCTGGAGGAAAACTGGGAAGCAGCTTCTCAACTGACTTGTTAAAGGGTCAGTTTCCCAAATAACATGTTCTTTCAAAGGACATCGCCTTGACCACTCATTTGGTGGTTGTATGGTTCAATTCTTACTCATCAGACCATTCACTGAGTCCTGAAATTAAGCTAAAGCTAATGCATGTTAATGGATTATCAAAATGACATAACCCTTGCATGGTTTGTCCAACAGGTAGCACCAACTATGTCTTTGTTTGTTTATAAATAAATAGAGTAGAACATATTAAATTAAATTTGAGAATTAAATAGAAGAAAAATAGTGTATTGTGTCCATTACCCAGAGCAAAGCGTACATTGTTTTGTTTTGAAGAATTAATTTTTTCTATTGATAGTTTTCTATTAGAACTCCAGTGCTTTGACTTCTCACTGGTCTGATGACTTGCCTCCAACGCGTGAGCTGTAGCAACAACAATAGTAGGCCAAATATTTCTGCTTTAAGTTACTTTTTATAAAGTGATGAAGAGACCGACGTCTCAAAACATCATCCATCACTTGACGTAAGAGACTTCCTTGTTTGGATGAAGCGGCCCTTTGACGCAGCAACACGTCCCTGTGCTCTATACTCTCTTCTCCCCGTGTGTTCTCGTCGTCCTGCCTGCTCCGCCTACGCCCTCCATCTTCCCCCGGCTTCCATATCCCTCTCTCCGTTCCAACTCGCTCTGCTGCGACGTAACAGTGCAGACATCCGTCTCTGCCACCAGCCGTCCCGTGACCTGTTTATCCCCCTGAAGTTGTGAGATCACTGGATCGGCATCTTCACTCTGTACAACACTGGAAGAGCTTTGTTCACAGGATCAAACCTCCCATCTGTGCAGCAGCTCTTTATCAGATAAACCTACTGCCGCTTTATATATATCTATGTAGATATAGAAATATATCCACACACACACACACACACACACACACCTGAGACGCTGAAGTCCCACAGAACCTCAAATAAAGCTCCGTTCTGAGGATGTAATGAGTTGTCTGGCAGCAAAGTGGAGGGAGAGTTGTAAACAACATTAATCTCTGTCTCCACAATTGCCAAAATTAAACCATGATCTTCTTCTCAAAATATGAATCCCCCCCCTCAGGTCTACCTCATTTCATCTCGTCTTTTCTATTTGTATTGAAAGCTTACGAGCTTGCGTGCATTGGGTTCCTTTAAGGCCATACTTTTACTTTGTAGTCTGGGAACATTGTCTATGTTATTTTAAAAGGCCCTTTAAGGGCTCTGCACTGGGAATTTACCCAATGATGTGATACGTTTACAAGGAAAGAGGATACTAGAAAGGAGGAGAGGGAACGAGAGAAGCAGCATGAGACGGGAGGAATTTGAATGAAGGGAGTTGAGTTAATGACTAGTGGCTGCAGTGTGGACAACCGCAGCGCTAAAGAGGCTCCACACACACATCATAACAAAACACACACAGCTACACACCTCTGGTCTGTATCTGTAGGATCCTGTCGTGGATTCCATCGGAGAGCTCCATCACTGCTCTGCTCGCTTGGACCATCTGCGGACACAGAGACATCTTGTCAGCATGAAACCCACAGCGCTGTAATGCGACACGAACGCACTTCCTATCAGCCACCTTGTTTTCTCCCACTGAAGCACAATGTGTACGATTACTGAATTAGCATTAGCAATGAACAGTTGTTCACGCTTGTTGTTGTTTTACCACAAATTGGCCAATGGACACAAATACACACGCAAGAATGTGAAGGCACCTAAAGGAGGGACATCTCTCTCAAATTAATGAACGGCCGCCAACCCCGCTCACACACACACACACACACACACACACACGCACACATGAGAAGGGCGTGAGTAGTTTCTGCCTGATTAATTCTGCACTTCCTCTCACCCTGCTGGGACGTGATCCCTGGTGGGGGAAAAAAGAACACTGTTCGACAAATAAGGGATTAACTGCAGTACATCAATTTGACCAAATCCAAGGGACACACACACACACACACACACACACATGGTCTTCCTGATTTCCTGTCTTTGTTCTCTCTCTCTCGACATTCGGGTGGAGGTGGACAATTTGTTTAGCTGAACGACATTCAAATCTATGCTAATGGCTTCAGGAAGCTTTTGTAACGCAGATCCTCTTGGTTGGAAGTAAACCAGAACACACACAAACACACGTTTTAACACCATAATGCAAATGGGCAGTCACAGGTCTACGCTGTTGCCGGTGAGAAATAACCCCAGCTCAATTAAAGTGTCACGGTTTATTCACCATCGCTTTAATCATAACCTGATACGACTAGAGACAGATTTATTTGTCTGTTCCAGGCTGCAAAGCCCCCCTCTCCCACAATGCACAAACATGCACACTATAGACACTTTGGGCCCTCTTGACGGTATTTCTATATTGACAATTCCCCAATTCCCCAAGTGTCACTTGGGGAATTGCTCTTTCAATTACTGCACATTTTAAAAGCAACACTTTGACATGACACAACAAGCTGGAGTACCAGACCACATATAGGTGGCGCGTCAGAGTCTAACGTGACCCAGAGGGAACAAGAGAAGACCGTGACTGAGAGAGATCGATGAACGAAAGAAGAGATGAGTGGGAGGCGGAAAGACGGCGGTAGAGACCAAAGGGAAGTATGTTTAAATGTGAGTTATGTAAGAGACGACAGAAAGAAAGTGATTCTATCGAGCAAAATAACAGATTCATCACGCGGTATTCACCATTTGATGAGTTGGCAAACAGACCAATTGACCACTCTGACCTCTATCTTTGTAAGTATTATTTAAAGACATCATTAAATAAATTGGGGCCGTTGAATAACTTCACTCCGCTCGTTCAATGAAGGTTTATTTGGGTGGAAACACGCAGCGGCCAAGAGGAGGATGTTGCCAATGTGTTTCCCGGGCCTTGTTCCTCAGAACAAATGGCGTCGTTGTGTGCTGCAAAACAATGAGAGCCCACTTTGTGCATGAGAATATATTAGTTAAAAAGGAAGCTTTTGTGTGTAAGGATGGGGGGTGGGGGGGTCATTGTAAGGTCAAGCACACAGGAGACAGGGGGGGTTCACAAGCCTGTGATCTTTGTTGCTTTTGTTTGTGCGTTCCTTCAATTTTTTTTTTCATGTATTTCAGAAATGAGAAACTCCATCTGGGGAGCGAGCGCGGGGACGGAACTGTCTCTTCCTTCCTCACCATTTCGTAGTTGGAGACCACGCGGCGAAGGACGTCCGGCAGGGGTCCCTGGGGCTCCAGTGCGGGGTAGTGGTCGTGGAGGTTGAACAGCAGTAAGGGCGCCCCGTCTGGTCCTGACACCCTGGAGCCCAGAGCTAGGACGCACTGCATGAGGTTGGCCACCGCTGACACCCCGCAAAGCTCCTTGAACACGGCTACCGAGTTCTGGTGGGAGAAAAAGGATGAGGGCCGACAGATCAAATAACCTGCACGTTGTTTTCTGACCTTGATGAAAAAACAAAACCTGCACCAAGTCTCCCACTTTATTTGTTTATTGTCTTTCACTCTAAAAGTCCCTTCTGCAACAGAGCTATTTGTCTTTTCCTTCGACTATTAATTTGCTCCCCTGTTGTTCTCTCCTGCAGCTGTGCTGATGTAGTCGCTCAGGTTGAGACATAATAAATCAATAGATCCCAACAGTCTTACCACACTGACTGAATATACAGTATGTGTGGCAACCCTCATTGAGCAGTGAACGACAACAGAAAATATAAAAATAAGATAAAAAATACACAGTATTTACTATTTAATCAAATTTGACACTTGTGGAAATCATTCATTTTTTTGTTTTTTGTTGTGTATAAAATAATTGCTATTAAATTCCAATACTACTGACAATGAACAAGGTAGATTCGATGATGAATGGCGTTTACCTCGGGCTGCAAGAAACAGCTATTTCAATTGTCAAAAGAACATGTAGTCTATAAGATGTAAAACATTCTTATGGTTTGTGTTGTCTGAGATTTAGCCCACAATCAATGCAGCAAATAGTCTGTATTTGTTTGGCATTTTTCCTCATAAGTGACTTGAGTACAAAGATTTTTTGGAATTCTCGTTGATTAATGTTCTGGTGAAGTGATCACGCGTTATTTATTCACTCGTACTCGCCTGCATATTTTCCCTCAGGTCAGTGGCTTCCCTCAGCGGAGGGGCGGCCATCTTGAAAACCTCATCCACAGCCCGGACCCCCGAGTCCCTCAGAGCTGTGTAGTCCCTCCCCTTTCGGGCCTTCCGCACAGACAGCCCCCTTTTGTGAGGCTTTCCACCTCCCCTCCGATTGGTGAGGGCCACGTGCACAAACAGCTTGGCGTGGGGGAGTTCCTCCCCCGTCAGAGACTGGAGGGGTACGTGTCGGTAGCCCGGTTGAAGACACTCCAGGGGGATGGTGTACTGGCCTGTGGTAGAGGCGATATCCCAAATCAAACATAAAACATTAACGGTAAAACCATCTTCCAAAAGTAAACCATGACATTGTTGTGTTTGAGACCCTGAGACCAACCTATGAACTCATCGCCTATGAAATCGTCATCCAGCACCACAAAGCGGACCATGACGAGCTCCGGCAGGTTGATCTGGAACTCGAAGCTCTCGTCGAAGACGGGGTTGTCGCCATTGTGCGTCACCGTCCTGGTGCGGCGCTCCGTGCAGTCGGCGGGGATACCGTGGATCTCTACGTACACGTAGGGGTCCACGACGTCTCCTTTGGTCCCTGAACCGCGGGGCTTGGGCAGGTTCTGGCCGCTTATCACCTGGGAGGCCCGGAGAGAACAATCATGAGTTTAGAGGATTATTCCAGTTCGTTAGGACTCGACATCTTTTGTGGTCGAAGCACTATTCTGGCACACCTTCACGTGGAGCAGCTGTGGAGACACACCGGGCACCGTGTCCCGGGTGTCCGCGCTGAAGTAGGACACCTCCTGCCGCATGATGGCCGGCCGCAGGACGTAACCACAGTTCCCGTTCTGCCGGAACCAGGCAGTGTTCAGGTCCATCATCAGTCCTGCCGTCTGGAAATTCATGGACACAATCTGGCAACCGCACTTCCACAAGTCCTGAGGGTTCATGTTGCTGGAGTCCATGCGCGCGGGGCTGGGGTAGACCCGTGACAGGAAGTGCTTGTTGTGGTTGACAAAGTCTCCGGGCCTCTCGCCAGCGAGACGCACAGCCAGAGACTCGTGAAAGGAACACAGTTCGCAGGGGTTTTGGCTTTTAGATGACGTGGGGAAATCAATGAAGCGGACTGAGCGGCAAAGAGTAACGAGGTCAGAGAGCTCCTTCAGGAGTTGGAACCGCTTAGGAAGGACGTGAAGAGGATCAGATGGAGCGGCCGCTGTGAAAGAGCCACTTTTCTGCACCATGTCCTTCTCGTTTGCTTCAGGCGTCGCCACTCCAATGTTAACTGCTTTTAACCGTTGACCCATCTCTGCCCCTTCATCCTCCTCACTCACCTCCCCTTCGTCCCCATCCGGGCCCGGCCCCAACGTTTTACCCTTCAGTAGGATTCGATGCCTTAGAGCATGCGGCGATGGCAAGTACGACTCCCCTTCGCATGGCGGACCGTTGTATAACTTCTCCCCGAGTATCCTCACGAGATGCTGACACATCACTTTCTGCTGTTGAAGGGAACAGTGGTTCTCGAGACATATAATTAACGGGTACTGCGAGGCGACAAACGCAAATTTTCCGATAGCTTCCAACACGCAACGCAGGGCCAGCGGTGGCGAGAGAGAGTATCCAGTACACACCACCGGCTCCCCGTCGGGGCCGTCCCAAACGTCCACCTCCACACAACGGCAACCCATCTTTAGCGCACGGATGTAGCCGGAGATGTCGGACGGACCTCGGACCTGGTCCTCGATGAGGTAGGTGTTGTGGGAGGAGCTGATGTAGTAGTGGGACAAAGGCTGGGACATGTCCTGGCACACGCCGTGGTGCTCCTTGTCGAAGAGGTGGCACTCTGCCGAGGTGAGGTAGCTGGTGAATCCGTCCAGTGACAGGTATCCCTCCTGCTGGCCCTCCTCCGATGGCTCCTGGGACTGGATGAGCTTCAAGCTGGCCTCCTCACTCACCTTGATGTCACAGTGAGAGATGGGAATTGACAGATTAAGAAAAAATTCTGAAAGAGATGCAATGATGTATGCACGATTAATTAATGTTACCCACTTGAGTCATGCCTTGCTCAGCCTCGAGGAACCTCATCAGGTCTTTGGTGTCCAGGAACTCCTTGTTGCTAGAGAACTGCACCAGCAGAAAGTAGATCTCGGGACGTGTGCAGAAGTCATGGAAGACCTCGATGAACTGCTGCCTGGTGACCCGCTCATTTCTTCCTATAAACCTTTTGCTCTCGACGTGGTCTTTAACTCCAGATCCATTATCTAGAGTGAGCCCGCACATCTTCTCCCTAACTCTCTGAAGCTCTTTGAACCTGTGCTCCACTTTGCGGGCACCGACCCCGGGGTTCACGCTCTGTACCAGCTTAACAGCCAACTGCAAGCGGATCCCTTCCTCGACGTCTTCCTGTCCGTCCGAGTCAGCGGCAGACAAGAACATCTGCTCCAGCCAGCCGAGGCGAAGGCTGTCCTGACTGCTGGCGAGCATGTCCAGGGCATGTTTCCCATACTGCATCAGATACCTGCAGGGACAACAGACAAGGCAGATGAGATTAATAACACCATATTTTCAGGTATTTTACAGACACAAAATTTCTGGAGTAGTAGAATAGCCCTCCGCTATTGCAAATGTAAAAGGACCACGGGAAGAATATCAGCTCACTTCGATATCTCTATTCCCCACAATGTAATCAATAAGGGAGGAAAACCAAAGCCTAACTCACAAGGAGATTATCATGCTGGAATGACATCAAGCTCCTAATTAAATTAGCTAGATTCGCTCCTGCTGCACATGAATCAACTTTAGTCAAACCACAAATTAAATCTTTTGATCAAATCATGCTCTCATTTTAATGTTAGTCAGAACCGCAGTGCAGAATGTGTGTCCACAAAACAGAACCAATAAAACAGAGAAGAAGCACTGATCCTACGATTTGAACATAAAACTGACTATGCTCATGTGACAAAAACAGCTTTTTCATACATTGGATTTGATTAGTTCAGCAAAAAAGATCTGGGAGCCATGCAGACCGCTCCCAGATCTTGCTGTGTCATACCTCAGGCCCGTTACCCAAATGTTAGCCACCTCAGCGGAGTTGGCCACCAGGTCCAGGCTTTCATACATCTCTCCATAGATGATGGAGAACGCACAGTCCTCGGAAATCTGCTCGTAAACTCCACTGGTGCGGAAGGTTTCTGTGTTGCGACCCGTCCTCACCTAGAGGGTGTGACCACGGGCGATGCAGCAACAAACACAAAACATAGAAAGGACAAAGCATGGTTATAAAAGGATAACCTGCTGTGTGGGAATTGGTTAAACAAATCATTTTAAGATGGGAGAATTTGGAGGGATCTCTCTTTTTATTTGATTGAGGTATTCTGAAGTAATGTCAAACAGCAATATTACCTTCACTCGTGGCATAATTATGTGAATGTGTGAAGCATCTCTGGGCTCAAATAACATGATCAGAAGAGCTACACGGCGGGTCGACAGGGCGCCAGTTTCCCAGCTCGGTCCGAGAGGACGCCCACGGTGTCGGACTTATTTCGGTTTAGCGATTGTTTCCTCAGGACACTGACCTCTCGTATGGAGGCCAGAGAGATGCGGGCTTTGTCCGACTCCTTCTTGGAAGGCTCCCAGCACAGAGCTTGCAGGCCTGCGTCCAGCAAGTAGTAACGCTGGTAAACGCGGGAGTTGGTTCGGACTTTCTTCAGCTCAATCCCTTCAACCTGAAATGCACGGATGAGGTTTTCACCCTATGACTTTCGGTGTGGAGCTCGTTCCATTTGCTTTCTGGTCCAGCTTTAGTGTCCTGACAGGCTCAAAAGTCAACAGCAACCCTCGATGAACACAAGGGACATTAAATATTCCATGTACAGATTAATAATAATTCATAAATAATTCAGTTCCCTTTTATCATATATTGGGTTTTTTAATGTTTTCTCATTATGTCTTTACTGTATACTTGTTTTGACCTTGTTTTTCTACGTCTGTCTTGTGTATTAACCACTATACTATATACTCTGTAATCATGCACATTTCCCTGCTGTGGGACTAATAGAGGATTCTCTTATTTTATCCTATTTTCCATGTGGCGGTTTTCAATGCGACGGACCCACCATGGAGTGGATGCAGTCTGCAGCACTGCTGATCTTCTTTTCTGACAAGCTGCTGCTGAAGGACACCGTCTTCTTCCTCACCCGACCAGCACGTGACCCATCCTGGTGAGGAGAGAGTAAATGACATGAAAGGACGTCGCGGATAAAAAGAGGAGGAGCGAGGAGAGAGGGGGGGGGGGTCAATGAGAAGAAGGCAGTTGAGTAGAAAGAGACAGACGGTCATCTCTTTGAACGTTATTATTTGCTTGGGCATGAACATTTTTTTTTTTTAATCCAAACTGGATCTCAGAGGATTAAAAGGCATGTCAGTTTTATATAACAATATTCAAACACAGATTATTTGGTCTACTACATAGCGCCTCCTCCTCCTCCCAATCTTTTACTGATGCTAAAAGCTTTTGCCCTTGGCTGTCACCGTGAATCCATTAATCACACCTGACCAGACAGAGACAGCAGTATTCCAATTGTGCCCCACCGTAATGAGGCCGGCAGACCCAATCAGTTTATCTGAGCTCACCGTATGATTTATTGACCGATTGATCTGATTGATCACAGAGAACAGATAAGACCATATGTGTGGGCGAAATTATTCAATTATGGATGTATGACTTAATTGGAGCTAATTTAAGGTCTAAGAAAGATGACTTAACTGTAGATTAGATCCTAAGAGGGACGGACGACACCTACACTCTCAGTTCACTAGTGTCTTACTTACATGAATTCAAGATGTATTTCTACAACACAATCATGTAGGAGTTATACGAACTTCTCCATCTTCCCATCACTGCCTTTCACAGAGTCATCAGCTTCATTGTTTCATCATTTCTTCCGCCTCATCAGGTAGGATCAGCAGGATCAACAGCCGCCCACCACCCACAGCCCCACCCACAGCACCACCCACAGCACCACCCACCGGACTCCACGGTGGGATTCATGCTGCTGCTCCAACGACTTTCTGTCTTTTTTATCACATGACATCTGGGATAAAAACAACAACAAGTATATTTTCTTTGTTAAGGTGTCTCTTGTGATTGAAATAGATAAAGCTAAGAGAGTTTGTAGGTTTTATGAAGTCCAACTAGATCCCTGTAGGCCAATCCACACGTTCACATTTATAGTATTTGTGAACAGCGGCAGATAAATATCCACCCATCACTATTACTCTGATTTCATTCCAATAAGCGTTCACATGAGAGCACTTTTATCTTTTATGCGAGATGAGAGGAGGGAACCCTTCATGTGAAAGCCAAAAAGAGATAAGAGAAAGAAAAGATCTTTTGTTGCATCTAAAGAATATGAATGAACATGTGAGAGAGGGGAAGCATAACTCACAGAGGATGAAAAGGTTCCCCTCGGTAGGCGGCTAAGCATCACAAATCCTCATAGAATTACCTCATTAGAATGGGAAGTGTTACCAATGGCGACATGTTTTTTGTTTTTTTTGGAGCCGGCGTGTTGAGGGGGGTGGTGCTCTAAAAATACACACGGTGCCTTGGGGTGTGATAGGGGTCTGGATAGAGACACAATAAGTGTTTCCTTCAAGAGCCACCTTTTAATCCACGGCAGGAAGAGAAAGGAAAACCATTCAGTTTCAGCCCATGAAAGGGAACAAAATAAAACAATTCTGTGTTTTTATAACGCTTCACCCTTTAGACAGCATCAGCAGCACCTCTAAAATAACAAGACTCAGAAGCAAATTTAAATTTTAAAGCTCATGGGAAAGTAGAATGTGGCGCAGAGCCAACACTTATCAACACACAAATACAGACGCATGCACCTTCCTACAGCAGCGTACAGCACCGTCTCATACTGTGTGCTGGTGGTCTCCGTCTATATCTATATCTCTTCCTGTGTGTGTGTGTGTGAGAGACAATGGTCCTTTCATCTTTTCACCAGCACTAGTCGCAGTGCACACGATACCTATTTAGGAGACTCAAATCTTGCACCATGTTAAAAGTAACAGACGTGTCACTATGGATTATTAGACAAGCAAGGGACTAATGTGCCTTCCCCTAAAAATGTAATGAACCTCACCGGGTGCGTGTGCGCGCCCGCCGTGTTTGCACCAGGATTTGTCCCAGGGGGCCGGTTCAATAGCTGAGATTCAATTATCATGTGTGGAGGCTGTCCTGCAAGTGCACCTCTGTTAAGCCTACGACCTAAATTGACCGACAAAGAGGGACGTAACCAAAGACGTGACGTCACTGTGGGCTCTGAATGCGTTACCCACACAGGATTAAACTGGAGGCCACGGATTAACCTGCAACACATGACTAAACACAGAAGGTGAATGTATTGATTTCGTCAATGCAAAGGATCCGAGCGCGGCCTTAACAGATTGGAGCACAAACGCAGACACACACGTAACCAAACCACTCTGATAATGTTAGAATGTTGTAAGCATGTCCGCTTCCGCCCATTTGTTGTTTTTTTTTCGAATGAGAGAAAGATGAGTCTCCGAAACCACAACTGTGCTTCAAAACAGGAAGCCGCCTGTCAGCTCGTCACAAAGCGTCCTGTGGCGTCGCCGAGGGCCGAGTGAAGCGAGAACACAAAAGACAAAGAAACAGCGAATAAAGAATTCTTTATTCGGCGACGGCAGATGTCACTGAAGGCCTCATTACTCCTAATTCTAATTTTTGATTATTATTTTCAGGTGAGGGATTTATTCATTACTTGAGAGTACTGTTAATACATTTGGAAAATTGCTGCTGTCCCCGAGAACATGTTGACTGATTGAACTGTCGGGACAGATGGATAGATAAGCTGTGAGAGAAATGAGTGAGACGAAGCATATTAGTTGCAGTTAACAGAGAAGGACCCACAAGATGACAGAGTCGCATTGCAGAAGATCCAACAACTTGAGAACAGGACACAGACTGAACAGAAACCAAAAGAAAAGAGGACGAGCTAGTAGCTCTTTGGTGGATTACTGTCTATGTCTCTATGTGTACAGAGCCCCTGGTATTTTTTACATTGTTTGTTTATTCCAACACGCCTGCATCCCTAATTAAAGCATATCAGTCAAGAGAAAAAAATATCTTTAATCCATTAATCAAGAAAATCGGAGAAATGTTTGTTAGATAACAGATAGAGCAGTAAGAATTGGTGGGGAGGCCGGACTGTCGTCCCTCCAGCCTGGTGCGTTTAACGGCAGATGAAGGATGATTAATGACAAAGTGGCTTCCAGTGTCTCTCACTCTAGTGGCGGGGGGGATGGGGGGAGTTTAGGGGTGATTTAGGGGGACACGTGAGATGCATGGCACAAAGTTAGGGACTATCAAGATCTAATATTTCATTTGGAGATGCGGGTACATTTGTTTTGAGGTTTATGTATGCAACCGAAGCATTGGTTCATCTGAGCACTCACTTCAGAGAGCCAGCAGACAGCAGTGTGTGTGTGTCTGTGTGTGTGTCTGTGTGCATGCTGTTCTATTCATCACCCTTCTACCATGGCTAAGGAGTCATTTCTCCTGATTGGCTGGCAGGTGTCCATTAGAAGTGTATAGTTCCAATCAACCACACTGCTCGGAACCACTGCACAAGGCCAATAAAGTGCAGGTAACCATAGCAACAACGATAAGGCTTCATCACGTGCGCCAGCTATCTCTTACTGACTAAATGTGGGTTCAAATGGATGAGAACCTACGCACAACTGCACATGCGTGTGACCGCAGTAGAGGAAAGGACATTAGCGGCAAACGGCGGCTTAACGTGTGGGGCTGCTGGTAATGAAAAGAAACGCGGTGAGCGTTCGCAGTAACTCCACTGCTCAGCCTGATTATAAACCCCGGCCCTTGTGGTAAGCAGAGCTGCAGATGCTCTTTTGCGCCTCAGACCTTTGTCGGAAGTTGGAAACAAAATGAAACAAGTTAAACGTCGACCCGAAGGGGCCGTCTCGTCGTCGAGCGTTAACCACGGTTTCAGCCGAGCAAACGTCACAGGTGCATTTACCGGAGATAAAGAGGACCACTAAGACCATGGAAAGGCGGTGGGAGCTTCGAGTCAGGCGTCGGAGATCAAAGCACCGGGCGTGCTTTCCACACGCCTCAGTGATGACTCGAGGCGAGGCTCACAAACGGGCACACACACACACACACACACACACACACACACACACACACACACACACACACAAGCATGACTGGATGTAGACTATGAATCCTTCATCGGCTCCATCGCAATCAGGGAAAGGTTTTGTCCGCTGCCTGTGCTGTGCAGGGGTCAAGCTCACGCTAAAGGCAAACGTACTTTAAAGGGAGCTAAACGTGTTGTTCTGACCCTGCAGGTGCTCAGGGCCGCTCTGACTCACACAACCCCAGCTGTGTCTCACACAACCCCAGATGTGTACCAACGACGCCTTTTGCTGCTTCTTCGTTCTGAAAAATACACGCGGAAAAAACTTGACGCACACAACCAACCACAATGAATACAGATGAAGGTGCAAACACTAAAATGTGCCAAAATAATGCTGCAGTCAAGAGAGGATATGCTTAGCTTAGCATAAGATTTGGAAACAGGGCAGCGGAATAGCTTGGCTCTTTGTACACTTGTTTGTGCAAATCAAACAAAGAAGAAATCAAATGTTAACAAGGGAGTTTTACGGGTGCTGTTGTGCAGATTTGTCACCTTGCCATGGTTGTCTCTTTCTCTTTCCTTTTCGTATTTATGATAAGCTAAGCTAACCTTTTCCAAGAGGGTTTGGTCTTCTAAACTTGAGCAAGAAATCTAATTTAAGACTATTAAGACTATTAAGTTTGTGGATGAGTTGAGTTATTGTTCTTGTGGGGTGAGTAATATGGGAGTTAGAAAGCAAACATCTATTTTGCCTAGATGTGTTTTACGAGATGTCAAGTCTGTGCAAGGGCGTGTGCTTTCAAAAGCAAACAAAGAGTGTCTGATGGTTATCTACACATCAAGCTGAACTTGAAAACACACACACACACACGCTGGACATAAATCACATGACTCTTGAGAAAAGCAGTTCTGGAATGTAAAGTTTCCTGTTCGTCTGCCTACATACCACCAAACACTCCTTCTGCGTGGAATCCAGAGTGGAGGCATGAGGGTCGTTTGGGGGAAACAGTTGCACGGACCGTTGCGTCGAGAAGTGCGTCAGGTGTCTGGGATTCAAAATGCCAACTGAATATATGGACAATCAGAAAACATCACGAAACCACAACCGCATGCTTCAATACACGGGTTTTATATGCAACTCTTCGATGTTCTGGATGCGGAGAGTTGGACTCAATTAACACCATTTCTGACCCAGAATGAGACGCCAGGACTTTGTTTTTTTTTATTTCCTCTGTGTCGGACCGGCCGCAGTGTCGTAACACACAGAGGACGGACAAAACCAGGCCTGTTTGTGTGCAGGGAGGTGAAGGAACATTTGTTCTGCGTGTGTGTGTGTGTGTGTGTGTGTGTGTGTGTGTGTGTGTGTGTGTGTGTGTGTGTGTGTGTGTTACAGAGCGGTAGAATAGTTATGTGTCATCACCAACTGCTCATGACTTAATAACAATATTGCAACATAAACCGTGTGAGGAAATTGGGCAACCGGCCAACTTCCGGCTTGCAGAGAATGAGCCAATGAGACGCAGACGATGTCATGTTTGAATGCCCATGTGTTTACACGGATATATACAATAACCCTCACATGCCTAGAAGGCCGAAACCATGAAAGCACCACGTCATAGATACAACAATATGACAATATTGAAATTTTTGTTGTACAAAAAAATGTGTATGTGTAATATTCATGTCAAGGGCTTAATATAAACAAACTCGACATGAGAGCTCAGATCAGTGTCGGCAGCAGGGTTAATTGGACAGGGGCATTCAACTGTGAGCCACACAGAGAGGGGGGCAGTTTCTCATTTAATCAAAGACTGCAGGAGGTGATTTCAGTTCCTCCTCCTCTCTGGCTCACGGGGGGGCTAATAAGTGGCATTTCCTCTGCTGCAGTCGGTGTGTGAAACAAAGCAGACCCTTCTTAAATCAACCTTCCACGACATATACGAGTGAAAAGCTCTCACATTGAGTGTTTTTCCCGCGAGGTCGTACACGAAGCTGCAAAGTGTATATGTTCGGCACGCTGCGCCTAAAACACTCACTACCATCTGAAACGTGTCATGATGATGTCCATCTTTTATGCACACAAGACCGTGAGGGAGACGAAAGAGACTGACAGCTTCTCAACAGATGGAGAGGAAGCTGACAGCAAGCAGTCACAGTATTAACTGTTTAAGTTGGAGGTGTAGTATTTACTCATCTATGAGTGTGTTCATTCGCTTTGACTTTATTGTCAGTGCTCATTAATTCTGGTCTGTGCATGCACATTTGATTTGAAAGTGTCCACTCATATACATCCAAGCAAGATGAGCCGTTTTCCCACCTCGGTGGAAACGATGGCCTACCTTGATCAAACTGCTGCGTCGAGGGATTGCTTTGGGTGCCGCGTCGGATCCCGCGCTCTCCCACGTCGGGGACTCGCAGCCGGATTCGTTTTGGACTCTCCTCACGGTGTCCGACACGCCGCAGCTTCCGTTGGACACCGGCTCCCCTCGGCGCGTCTCCGGGCTCGCTCCGGCCCCTCCTGACGCAGCTTTCCGGCCGGCAACCGGTGGGCCGACGCTACTCTTGTTATCTCCAGATTCAGCCATGGTGACACTTTATTATAAAACAAAAAAATGGGGAGGTCGGGTGGGTGTCGGGGAGGGGGGGGGGGGGGGGGGGGGGGGGGGTTCTCAGATCTCTTGAAAGCGACGCGGCTCCGAAAGCATCAACAACGCTGCACGCGGATTCACGCGTGCCATCGTGCGGAGAGGAAAACTTCTCTCTCTCTCTCTCTCTCTCTCTCTCGTAGTGTCTTCCTCCAACAAATAGACAAACACACACACACACACTCACTCACCGGGGGGGGGCCGTAGGGGAGGCAGCGGGGACCGACACCCTCCTAGACGTCCACCGCCTGCGCTCCACACATCTCCGCGACGGCTCGGATGTGCGCTTGCGTTCAGGAAATGCTCGCACCGCGCAGGCTTTCTGCTCCTCCTCCGCCCGCGGCTACGTGCGAGTCCTCCGCGCACCGGGGAGCGCGAGGACGGCGCGCACCGCGATCCCCTTTCAGAGCTCGCGTTGGAGTCGGCCCCTGCTGTCCGTCAGCTGCCGCTGGGGGTATGAGAGGGGGGGGGGGGGAGTAGTCTGCGCACTCGCATCCCTCCAGCGAAAACCCGTCTTTTGGTGCTTTCGTTGCCTCCTGAACTTGGTGGGCTTTAAAGGTCAGTTTCATTAAAAGGGACTACTGTTGAGTTGGCAGGTTGTGAAATCCCTCTGTTATTGGTTTGAAAATTTTATTTCTAAAAAAAGGTTCAAGCTTTTTTTTGACCAGTATCCAGGGGCGTAGGCAGGACATTATTTCTGGGGGGGGGGGGGCAGCTCTGGCCAGTCTTTTATTTGGGGTGGCACTTGATTGAAAATGTCTGTAAAACACCAAAGAACCCCATTAGTATCAGCTTTTAACAAAAGTGCTATCCACTTCCAATTACAATGTTGTTATTTTGTTAATGTGAGAGACTAAACATGCAATCATTAACATTTTACAGATTGAATAAATATATGTTTATTATATGGCCAGCCCTAAAATAATTTTTGTTTGCCATAACCTGACCGACCCTGTCCCATTCTTCAGCTACTTCTTCCCTTTCTGCACCTGTTCTGCTTTCTCCACTAGCTCCTTCTGTTTCCCTTACATATCTTTCTGCATTCTCTGTCATGCTAGTTGATGCTTGCGGGTCTCTGCGTGCTGGCAAAAAACACGTGGATTTTCCTGTCTCCCCCTGAGGCATTTATCCTTTTCATCGTGTCATCTTTAAAGCCGTGGCCCCCCCTGGCCACCACGTGGCCACGCCCCTGCCAGTATCCATTTAATCCCACTAAGTATTTGTGACAATTAAAACCAGTCATTAATGCCTAATAAACATTTATTAGTAGCACCAATACTAACCTAACCCAAACCGTTCATTAATGGCACATTGACAGACTGACACATTGACACCGGTGGACTTAATAACAAACCCTCTAATGATTATTGGCATTTCATCATGATTGTGTCATCATTCATTGTACATATTGAGAAAGTAAACAGTTTAGACTTGCTTTCAAATGGATATTCTTTTAAAATGCATACATGAACACGGAGTAGAATATGCACCGTGAACTGCACCTTTAAAATCCAATTGAAATCCAGGTCATGGATCTTCCTCAAGGACTCAGGGGGGCATTATGATTCAGTGTTCAAGGATAGATGCTTTTCTCAAGGATAAGAGCCGAATAAAATAAATCAGTTCACCTCTTTTTTTGTTGTTGTTGCCTGAGATGTGATTACCAGAACACAATTTCACTGTGTAAGTTTACACAGAGAGGCAGTGCATCCCGGGCCTCCATATTCCCTGAACTGGAGGGTTTCTGTGACTCTGCAAGACAAACATCACGCTCTAAATAGCTGAAATGATTTTGCTTGATGACACACAGTTAAACCAATACTTACACAACTTGAGGTTAGAGAAACATTTACTGATGCAAAACAGTTGTGTTGTTTGATTTATGTGGCAAAGGTTACCACCATTTTGCCCCATAATAAAACATAATAATAAAATAATAAAACAAAGTCAATCATTTGAAGTAATGGTTCTGGAACTTTTCTGGCACGACCCGCTATGGAGGAAGACAAATGTTCACGCCCCACCGGACCAACCAAAATGTAGATGTTTAATTTTTATTACACATTTTGTGGCATTTTTTCCAATAATGCAATAAAAAATGTCAATCACTTTTGAGTTAACCAGATTTCTCTGTGCAACCTGTGAAAAAATCCCAAAATGAGTGCAGATCAGGACGAGCCATCTGATGTCCACAAAACACGTTTAACGTGTATTAGTTTCTGCAATGAGCTACTTTCCACTACAAATATTTAAACATCGTTGCACACTTGATACTCCCACTTCATGCTCAATGTTGAACTTGGATTGGTATTTAGTTTTGAGAGAGGCAACATCAGTCCGTGTACTATTCACTCTGGTAATATGGGAAGTTCTCAATATAGTTCCCTGCGACTCTGTAAAAGTACTGCGACCCGCTAGAGGGTCGCGCCCCACAGCTTGAGAGACACTGATTTAGAGGAGCCTTATCTGAAAAAACAGAAGGTTCCTCCGTTTCATTATCAGCTCAACCCTAACATAAATTGAGTGACTCCAATAAAAGCTGCAGCCCGGGCGTCCTTGCTCAGAGAACTGAAGTAGATTATTTGTCGTAGAGAGTAAACAGAGCCGTCACACTCGCACAGAGTGTTGGAGAACATGTCAGGGTTCTGCTTCTGCTAGTTCCGTTTTCTCATTGTCTTTATATGGAAATGATCATCTAGCTCTCTCTGGGGGCGTTTACACTTTGACTTGAGGAATCCTGCAGGGACTAGGCAGAGAAGGACACGTTGTTTTGAGAACACTATAGCTGAAAGAGACTTTGGAGGGTCCTTTACTTACTGGTGAGCCGCTCGAGATTCTCAATTTGTGCAACTTCAACACACCATTGAACATATAGTAGCATCTGTCACATGCGCTTCCATCAGCTGCATTAAATACTATAGATTTAATGTTGCACTATTTCCTGGCCTATAGTCTAGGGTGGCCGTTCATGCAGCAGCTGAATTCAGACATCTGACGAATTATGTTTGAACCCACAGGGGTCGACCGCAGAGTGCTTCAAGCAGCGCTGACATTAAGACAGAATCAGATGGAAGCAACACTCCCCTCAGACCCAAAGTGGTGGGCTTGAGAATGTGAAACTCAACTGCTGGGGGTTTTAAAGTAAACACATTCCCTTTACTCAAGCTTTGTGTACTTCTGTCTGTCGTGAAAAGGCTCCGGCCTCTATGGAGATTAAAGGCATTAAATCACACGCCCAGCAATCAGGAATGAAGAGATACAATTATTACAACCATTTGGGCTGAGACCAGTGGAATACTGGTTTGCCTTGGCTGCCACCTAGTGTTTGCCATCAGAACACACTGCTGCTTAAGAGAACACTGCAAACAATGACACAGTTGTTTTGATCTTATTTTGACCGTATTATTGAATGAAAAATGAACCAATCACCCATTCTGAAATAAAAGAGCCATAAAGATGTTAAATGTTTTTTTCATAGCAAAGAGAAGATAAACAGATATATATGTGTTTCTGTTCCAACATATATTCATTTGCAATAATTGCTATATGATAATGATCACATATCACATATCTATATTCTTTTGTTATGACCTCCAGATTTTGATGGACCCTGGAATTAGAGCTTCTCCTTCTCCAGGTAGGTATTGAGGCCTTTTTGGATGTCGTCTAGAAACACGTTGGACTCCTGTAGTCGTTCCAGCATGTTAGGTTGAGCTGTAGCCACCAGCACATGTGTATCCTTCACCTGGAGCAGTGGAAAAAGGCACCTAGTGAAGCATTTTGTGTGGGACTCAACAAGAAGTTCTGTTTCAAGTGAATCGTACCGCTGTGGCGATGATGTCCCTCCAGTAGATGTCCACAATGGCAAACTTGCGTCCCTCCTCAGGCATTTGGGCAACGATGTCCTCAGAGCTGAAGATGGGCTCAAGGTGGAGCCAAGCAGCTTGACACTTCAACATGGAGTCTAGAATGTCCTGTAGACTCAGCAGCCTTTCTTCCCAATGCTGGGTAAGGACGTAATGGTGAGAATATGAGTAAGTATAGTTTATAAAATGCGACAATAATCCAATAAAAGCCAACGTCAGTGACTTGCGTTGCCATGTCTTACCTTACATTCGGTCTCTATTGGCTTAATGAAAGGTGACCGTCTCATAGTCTGTACCTTAATGATGTGGTCATCAAGAAGCACTTGGATGTCATCCAGTGCTGACACAATATGAGTACCCTGTGATGAGATATAAAATGTATTTAAAACAAGTTGACCTCAACACTGCAATAGTGAAGATGTAGTCTTTGCAAGAAGTTACAATGACAGTCCACTTGGTGGGAGGTCTACTGTGAAAGTGTGTGATTGTATAAGTGGTTCACGCACTGTATCTCTGTGAGGAGTGAAAGAGAGACGGAGCTCGGCCCATTCACTCGTCATCTCCTCCATGGATTTTTCCAGAGAGTACTCGTTACTAGCGGACGCTCCAATCTCTTCCAACCTAGGACAGAGGTCAAACTAGAATGACTGCCTCGAGGTCGTTTGCCTCCGCCCCTTCCAGTCACGTTGCAGTCTACGTCCACAACTGGACGAGATATCAATAATTTTATCCTGTTAGACATTTGTGTGATATTTTCCTAGTTGATAAATTCATTATTTTGTGATCTTGTCATCTTGACCATGAAAAAAATCAAATTCGAATTGATTCTGAACAACCTTGAGGCCTCTGGAGGCATAACTGATATCGGTGAACATGTCCAAGGTCACTTTTCATCACGAGCCACGGCGTTCCTCTTAAAGCGGTACATTCATTTTACATCTTGCATGTACACCTACACAGTGTAACGTCAGCGTCTTACTTATCGGAGAATTTGGAAAGCCCCAGGTCCAACATGTCCAGCAGCGAGCGGCTCGCATCCGGTTTGACCGCAAAGCCCACGGCGCTGCTGATCTGCACACGGACAAAACGTGTCGTGCCACATTAACCGGTCCACCCGATGTGAATCTGAAACAGGATTTCAATCAGATGATGTAATGAGACAAAAACGTAAATTCAGCTGACCGCCTCCCAGTGGCGGTCTTTGATGGCGGGGTTACAGATGGTCGCCAGGACGGGCAGGTGCCGTTTGAACTCCTCGATTTTTATTTTGAAGCTTTTGGCCACCCGATAAGGCCCAAAACGATCCAGGAAAGACTCGGTGAGTTCAAGCATGGTTCTCCACATCACGTCAAGGTCATCAGAGATTCTCTCAGCATCCAGGTGAAGGAAAGGACCTAGGAGTTAATGACACAAACAAGGACAACAATATGAAAACAGCTGGGCATCCTGCCTTGCGCTTGCGGTTCGCAAGTGATCGCCTTACCATTCATCCACACTTTTGACATGCTCTGAAAGTTTAGAGCTGTGGTCCAGAGCTGATCATATGGCAGTTTGCCAGCTATCAGAGTTTGGAGCAAAGGGTTCTGTCTCTGTTCCATCTCCAACAAATACTGCTCATGGTTGATACCCTGTAGAACATCAGGGGTATAACGATCATACGGCATGCAATCACCATGCGCATATTTATTCTATCGAAAACATCTTTTACCTCTTGTTCAGTGACAGCGGCCTCCAGGCTGGCAGTGATTCGAGTGAGATTTCTCACGTTGTTCTTTATCTCCTCCATGTTCATCACATGCTTCTTCTCAAAGGCCCGTATCTCCTTGTTCAAATTCTTCAGCCTGAGGTGAAATTCTAATACCCTGAGATAATCAAATGGATGTAACAGTTCCCAATTCAAATTATTAGTTTCAAAGTCGTGTGAGAGCAACGTGTGAGAGCGTGAAAAGTGTTCATAAACCTGTTTTGCAGAAAGTCCTGAGCCTGTTCTTTCATCGTGGCCAGATGAGTCCTGCCGTCTTCCAGCTCAGTCAGGATGTTTTTGGGCCAATGATAAACACTGGCATTCAGCCTCAAGTCGTCAGCTAGAAAAGATGATACATTGTACACGATGTCCTGAATTGGTGAAAATTACATTTGTTTGTTTTATTTGAACTGTAATTGTGAATAACATGAGAGGTTTCTCGTACAGGGTAGAGTGGCATGGTCCAGGAGGAAGCTCAGGTGGTATCTCGCATCATCAATCTCATCTATCAGCTTGCGAGTGGTCACATCACTGGTTATTTTGATATACTCGTTGAGAAACGCTAGCTCCTCTGTGGTTTCTGGAGTGCTTCTGATGGTCTCGGTGATCTCCTCATACTTCCTACATATCCTGGGAAATAATGGTTAATATTCTCTTTCTTAAACGTTTAGTAAACGTTTAGCTGATTTGCTGTAAAAACCCCAAAAATACAGATGTTGAATTTATGAAAAGTTTAACCTCACCCCTCATTAAGCTCTCGGTGTTCCTTCATTTCAAACATGATGATCATGTCTTTCAGTCTCTCAACACGCTCACACAGGTCATCATTCAGCTTGCCAGCATGCAGGCAGAACATGGACAAGGGCACCGTGACATGCAGGGAGGCAATCTCCTCCCGTAAGTGATTAAAGCTCTCAATTTCCTGAGGATTGAAAAGGGAGCGAGGACTTAGACAGCAAAGACCAATCGAAAATGAAAGATTTGAGATGGAAAGGTTCAATTACATCTCCAAATCCTTCTAACGACTGTCTGTCTTTGAGAAAAGATGAGATTTCCTGCTTTGCTGTCTGGTCCAGTAGACTGCTGTATTTCTGATAAACGCTCAAATACCTGAAGAAAGAGATGTGGTGTTAGCAGCGCCTCGACACCTGCTAGGACATTTGAACGCATGAAAGGTATGAATACGACGTTGTGCCATTACTTCTTAGGTCCCACGATGTTCTTGTGGAAAACGTCTTCGGCTTTGTTGATTATGTTTGTAACCAGCGACTCATCAACACTGACAGTTCGTAGGTAAAAGTTCTTTACATCGTCAAAGAGGTGAAATTCCACCTGCCCAAAGCGTTTTAGTCACAGATTATATTGGTTGTTGCTCAAAAACTGAAACAGCAACGTGTGTTGTGTATTGTTTGTCATATGCTTAGGGAATACTGTACCCGCGGGATCTTCTCGGCACTGTTGATGATTTGCATGAAGCCTCTGCGGATGAACTCCCAACATTCCTGAAGGCTCGGACTAAAGTCGATGTGAGGCTCGTTCACCTGCAGCTCAACCAGCAGCACCTGAGACTGAATATACTTCATCTCATCGAACACCTCGCCAAAGTCATTGCCCTCCTGAAGAACACAGAGCAAAGTACGAGTAGATTTTGCTTTCGCACAATTTCATTGAGACCATCGTAACGAGTTAGGAAGCGGACGTATTTTTTTTACCAAACCTCATGTTTAGTGAAGACAAACAACAGGTCCTGTAGTGATTCTACCACCAAGCTTCGGAGCTGCATTGACATGAGAGCAGCCACACAGCTAAAGAACTCCTTGACACTAACTAGAGCGTCCTGCTCGCCCTCGTGTACGAGGGGCGACCACAGGTCCTTGGAAGTGTCGATGAGTGAAGCACAGCGAGGCAGCCAACTGAAAGAAGAGGATTGTTCCGTTCAGTTTGAGCTATTTTCTATTGTTTTTGTTTTGTTTACACAACCTCATAGAGAAAAAGAGACATGCCATGGGAGACTGACATACAGAGTGATGGTATGCACGTAGGTGAAAGAAGCTAGCTTCTACAAGTTACAGCGGCTCATATTTCTGTCATGCAGCCAGTCGTCCTACAGGGCCGCTACGTGGTCACACAGGCTATAGGAAAATCACACAGAAAAGGATGCAATAGAATAATGAAGTGAGGCGGTGTGTAAAGCAATCCCCTTAGAGGCGGTCCGGGTCAGACAAAGTGGACATGTCGGTAACGTGAGACTGCATCTACGACAGGATTAGCTCTCTTAGTTGTGTATACTGCAGAAAGGACATGCTACATAATTAAGTCTGGACACCACAGTGTGGTCTCACTGGTTTGAGACAATCTGGCATGTTGGCAGTACTCACTTTTGGACCAGTTCATCCCTTGTGGTTTGGCACTGTCTCTGGACAAACTCTTCAAACTCAGATGGCAGGAGGGGGAGGCTGATGGAGAAAAGGTCTCCCAGTCCAACAAATCTCAAAGAGGAGAAGCTGAAAAAAGATTGTATTTGTTGATTTTAGCTTGTATATATTCTATTTGCAAAAATGTAATAAAGAAGATTTGATGCATGCAAAAAGACACATAAATACATACAAAGAGCCCTTCTAAAAAATACGTTTGGAGGCTGTTTTTTGTGATATTCTAATTCGCATATTGTTAATCCTCATTGTGTTATAATATTACCAAATTACCAGGCCATTAAGGAAGCTGATTTTCAGATTATTTAGCAGGATTTGAAAGAATATGTTAAGCATAATCTAGCTCACTGAATGTGTAAGGAACTTGTATTACCTGCTCAGCCAGACATCCTGTAATAGGATCATTATGTGACCGACAGCATACAGATGTTGGCCTTGCCACGTGTGGACCTTCTTGTAACTAGTGTGCCAAGGCACTGGCCCGCGGATCACCCTCCTGGGAAAGGACTTGGGGATGCTGGATATGGACAGTCTCTGGCACTCAGATGGGTCCATTAGAATGTAGTCCACTATAAAGGAGCCACATCAAAGACGGATAGATTGAACAGAATGATCAAGTGTAATTTTCAAGGCAAGTACAATGATAATCAACACAAGCACCAACTTGACGGACTGATTTTTCAAACCCACATGATATGAATGAAAGAATTAAAGGATTGGAATAATAATTGATTGTGTTTGATGTGTTAACAAATACATAAATAGCAACAGAAATAAAGAACAGCTGAAGCCGAGTTCTGAGTATATTTTGGTCAGACGATGGTACTTGCTTGTGTTCAAAATGTCCAAAGTTGTCATTGAATATTCACTAACACTCTATTGTTTCCTACCTATGCTCTTCGTGAGAGTGAAGCAATACTCTCTTTTGACCTCTTCCTGTATGTTTTCCCTCATAATCTTGTCGTGTATATTACTATCTTCAGTTTCGGGAGGCAGCTGGCGCATGATGTTCATCATCTGCTGAAGTGGCTGGGCTGCCAGCAAAGAGCTGGGGACACCATTGGTGATATAGTATGTATACCTCTATGGGAGAGAAGTTAAGATTAACGATGTGTCAAACAAGGTGAATCAGACGTTTCTAATCAGCAACTAACTAGTTCATTACAGAATGAATTGATACTTGCTTCGAGGTCTCTCTCCGTAGGTTCTGTCTGCATGGCCCTCATCATCTCCTCTTGCCTGTGTAAGATGGCCAACTGCTCCTGAGGACTCATGGGTCGGCAACTGGGAGTAAAAATGTTCCTTGATTTAGACTTTTGCCTTCGAGAGAGTTAAGCAAGAGAAGATGCATCCGCGTGAAAGCGTAAACAAATTAGATAAAGTGCTTCAAGAAAAAGCACGTGAAAGACAAGCTATTGCTCAAAATGTGTATATGTGAATAACCTTGTATTTGATGTTATTGATTGGCTCCTTCCAGATGGGGTTGATGCTAAAAGCCTGATTAAGATCCAAATACATTCTGAGAAGTTTGCAGGGCAGATTTTTGATTAAAAAGAAAGATAATAGCAATACATTTTTTTAAAGGAAAGAACATTGCAAATGTTAACAATCTCACACAGACCTGAAAGGATACAAGCCCCTACTGGTTTTGCCAGGGATTTACTTAAAGGGCTGTGCTGGACTTTGTTAATCTTGAGTCCCTGCGCCCGGGGACTGTAGTTATTTCCAATAGATTCACTGGGAGTACGGTGGTAACTTAGCTCCTTAAAGGGAGCTGCTAGTGTCTGAGAATTGGCCTGAAGAATGGGCGGGAAATGCCTCTGGTTCAGGAGTGTCTGCGGTAAAATAACAACTTGAATGTTATGGTGATGTACGGCAGCATGCAGGTCAATGTTGACACAGATATTCTTACTTGATACACTTTGAATGATTCTGCACTACATTCCAAGGGCAATGTTGGGGGAAAGGCACGTGCTCTGCTCTGACTCATATTGAAGATAGAGTCATCATCCATCTGTAGTTCGGACAAAAGTATAGTGAGCGTTGCAACAACAACAACAACAAACAAAGCCTGTGTTGAACAATGACAATAAACAAACCTTCTAACATTGTCACCAGTGTAGCCACTGACTTTAATTTACAAGTTACATTTAAATTACAGTTTTTTACATGCCTTGTTTGTTGAAACATGCTGTTTATTAAACGTCTCTTCCGTCGGGTAGAACCAATGAGCTACCGTTACGTTACCGTCACCTGCTCAGCGTTAAACCCGTCCATGTTGTTTCGTAACAGCTCAAATGTTTGAAGTGTCCGCTAGATATTTTGGATCAGGTTTTGTCCGTCAGACTGAATGTTTTGAAAATGTCTCACGTTGCTGAAAACCTAAAGATGGTGGATCTCGCCCAGCAGGGTCTCCATGGTAACCCAACCACCTCGTTGCCATCAGAGAAACGGTGGGCGGGGCCTCGGCCGCACTACAAAATACAGTTGAGTACAATGTACAATAAAACATCAAATCAAATTTCAAATATGTACAATACTATCTTATTAATTTGGCCTAAAGAATGTCACATTTTGAGCTAGTTTTTGCAGTAAACTATCTCATGACGAGTTACCCTTTTTCGTGGTTCATCTTCAGCTAACATTACGGTGTTTTGGATGACAATTTATCAAGAACAATATATCATAGTTAAGGAGAAAAGATATAGTTAGATTGGAGGTACTTTAGTAATCTGTAGGGTCCGGTATAATGCTTCATTTGAGGAAGGGGGCAATGGAAATTATGCATGCATTGTTCGGGACAACTTTGTGTTACATCCTTAGGGATGCATATTAATGTAACTGATAAAAAGATAGTAAGGACAGAAATAACATTTTAACTTGATATAAATCCCACTTCTAGCGTTTGATAGGAAGTAAGCGTAGTCATGTGCAGTAGGCGTGGTTCCGGCCGCTCAGAGGTGGCTGTTGTGCAGAAGAAGCGCCATAACTTGCACTGAAGTGTATCCGGCTAGCTTATTATTTTTTAACTATTTTAGAAATGGTAAGTTTCAGCGAAACTTTAAATGCTGTCTAGAATACACCGTTTAAATAAAAGCCGTGTATTGCTTTGTTTAATTGAAGCCATTTGTTGACGTATAAATCTGTACTAGCTAAGTAGCTACGTTAGCTTAGTTAGCTAATTAGCAACCTTCGCCTTGAGATTCGAAAATGGCGCACTAGCTGCTAGTAGCTAAACTCGGTTGGGCAAGCTACATTTAATATTAGCTAGCATTAACTAATATCAACGACTTGCTGTTTCTTCAACTGTTTTTGCTCCACTGTCATACATAACAGGTTTGATCGTTGAAGTTCGGTTAACTAACGTTAGCATGATCACCTAGCAGTCATGCTATTGCCCCCCCACAACGCACATGTTGCGTCCCACCGCGTAACGACATCATTCAGTGGGGATTAGTCTAGAATTTAAAATTCGATCCCATTGACGACCCCCTTCCTCCCAAAATCTTATGACATTGTAGGTATTTGTACTTTAGCGTGTGTATTATTTCCAGCGCGATCCCTGGAACCGTTTGAACATTTTGTTGTGGCGTTTTCGTACCTCATTAATCAAGACGTCATGTTGTTAGGACGCCCAAAAGCCCCGCAGCAGCAACCAGACGTCCCCGTCCCTGAAGCTGTCGAATGGCTTCATTCTGCCCGAAGGCAAACTGACCCCCAACGCCCTCTTTGTTGGTGGGATCGACATGAAGGTAAGATGGGGTGCAATTTAGCTCGTATAAAATATATCTGAATCCTAAAAAGCTCACTTTTACAGGAGTGAAACCCTTTCATTATGCATTTGAATTGCAATGCACGAGCACAATGTGTCAACCTGATCCGCAGTCTTCGTTCTTAGTTGTGCTGCTTGTTGTGAACAAGTGCTTTTCATTTTAAGGGGAATAGTTCCAGTAAAGCAACCCAAATTAGGATTTTCACTTTGAAATGATTTTTCATCCAATTTTCAGGTGGATGAAAATGAAATGCGGGACTTCTTTGCAAGATATGGAGTTGTTAAGGAAGTGAAAATTATCACATATCGTGGAGGGATCTGCAAAGGGTGAGAAAATGATAAACAATGTATATGTGTATTATTGTACTGCCTTGTACAATTTGTGTCATGGCTAAACCATAAATATTTCTGTTAACTTGTGCAAAATTTGTTTTTAGCTTGTGTGACAGTGTGTGGGTGTGAACTGTGGCGGCTGTTTATTTCCACATCAGTTTTATGAATATTCATAAGCTTTTTTTCACAACTTTGCTGGAGATCTTTCTTTTTCCTGATATTTTTCTTTTGGGTATCTGTATTCAGCCTTTTTCTTTGTGTCTTTTGTAGGTACGGGTTCGTGTACTTCAACGAAGAAGTCAACATTCAGTCAATCATTGAGGTGAGTGGATGCGTGATTGCTGATCTATTGCTTTTCTTTTCTCCAACTGGGAGTAATGTTTTCTGTTCTCATCTAATACCATAGCAACAGATCAGTTTTAAGGGTCGGAAGCTCAAGCTGGGTCCTGCCATCATGAAGGAAAGGAGCTCCCGTATGTATTCTAATGCCCTCAAGAAAGAACTCAATTGGCTGACGGCGACAATACAAGCTCTCGGCACTAAATGTATTTTCCAACCGTAATGTCGAGTGTTGTTCATGCTGTTCCTCATCCAGGGTCCATGCCGTCCCGTCTGGTTGGCCCTGCTCCCTGGATAAGCCCCACTCCGTACTTCTACTGCGGCTGCAGTGCACCCATGGGAGGGAGTATGGCACAACCTTCGCCCGTCCTCAATGGCGGCACCCCCTACAATCACGTAACGCTCGCACATCGCCACGCTATCGAGAATGTCATTTTCGCATGCAGGAAGATTTCATTTAAAGCTCGAGGACAATCTATCAATTTACATTCAATTAATAGAAAATATATCACAACATATAGTTGGCTCCGGCATGATCAATGTAAGTGCTAATAATATCCCAATTATTTAGACAATACCGTCTGTCAGAACTATTAGCAGGGAAATTGTAATACTTGCATGAGAAACGCTTATTGCTGCCGGCTCTCAAATCAACTGCATGATATAAAATCTATATGTACATGTTTCAACCTCTGCCAAGCACTGTTTCCTTCATAGAGGTACTTCTTTGCACTGAGGTTTAATGTGTTCCTTCTGTCTCTCTTTTGCAGCCGTACTCTTACTCAAACTTTGGAGGGGTCATGATCCCACATATGCCGTTAAACTACGCACAGAACGCTTACGCCTACCAGGTACACTCTCACAGTATGCTAATTAGTGAACAGCATCCTGCGCGAGGTCTCCGAGGCATAGCATATATTCTGCTGCATGTGAGATCCACCTGTTCCTGCTTGCCCCACACTTCACCCCCGAGCTCCGATATAGGCAAATCTTGCTTTGTCTGTTGCCATCTGTTTTACTGTTGACTCCCCTCTTCCCCCCCCACCCACACACACACGCGCGCACACATATTGAGCTCACTCCCGCTCACTAGATCAGACCACAGTACACGGCCTGTCAATCAAGTGACTACATTTAATAGGAATGGGAGTAGATTCACAGAGCAAATCACTAATTTGAAATGTGAGGCCAGTGGGGTGAAAATGCTGATGTAGACTTAACAAATCCACGGGATTAAGTCGGATGTTACAACTGTATATTTCATGTATCTGCTTTCGATTACTGTTGGAGAAATGTCCTCAGACTGCAATGTCCATGCAGGCCACTGGGGGGTGTCGGACGGCCACGATTCACACCCCGAAGAATGGACAGTGCACCAACAAAGAGTTCTTACAAGCGACCCTGTTTTTATGGAAGCTTTTAACATCTTGGAAAAATGTGTTTTCACTAATCTTTTTGTTATGTTGATGGGTTCTTCCAGAGCTTTGTTGACTGTGGAGTCCAGAACTTTGTTGACTGTGGAGTCCAGACTATGATGACTGTATTGTAGCCACTGAGCCCCCTGCCAGGTAATCATTACTTTACACACAAAGTGCCCTCATCCAGGGAGACCGAAGTATCCTCTTTCCACCAAAATGAATGTGTATGTGTTTGAATCGGGGTGAAAAAACGGGGTGATTTAAAAGGGGGTTGGGGGTGTTATTATAGTTTATTTTTCCGTATTTGCCACTTAGTCTCAAACGATGTTGGAGCGAAACAAAGAGCCCCCCAAAAGAAAACATAACACACTGCTTAGAAAATCAGTGCCAACACGCCTATTTTCAAAATAGAATATATTTATGGGGTATGTAACTGAATGAGGGAACTGTTATTTAAGTGTGTGTGTGTGTGTGTTCTGTCCTCCCGTCCCTTTTTTTTGTTTTTTTTAGATGCACGCTACAGTGAGTCACAATGCAGATCTGATGACCTCTTCATGTTCCGGGTGGCTGGAAGCAAACTAGCTTCTCTCACTGTTTCCTGAATGATACTCTTCCCTCTTTTTCCCCCTCCCTCAATTTTTGATACCAATTTTAACACCAGGCTGCAGGAGCTCTCCACTCTAACACTTTGACTGGTGTGGACCACTGTCGAGTGGTCAGACCGCTTTTAACCCACACGGATCACAGTGACAGTCACACAGGAAGAGGAAGAAAAAAAACCTCGCCATACCAGCTGGATTTTTGTTTTTTACATACAAAAGAGAAAAAAAAGACTTTTAAGCTCACTCTTTTGTGCCTATTTATGTTATATTTATTTTTTGGAATTATATTATACGTTTGGTTAGTTTGGGCCATTTTTAGCTTCTGCAAAGGCTCTGTGTACGTCAAAGGCACATTTATAAATATATATGTATATTGCAACAATGTCTTGACAGCAATCTTGTAGTTTGAGAAGTTGGTGCAAAATGTGACTAATTCCAATTCAGTTTCTAATGCTGCCCTTTTTGATTACGAAATCTAATTAACTTGTCTATTACAGTCTAAGGGCACTTGGTCATTCCATTAATGCCAAGCACTCATTCATTTAGTTCCCTGTTCTATTTAATTGGTTGTCGATTGAGGCTTTAAATGAGCGTCAGTTTAGTCTCATTACGGCGGCGTGCAGACTTTGCACGTAGCAGGACGCCCACCGTCCGCGCGTTGCGTCTCTAAACCGGCCCGGCCCGTCCTGTGACCGGGTGGTTCTCCCAAACGGGTCCCACTACAAGTACAGTCCGCCATCGTTCCTTTATTTTATTTTCCACCCATTTACTAGTCAATCAACTCCCATTTGGAGGGAAATACAGACGAGGGCTGTTTTAATCCGCTTTGAAAAACGAAGGACCGGATTGAAAGGTGCTCTCTGCCTCTTTGGGGGGAATTGTTTACTGTACATGGTTCACTTCATACTTTTTGTTGTTTCTCTAGTTGGGTTTTAATCTACTCGCAGAGGAATTTGCACAAAGTATTTTGCTGTCATTGTAAGAGGGAACAATGAGGCTTTTATAAAAGTATATATGTATTTTTGGTAAGTGCACTGCATTTGTTTTCTGTGAAACTTGTATGGTTGAAGGTGTGCATTTGATGCATGTCACACGCTTTGTTTTTCTTGACCCAGTTCTGCCTTGTGGCATTGACCCGGCGGGTCTCCTCACCCGACGTCTTGATTGTCCTTTAGACTCGTTTCTGTTCAGAGAACTTGGGCGCCGCACTGTTTTGGTTTTATGTTTGCAGGGTTCGGGTGTGTGTGTTGTTTGACAAAACAAATAAAAGTTGAAGTGTGCCATCGTTTGGTTTTCTATGTATATTTTAGGGGTATTAATTTGAAGACTGGTTTAGAGGTGATGCGCTTTCAGTGTCCCCCCCCCCCCCACACACACACACACCTCCACCCAGCCTCCATAAGCCTGTCAGCGGCTGCTGGTGTGCAGTCAGGGTTGCATATCCAGTCTTCCCTGGCAACAAGCCCATCATCTCTTGGCCACAGGAGCGTTTTGTTTTTGTCACAGTCTGGTGGTGTGACTGAGCTCCCTGGGGTGTCCTGTCCAGCATTGAACACCTATGAAGTACACCAACGTTCCGCGCCCCCCTCCCCCCCTCCACGTCGCTGCTCCACCAGTCAGACGTTTCTGAATTATGAATACGTCTGGATCGCTATGAAATATGAATTTTCCTAAAGGAAACCTTTTGGAAAAACATCCGACATCGATGGGAGAACAAGCAGCGTATCTTTAAAAGGTACCTTGCGTTTTTTTTTTTTTCCTCCTTTCCATTTACCATCAGTTTTTTCCTCATTTTAAACTCCACAATAACATTTGTTTCCCCAAAGTGATTGAGAGCAGCGGGTGAGGCGCCACTGGGAGGAGAGAGAAGGAGTGTAACGCGCCCTCCCTCCTCCTCCTCCTCCCCTCTTCTCCCTCTTCCTCACACCTCCGGTGACGGAGAGGCAGGACGGAGTGTTCATCATGAGCTGCACCGTGACAATCGGCGGTACTTTCTAAATGGAGGATCCGCGTCTCGTTCCCTCCGGATCGCGGCAGCTGGCCTGATGTGCGCCTCGTGAGCAGCAGCGACGGTGATAAAGAAAGGAGACTTTAAGGCGAGGAGGCACGCGCACATCTCTCCGGGTGTGAGCCTTCGTTCCGGTACACACTTCGCACAAACTGGGAGCGACTTGATTGGTGAGTAACTATTTGACAAAAGAAAACATCGAAAAATGTATACTTACAGAAATACCTGTGGTTTTATTATCGAGACCAGGCCTTGTATAATTCCCCATAGCCAATAAAATCTCCCCCCTTAGAGGCCAGTTTCGAACCAAACACACCTTAAAACCATTTTTATTGTGTCCTTTTAGGCTACAAGGCGCCCACAAGCCCCCCCCCCCCCCGTCACGTCTCAACCTTTCACAATAAAACACCTGTGCCGGGGAGCGATCTCCTCGTTTGATTTGTGTGCCGTTTGTTTATCCCCGGCGGAACGAAACGAGTAAGTCCTCCGCTCGCTGTCACAACTTGAGCAGCGAGCTCAAGATGTGTGCGTGACGGAGTCAACGTGTCGCGCGCAGATGGAGGAGGGAGTGGATGCGCGCGTGCGTCGGTACGAGAACGGTTTGGTGCGCAAGCGACCCGCCGTGTATCATATCCACTTCACCAAACTACCGCCGTGTTGTCATGAGGAGGGAGGAGAGGGGTGGGGAGGGGGCAGAAACATGTAATTTCAAGCTACGCTGCATCCACAAAATGCAATGGGCATCAATTAGTTACATGGTTATGTATTTGGAAGCACTTGGAGGAAGAAAAAAAAGAAACTGCTCATTAGCGTTGAGCGACACCCAGTTTATTGTGCAGGGCATTTTCCATAAGTTGTTGCTCCTCAGACTAAGTGTCTAAGATGATAAATTATGGATTCGAGTACCTTTAAGAGCGCACCTCGGGGGGTCGAGTAAATTGACGCCCTGTAGTCCAAACAGTCTTCCTTTGTTGATGAGCAGTTGTGTTTGGTGTAAAATAGGATGTGCGAGGAGCAGCGCCACAGACCAATACATCAATGTCATCATTTGTTTTTATCCTCCCCACGCCGCCTCATTAAAACACTGTTTGAGGTGACTACTTTGTTGCTTGCGAGAATCACACCTCCCTGCAGGCTTTTTGACATGCTCCCAGTCGGCTCTCCATCTGCATTCCTCTTTATGTCCCTGACGCCCCCTTCGCTCCCTCTCCTCCATGCCATTTCTCGGTGTCCTTCCCTCCCCCCCCCCCCCCCCCCTTAAATCGCATCCTTGGATAGAAGCTGAGAGGCGCTGCGACCCAGCGGGGGGGGAAGCCCACTCCCCAGGACTCAGTCTGTCACCTCTGATTTCCAAACGCAGTGAAGCTCTTCCAATACAACGCAGCAATGGTGAATTAATAATGCAACGGTGTCGTTGACAGAGCGACGCGTCTTTGCTGTCAAACAATCACGCAGCTCTAAAAAGTGATATAATTCAGTCCAATGGCTGGAAGGCCCTAAAAAATGTCTTTTTGCATAGTCGACGTAGGCAGCAGCAGGCATTGCGGCTTCCAAGCAGACCCATGAAGTCCCATAAGGAAGGAGACTGGAAGCCTGTGAAGTTTTATTTGCTGATGCTATAAACCCATTCTGTGCATCAGGTGAGAAATGGAACACGAGCAGCAACCACGATGTTCTATGCAGCATGGTAAACATTACACTACCTCCGCGGGGGGGCACACGGTGGTTTTAGTTAACAATGAGTCTAACCGCTCTCTCACGACCCCATGAAATAGTCAAATTTATATATTGTGGTTTTGTGTGAGGAAATCGGAAAGGCAAGTGCTCCAGCATATTTATTCCGACCTCCACTCGTGTAACATTTTGCTGGTGAAATGCACTGCCCCCTTTCGGTAATGCTAATGCAGATTTGTTAAGAACGTCATTTGGAGGCAGCGGTTTGGAGACTTTTTTTTTTTTTTTAAATGTAAGAGCAGGGTAGCATTTTCCCATTATTGGGATGCTTCAAAGTGCATTACCACACTTGTACCGTGGCCACAGAAAATACTTATTGGCTGGCAGCTAAACCAGTATTCACGTATTCCATTGTGACTAGCTACGCTCTTAAATCGGCCACAATATTGGCCTATTACAGGCTTAATGCAGATTTTCAATACGGGCTTATAAATAACGAGACAGTTCAGTACAGAAACATTGCGATGTTTTGGGTCATTTAGAAACCATGTGCTCACTTAATCCTCATAGCAGCTGTTGCTTCCTGTAAGCTAGTCAGCATAGTGGATTATAAGTGCTTTTTCAAATATTTATACAGTGCATCGAAAACAATGTCTTCAGACAAGAGACTAAAAAATGGGAATTTTAGCCTCCAGTAATTACTTTTGATTTCCCCAAGCTTGTCTGTAGATCTCCCTGTGCAGCAGATGAACGCTGCCCCTGCAGCTGCCCCCCCCCCCCCCACCCACCCCCTCCCCCCGAGTGGCACGGGAGGTAGCAGAGCAGTGGCACGCAGCAGACGGATTACGCTCTTGCGTAAATCCGCTGTCATTTCAAAACGCTCGGTTACAAGAGATTCTCTAATGAGAAGCCCTCTGCTTCTCCCCGTCTATCCTCCTCTTCACTCCTCCCTCCGTCGCTTCTTTTATCAGTCTCTCTCCCTGCAGTCTCTCCCCGTTAAATTGATGTTTTTGCTGTCAAGGCCCTTTTTCTCTCCGTGTGTTCGTGTCGAAGTGAGATGAGATGCTGCTTGAAGTCACATGCAGAGAAGAAGGCCTCGAGTCTCGAATTCAGTCCCTCCCCGGTGCTACAACCACATTTTTGTTTTATATTCTATGTAGATCTGCTTCTAAACCGAGCAGACAGTTCAGCGGTTAAAGCGAGGCCTTTTGTTTTTGGAAACGGAACCGTCAGCGCACATTGAAAAGGATGATGAGCTGCTGTGTAACACAGTTAAGCTGTAAGACCAGAACCAATCCGGGTTCATTTGAGCGCAATAAAACCAACTGCCACTAGCAAAATTGCAAGCCAGTTACTCCAAATTGTTATGATTTTTTTCTTTTTTTTTGCACTGCATTATGCATAAAGACATTTTTGAAAATTGAGATAATTTGCAATGGAATCTGGTAGAAAGTGTGTTAAACTATGAGCGCTAAAAGCTGAGAAAGTACAGACTCACTGATGGAAGGAGGCACATGACTCTTTCCCTACATGCTACTCTTCACACCCCTGTTGTCAAAAAGCCATCATTATCAGCCCCCCCTGCAAACCAGCCTGAGATTCAGCCTGCTAAACATCCCCTCATCAAGGCCCCTTGTCCTCGTGCAGACAGAGCATATTAAAGCCCTGCAGGGAGAACGTTTGGGAGTGGATCTACCAAGTCATAACCCCCAAAAGCCCACAGGACTGGCCGGCTGTCTGTCTGCAGACATTCTAATATTTTTAAGGGACTTAAAGGCTCGGCAGGGGAGCGCGCACACAGGACCAAAGGACTGGATGCACAGCGGGAAGAATGGGGAGGGCGGAGCAATGCAACGCAAAGACGGGGAGGCTCGAGGAAGGTAGAGACGGACATTGATGTGATGAATTAAATGATTCAATCAAGAGGGCACAGTTTGAGGAGGCGATCGAAGGGGCCAGATGTTGAGAAATACAATAAAAAGTCAGGACCAATTTACAACGAAATAGAAAAGGTTGAGAGTTCTGATCTGGTGGATGGAGGAGGAAAAAAAAAAAAGAAGAGGCCTGTCTAATCAAGGCCATTGTGACGGCATAAAGAAGGACGCTGTCCCAATCAAGGACGGCGCCCAGAAGCAGAGCAGAGGCCCGAAGACAAAGAGGTGATTAAGGCACGAGTCGTACAAGAGCAGAGAATCGAGCGATGACACATGGAAGAGCTAATGGTGTGAGAGTTCATGGGGGGGGGTCAAGAGGAAAGAGGGTGCCGGTGGCCACTTTCTCCTCCTCCTGCTCCCCAAGCGCCGTCGCCCTCCTCGTTTGTCCCCGTTACGAACACAGGATTGAAGGAATAATGACTCTTAATCGCTTGTCTGGGCTAAATGTAAAAAGACGGAAATGTACTGGCTCAAGAATTATGAGGGCCGACCATGTCCAGGGGAAGCCCCCCCCCCATCATAACCTTTTCAGAAAGGCACGTCCCATACAATCAGGGCTGTAAGTCACCAAACGTGCACTCTCTCTCTCTCACTCTCACACACACACACACACACACACACACACACATCCGGCTCAATGTCTGTCTGATAGGATCGTTAGCCGAGTTAATGTCTGTGCACTCGGCCCAATGGGAGTCCCAGGACCGCCTGCATGCTCCGCACAACGATATACAGCGACGCAGATGAAGACCGGCCTCGGGGGAGGACACGCACCTCACACGCCGTGGCAGACGGATGTCAGGCGCGGGTGTTTGAGACGGTTTGAGGGTACCGGCGCTGTCACCTCCGATCAGAAGTGCCGATGTTTGGGCACGCCCTGTTTCCCCCCCCCCCTCCTCTCCGTTCTACCCCGCGGCCCCTTTTGTGTGTCGATCCAACCCAACTCGTTTGTCCCCAAAACCACCACCCCTGCCTAAAAGGAAACGTCAAAGCTCCCTCCCAAATTGTGTTTCCAATCAGCTACCCTTGAGGGTGTCTAGCGGTCCTTACGCAGCGGGGGGGGGGGAACTCTTACAATAACATCGATTTATTTGGGCTTCCGGGCTCGGATCAACATATAAATGGGTTAGCGGTAGACCATGTTTAGTGTCCCTCCTCTCCCCCCCCCCCCGTCTATCTGGGCTTTGCTTTGGTCGAGAGGGCAGAGAATCAGTCTCATTTCTGCTTTAATTCATTCTGATCAAACATGTCGCTCCCAATCAGCCATGTTTGATTAGGAGATGCCCACATCGTAGCCCGCCAAGCAGGTAACGGCTGACACTTTCGTATTTTCACTTTAATTGCAACGTGTGCGAGAGATTCACATATTATTTCTCAGACATAAGCAATAGAATTCCGACTCGTGTGTGTGTGTGATTATCAGGCACAGACTCAAGTGCTAATGTGCATTTTATATTTAGAAACGACCCATTTCGTGTCTCCCACTCAAGTCTTTGTTAGCGCCACCCTGTTTCCGTCTTTTCATCTACGTGTTTTATTTTAATTAACACTTGTTTCTCACAGAGACATGGGGTGCAGGCTTCCTAAGTTGCGGAAGGCGGAAGAGAGGCGAAGCCCGGGTAACATCTACTCCACCCTCCGACGGCCACAGGTGGAGACTAAAGTGGGCGTGGCATACACCTACCACTTCCTGGATTTCCTTCTGGGGAAAGAAGGTATGGGTACGTTTAACCGCGTGGCGTCAACCACTGCTGCTTAACCGCTAAAATCTTACATTTCCCCAGTTATGTGTGAAGTTTGTCCTTTTCTGGGCTCCACGGAGACGTGGACTTAATGTGCTGTTGCTTCTCCCAAACGTATGCATTTGAACTTTTTGGTAACTTCATAGTCAAAGATGATTATACGGTTAGCGATCTTGTACTTGAACCAATTAGTTTTATACCTTTTTAAGCGGGACAGCGCCGTGTTTTACTCGTGGTCGTTTTGTGGCCTACTATCATATTCCCTCCATGTCTAAGTTGTTTGAAGATAACAAAGAAGATCTTGTCGAAACCAAAGCTGCCCCGACAAATTCCAACGATCAAACAAACCTTGTAGCATCCACATCTTGTATGGCATTTTATGTAAAAGAATCCCACCGAGCAGTGCTGAGGACAACAGCATGATCACGATTCATTAGGCTCAGAAGTACCTCACTACCACTCTGAGGTTTTACTCACAGTGAGCGAACGAGGGAGAGATGGAGGAAGCGATTTCAGAGATGGCTGAAATGAAAAGAAAAGATCTCATTAGATGCAGCAGATCTGATCCACTTTTTCCCCCCAGTTCCAGTGTGTGTGTGTGTGTGTGTGTGTGTGTGTGTGTGGGAGGGGGGGGAACGGGCTCCGAGGACCGAGTCTTCACGTTTGGCCGTAATTCAAAGGAATTGTTTTTACTGAGCACCTTGAAGGGAGCTTTTCCCCTTCAGTCTGTCTGTGGAACCCGGCTCTGTGTTAGTGAACTTGAGTGTTTATCCTCTTCCACTCATGAAATGGCCTCCGTCCTCGTTCCAACAATAACCAGTTAGAATGAAATGTTTTGGTCAGCAACTGCGTGTGTGTGTGTGTCCTACCGTAAGTGTCTCGAGGGCCAAAGTGTCTCATAAGCTGAAGTTGTGTGCGTGGCTCCTGTTGCGGAGTAGAATGAGTTCACAAAATCTCAGATTCAGCTATATTGTGCGCGCTAAAGCCGTGCCCTCCAACCCCCCCCCCCGCTCGCACAATGGCAACAGACTAAAGCTGATTTCTGTTACTTTGACTCGTCTAAGTGTGTGTCTTTGTGATTATAAAAAAGTAGTCCTCCTTATTACCGGGTGTGTGTGCCGTGTGTGTCTCGTGACGTCTTGAGAATCCTTCCAGAGGCATCTGGGGCCTATAAATACTAATTCTGCCCATTATGTGGGTGCGCACTGTGAAGAGATAGAAAGAAGCGAAGCGAGCGACGAAAGAGAAACTGATGGTGTCAAAAGCGCAGATATAAAAAAAAAAAAAAAAATCCCCTTTTCCCTCCCGGCTTAATGTTTCCTCGAGCCGGCGCCGCGCTCTCCATCACCCGGCGAGCTGAAGCAGGTGCAAGCAGCTCCATTGAAGGCCTTTTTTCACGGAGGACTTTCCGAACGCGACACTGTAGCAGCAGGCACGCTGCCACAGCCAAGTGGCGGCGGACGGTTTGCCAGTCGGCTTCATTTTCCGCCGGCCGTGTTGTGTTTGGCAAATGGGTGAGGCCGTAGCGTTGGCTGTCAAGAGATCTGGCACCCCAAAGCGGTGCCGGTGACCAAAACGGACAATAGACATGAGGATCGCTCGTCTTTCCCTTTGCTGAAGGCAGCAGCCGATCAATTGTCTGATGTCATGGGCAGCAGCGTCACGCGCACACACACACACACACACACACACACACACACACACACACACACACGTGAGGAGCGATGTTGGTGGTTCATTCACAATCGCATGAAACACTTTATAGCTCTTAGTCAATAGAGTTGGTGTTATCTTTCAACCGACAGGCAGGTCATTTATATGGTAAAACTCACTGACGCTACCTGAGCTGCTTAAGACGGGTTTACTCTAAACACGGCACCTATGAATGGGGTGGGGGTGGGGGTGTATGCACGTCTCTCTCCCCCCTTCTCTCCATTTGTGATTGAGAGACCAAGAGAAGTGAAGGATTCCTGGAGGATTATCTGATTGTTCGTGGCGATTGGGAGAGACCTCATTCCCAGCAAAGGGATTTATTTGTGTTTGTGTGTCCGTGCGCGTGTGTATGTAGGAGGCAGATAGAGGAATCTGTATGTCAGTCCATGACATTGAAGAAACCCACGGTCAAATTCACGCTTTAATTCAATTTGGCTCCCATTAGCGATATTATTTCCCTGCCAGCGTGACTTGACGACTCCTACACGGCAATCAAAAGCAAATATCTTTCCCCTCTGAGATGTGAGACTAGGTGGCTGCTTCATAAACTCAATTGTGAGCACAACTATGTTGAGCGTGCAGAGGAGTGCTGGGTGGTGTGTCACCATGTGAACTTGGCCAGTGATGACATTTCCCAGAAACCGTGTTGCTGATAATGATAAAGCTGTGTTTTATAAGCTGTTCTCTGACTGCAGGAGGGCTGCAGCTGAGAAATATTTCCACGTGAGTAAGCCCGACTTACTGCGAGGTGGAGTCAGTCACTCGGCCTTTGCTTCCCGAACGGAGACTTTCTTTGATATTCGGCTCCAAACCAACATCTTATTCTACGGATTTGTGTGATTATTCTCTAATCACCTACTGCGTGCCGTCACACCTTTTACAGCAAATGCCACAATCTTCATCATTCCCATTTTCAAACTAATTGGTTACCTTGACACGAACGCAAGGAAACAGCCAGGTGTGACATTTGAACCCCCCCCCCCCACACACACACACACACACACACACACACACACACACACACACACACACACACACACACACACACACTCCCTCTCCTTTCATGCCGAAGTTGTGCTCGGATAACGAGCTAGCGTAGCGTAGCGTGAGCAGAAAAGAGCTGGAGCAACGTGGACGGGAGGGAAGAAAGTCAAGGAGTTGAAACGCGGAACAGAAGGCGCCCGAGCAGAAGAACCGGCGGCGCCGGCGGGAGTCAGGCAGCTCTGGAAGGGGGAGGCGGAGCGGCGTGGAGGGTGTGAGAACGAACGGGAGTCAGGAGGCTCGAGGACGTGTGAGGAAGTAAGTCAGGTGTGATACTGCGTGACGAACGCCGGCCTCCGCGGCAAACAGCGAGAGGAGCTGAACGCCGCTGATGACTTTCTGCCCCCCCGCAGAGACGGAGGCCCACTCGGCTCATTAGAACTTACAACATGCGCCTGATGCTCAGCAGCGTGCGTGTGCGCGTGTGACTCTTCACCTCACCCACCGGTGTACAGAAGCTATCGCGACTGAAGGTGTGCAGAAGGTCTGCGCCCGTGTGCATCAACGCCTGAGCGCTCTGATAAATGGCTCCTTCTGTTGACGGAGACCGATGTACATTCCCCCTCCGCTTCGCCTGGTTAATCTTTTGCCGTCGCACTCCGTCTGAAGTATTTGGCGTGGCGAGGCGCAGATCCATCAGTTTGAGAGATCTTTTCTGCCTGACACACTTTTCCAGGCAACGCTCGCAGATTGTTGAGACTGTCGGTGCCACTTGAAACCGCCTTTTCTAAATGATTCCCCAGCGCGGTTTCCGTCTTATTGTCTCCAGAGAGAGAAGAAGCCAAAGGTGGCAGAGAGATTCGCAGCCTCTCACCCCCCACCCCCCCCCCGGCACTGCAGGGGCCTGAAGGGCCTCGCTGTACCGAGCCTTCTGAACAGAACCCGCCCGATGCTGACCAACAGACCCTCACGAGCCCGCGGCTGCATTCCCAAAAGCAGCGAGGAGCTCCTGGCTCCAGGAAGCTCGATTTTGTTTTATAGTCGCTGTTTTGGCACACGTCCTCACCTAGAAAACTCTGGTAGTCATTAGAAGGCTATTTAAAATAAACGTGAACCTCCAGCAAGCGCAGGGATAAGCCTCCGGGGCGGCTGTGAGTAATCCCCATGCATCACCTAGCAGGCTTAGTGCAAAGAAACCCCTCTTTCTCTCTCGCTCACAGGCGAGAAGAGCGATGGCCCACACACGCTCGCTGAGATACGGTGACGCGCGGACGCCCCAGAATACACTTTAAAGTGAGAAATTCTGGGATTAAAGTACATGGAACTAATGAATCCGTTCGAGCCGAAGGGGGGGGGGGGTGACTCTCTCTCGCGCAACCCGCAGTCCGTCCATTCGCAGGGCGAAGTCAACCAAACTCGCTCATCACGCACCTCCAGTCCTTTAGACATGCAGGCATTGTGCCCTCGCTGCACCGTAAAGACTCCACCCTCCAGCCGCTGCCACTCGGGCCGTTTTCGTAACCGCAGCCTCCCCGTGCGGCCCGCGGTGGGCAGACGGTGTAAATGGAGTGGGCCCTTCTTGGCCCAAAGCGCAACGCAGCGCCCCGAATAACTTCTGTACGCCTCGCACGAATCAGATGAAGCTTCTTGGCGGTGGCTGAGTGCCAGCCGAGCACAGCTAATGGCGGCTAATGACTGTTTAGGGTGGCGGGATCGTTGTTACCCCCCCCCACCCCGGTCCCCAGCTGTTTCTATTATTATTATTTATTATTATTCTAATCAGTGTACTGCTTTTGACGAGTCACCAGACAGTGTTGCTTGATGAAAGGCTCTCCTGGTTCCGCCAAACCTGGTGTGATGGTCGGCTTGACTGTTCATGTGCTTGTATTCCTCCTGCGATGGCCAGCATCGTGTGTGTGTGTGTGTGTGTGTGTGTGTGTGTGTGTGTGTGTGTGTGTGTGTGTCAATACGCCAGATGATGGAGAACAAATTGAAAATGAGATAGCTTTCACCCCCCCCCCCCCCCCTCTTGTTTGTGTGGGTCTAGTTAATTTATTCAGGTTATTTTCTCTTCTCCAGACCGATGCAAATGAGATTGAATGGGAGAGGATGACAAGCACTCAGGCACAAACCGACTGCCTCATCTCTCGCTCTCTTTCTGTGTCTCTACTTTTCTCATCTCATTTTCCTCGGTCACTCTCTCACACACACACACACACACACACACACCTGGCTCCACTCAGTGATTCAGAAACACACGTGTTCCCTTTTTAAAGCTCGTGAAAACGAGCGGGAGCTTTACCACAATGCACCGCCCCCCCCGAGAGGGCGCTTCACTGCGCCGTCCCTCCGCGGGTCCCAGACGGTGCTCACGGACGATAAGCTCCTCAAGCCATTTTCCACTAAAGTAAAGGTTTTTTTTGTGTTTGGTAATAAGGAGAAGCGGCTCTGTGTTAGCGATTCCTGGTAATACCACACAGCCAAGCAGGCAATGTGATAGCATTGTCTTTGCATTCCTTTGATGTGTGTGTGTGTGTGTGTGCACATTTTTGACTGCCTGTTAGTGCAAGAGAAAAGGTGTTGGTCTGTCTGTGTTCTGGATGAGTGTGTGTGTTTGAAAGCGCCCTGCGCAGCATGCATATGCATCCATCTCTTTGCACGTGTTCCCAAACAGCCAGACCGGCTGGTGACATTGTGGGTAAATAGTTCTGGTGTAATTAGTTCCAGATTTAGCGTGACGGTGCCATGTGTTGTTGTTCGGGGGGAATTACCATAATGGAACATGCTCCGTCTTTGTTTCCTCTTCCCCCTCCTTGTTCCAGTTTTTTCCTCCCCTTCTAAAACTCCTCTCTACTATTTTCCCTCCGGCCCCTTTTTTTACAACCTGTCACGTCCATGTCTTGAACATTTCCAGTGTGTGTGTGTGTGTGTGTGTGTGTCCCCCTCCGCTCTCACCTGTTCTCCTTCCTGCAGAGGTGCCCGTGTCGTCGGTGCTCTGTCTCTCCTCGGTCAGGGAGCTACCGGTCCAGGTCCGGGAGCTCTACGCGCAGGGTTTCGTCCTGGTCGCCGTCCACCCGTTCGTCCACCCCTGCGGCCCGAGTCACGCGCACATCCAGCGCCAGCTGCACCGGGCCGTGCTGGTCCGAGAGACGCCAAGGTGAACAAACTCAAAACGAAAAACGTTTTTCACTCCCAAGGATTTGTGTAGCAGATTGATTTAAATTAATGAGACGATTCATTCGCATCCGGGATTTTAGAAATTTTAGTGGCCGCCTTTTGCAACTTCGTTGTTGTGACGTGGAAGCCAACTGAGACCCATTACCACGAGCAGAATCCTGCACCTCACCTCCTCCTCTTGATGTCAATTTAATTGCAGATGAGTCGGCCACAAAAAACATCTAATTTTAGCTCACCGTCCCAATTCTTTCCCTTTTGACTGTACTTGACTTTATACTATACCGTCTGACTACAAGGCGCACAGTGCATCTCTTCTGTAACCCAGTTATTCTCTGGTGAAAAGCATGTTTTGCTTTTTCTTTTCTATTTTCTTTTCACCACTGAGTCTGGTGAAGCAAGCTGAGCTTTATCGCAGCATCTCACAGCGGCAGTTACTGACATATTTGCTCAAAACAGGAACCAGAGACCTCCCATGTCCGGTTGGTTGGTTCATTTGTAATTCCATTGGGTCTTAACTGATTCTCCCCCACTGGCCAGAAACAAGAAGGCTTTATTGAAAGTCATTCATACTTATTTTTCCCCAATTCCTCATAGTATTTACCTAATGCCAAATGTCTTTAACTGGAGACTATCCAGAGGATACATCCTGATGACTTTATTAATCCCCGGACTTTTCATCTCACACCACCAGCAGGTCAGTGACTAATCCAGTGAAATAAATCCTCATGAACACATTTAGTACAGACGTTCAGTTAAGTTGATCATTAACCTTTCATCTTACTCCATATTTTGGTATATTATTTCAATAATTTGACTTAATACTTACTAATGTTTTCATCGCTAGTAAACGTTTGCACAGTAAACTAACATTGAGGACGTGTTAAACGTTCTAAACATTAACGTTATCGTTGCGAGCGTGTTAGCGTAGCATTTAGCTCAATGAAACACTGTTCAAATCCAGACTCAAGGAGCTGTAAGCATGGTTGTCGACTCGTAAGCCTCCTTGATTTGCTATTCGTGGTATTTGAACTTGCTTATAACCTTTTTTTAGAAATGTATATTTGTATAACGTAGCATTTATTGCACCACTTTACATGAGTGAGCTACAGCACATAAACTCATCCGCACACTCGCATATCTGAAAATCATCTTACTGAAATAAATAAATCTATTGTGTGAGATGGGAACCCGGTCAGTGTTTTTTTTTTTTTTACTAGGACAACCATAGTCACATACGCTTACTCCTTTCAATTTAAGGTATTACTTCGCTTAGTCTGCAGTTTTGGGGCGTTCTCCTGTGTTCAGTGTCGCCGCTGTAATGTGAATTCAAGAATTGGCTTGTTATGCTCACAGTACCTTACACACCAGCACCGACACCCTCACCCTAGTGCACCGGCAGGTCCCGGGCGGCCCCTTTGATGCCCCTGCTGCCAGGCGGCCCTGCTGCTTCCTGACACCTGTCACCGTGGAGACGACTGATTGCATCATCAGCACTCGCCAGAGGGGAACGGCGCGCTGAAAGAGGAAAATCCATCTCTCCATCCTTTCATCTGCTTTCCTCAGGGAGCCCCCCCCCCCCCTTTTTCTTTTGTCCTTCTCACCCCCTCCGCCCCCTTTAACTCCGCCTTTTATCTCCCCATCACTGCCATCCCCTTTCATCAAAAACCCTAAAAAAAAAGAAAGAAACCAAATCTGACAGATGTACTGTTTCAAATCTAGCGGAGAATGTCACTCACGCCTCAGTACACAAGATATTACCACGGCCTTCCCACTGACCTCAATCCAAATCTGAAGAGGCGTATCTGAATACTGCTTTTATGATGGTGTCTCACAGTGGGAGCCAAAGGAAATTCACTCCCTCTCTCTCTCTCTCTCTCTAATAAGTCTTTTGTGGTGGTGGTGGATATGTGCTTCCTTTAAATGGGAAAATTCAGCCTGCACCAGAATCGACATTATGTTTCTGCCGAGAGTTAGTGAGCGCGGGCTGCAACAATCTCGTTTGGACTGTAATGTTTCTGGGTAATGGAACCGCACAGGTGATAATGGGAAAAAAACCAGCCTAAAGGAAATGTAATGTAGAAACTGTACCATCAGATCTGACACGTCATGGTTCACAAGAGCAGAACTGAACTGAATGGCGTAAGAGGGAAGCTTAATGAGGAGTGTTTGAGGAGACGTTTTTATTTCTCGCCCCTCAGGACTGAGAAAAGCCAACTGAGGTGCGGGAGACGTCACCAGGAGACGGACGTGTGCGTCACATGTCATCAGGCGGCCGACCTGCACTTGATCCAGAGCTACGTCAAGAGGGCGAGTTCAGTGTTTTGGGAACCATTGAAGCTTGCCCGTAAAGTTCGTCTTTTTCTGAGGTAGAAAGCATTGGATCGCTGCGTATACTGACAACAAAGCTGGTGTCGATGTTGTTTTTTTTATTAAAAGATGTAGTTGTGGCAATAAAAAGATCTTTAGTAGCCCCCTGCTGAAGTAATAGAATGAGCCGGATCTGCAGAGCGTGCGATTGAAAAAAATATATATATTAAAAAAGGGTTGTCTGTTAAAATAGTGTGACGCTAAGTCAGTGGACTCTTTGGAAAAAAATTAAACAACGTTCCCTTATTAAGGGAACATAATGGGGCCTAAATGGCTACAGGCAACAGCCTTTAATTGCCTGTCTTTGCCATATGGTAACCCTGCCTCTAAAAAATAGATAGAGGAGGAAAGGAACTCCGAAAAACACCCTGGATTCCCACTAGTTGCGGCTCCTGGGCCCCTGCGCGCTGTCCTGCCACTACGAAACCAAAGGAGGAGCCATGTGACGGATGGGCGGTCACGGAAGTCACGGCGAACTATAATGAGACTTGACCCGAAGATGCCCTGCCAACCACGGCGTCATTACTGGCATTTATCGGCTGTAAAACTCACTTTTAGTCTCTGCGCTCATGAATTCTGCAACAGTCCCACAATGGGAAATGAAAATGTGCTCTATTGAATAGATTTGCATCTGAACACACATGGAGCACAAAGGGAAACCTGATTGGATGGAAATGCACATCACAGAATATAATGTGATAGGCCTCTGCGCCGTGAGATGAATAACCAATCAGATCGCAAGCTGCCAGAGAGAGTTCCAGATAAGAACCCAGGAGCTGTGTGTGTGTGTGTGTGTGTGTGTGTGTGTGTGTGTGTGTGTGTGTGTGTGTGTGTGTGTGTGTGTGTGTGTGTGTGTGTGTGTGTGTGTGTGTGTGTGTGTGTGTGTATAAATTCTCTACTTCAATTTCGCCAGCTCCTGCTATCTCACCCACTCTCAATCTGTCTCCGGACACACTCATCAGATAAGGCGTCGTGTGATTTTGAGTGTGTCGGGCGGTAATAGAGAGACCGTTAATACACGTGATGTGTGGGTGGACGAGTGAAGTGTCAAAAGTCGCGGGGTAATGGGGGGGAAGATGCGTCTCGTTATTGTTTGGTGGTAGTTTGCGATCTGATTTCTCTCCCGCTGAGCCCGTCTACAACTGTCATCCCAAATATCAACTGACAATTAACTGCCACGGCTCCGCGGGAGGGAGCGGCGCCGGGCGCACACACGCGGCTGCGTCGGGATAATGAGGTCCTTTTGTCATTTGAATATTTGATCTTTGCGGATGATTAGGCAGGTTGTTATTCTGCAGAATATCTACTCTGCGTTTGCAGCCTTTGTTTGTGTGTAAATGAGGCCGTTTGTCTGACTGTGCGAATGTATTTGTGGTGCTGTGAATGACGTCCTTTTGTATTTATGTGTCAATCAAATCTCTTGAATAGAGTGTAATATGTGTGTGTGTGTGTGTGTGATGCGTGGCTACGCCTACAGATCCAGGATGTAGCGGAGCAGGGAGTGATGTTCGTGGGGTTTCTGCAGCAGCCGGGTGGAGGACCCTGCTACGTGGGTCACTGGGATCCTGAAGAGCTGTCCTCCTTGCACTCGAGCCCCTCGCCCATACGCCGACACCCCTTCAGCGCCAACAACAGCCCAACGGACCCCGCAGAACCGCAGCGTAATGCCGCAGAACCTGACCACCGGCGCCCGGACCCTCGGGAGATCGCTGACGTAGGTGCGGAGAGTCGGGAGCCGAGCCTCCGCCCCCTTAACCGGGAAGAGTCCGCTGAGCCGATCCGGACGCTACAGATGGGCCTCGAGGAGTCCAGCGTAGACCCGGCAGACCCCCGGGGGGGCCGGCAGAAGAAGAGCCATCTACCGGACCTCAAAGAGTCCACAGAGAACCATTTGAACCTCTCCAACCAGGGAGACGGACACAGTTCGAGCTCCGGCAGCTGGCCCAGCTCTCCTGAACTGGATGGAAACCGGCAGAGCCGACTGACCGCGCACAACAACAACAACCACCACGTCCGGCTCAAGAGTTCTGAGAAAGATCAGAACGCCACTTTGCCACCAGCGCAGGGAGGTGAGCAGTCGTACAAATCCGCTTTCACGCAAAGTTCTACTTGGTGTCTTTTTTATAGTTGTGGATTTTTTGCCCGTTTGTGCGCCTGCAGGGATGCAGCTCTTCGCCTTGTACAACCACACGGGAGAGATGGACGCCTCTCCGAGGTTCTACTCCCTCAGGGTGCCGCTGCTGGTGCAGAGGGAAGCCGGGCTGATCACGGACGTCGACACGCACTGGCTGGACCACATGACTCAGCATTTCACCAGCGGCGCGCACCTCGTCGACGGGTTCTTCCACCTCCGGGATGAAATCGGTAAATCGGAAAATAAAACATTCTGTAAACTGACTGAAAAGGATGCGCAGATTATCCGTTTATTCACATATATCATCTCTTACGGATGTATGGATTATCGCCCCTTTAAAGAATCCTCCTCATCTTTCACCGGTTCCACCAGTTTGTTAGCAAGAGGAAACTGTTACTCAGGCTGCAGAACTCTGCTGCTGGATAACTGGTGCTCTGCGTCGACCGACGGGCCATAAATCCACGGCTTATTCTAGAAGTCACCGTTCAGTCGCCCGGGCTGTAACTCTGCTCGAGCCGATGGACGGAACAGGGTCGATAGCGAGAGATTGGAGGGTGGAGAAGAGCTCGTAACTCCTGTCTGACTCTTTCTCACAGACATCCTCCTCTGTTTATCTGACTCTAATCTGTCCTCCTCCTCCAGACAACGGCGTTTCCTCCGTGGACGGTGTGTTCATCTTCCAGAGCACCGCAGAGGAGACCACAAGCGCCTCCTACGACGCCATCGTGGTTGAGCAGTGGACCGTTGTTGATGTGGGTCTTTTTTTTTTTTTTTTAATACTCTGGTGAAGATGTGAAATCCTCTTTTTGACTGAAGTCTTAAGCTCTTTTCTGTCCAACATTCCATTGCTGGTGCCTGAGCTTAAATGTGTCCACCTGCACAGGTACTCTGCTTTCCCTTTGTGATCCCCTTGTGTGTCTTTGTCTGAGCGCTTCTCCGTCTCATGTCCAGGGCGTCGTGGTGAAGACGGACTACATCCCCCTGCTCCAGTCTCTGGCTCCGTATGGATGGAGGCTGATGTGCGTGTTACCCACACCCATCGTCAAGACAAACAGGTACAGAAGAACCCCCCCCCCCCCCCCAAGGCACCGCTGTTACAGCTTAAACTCACCTGTCCTCTGCTTTCTCTTCATATTCCATCACTTTGAATAATTTAACGCGCTGCTTTGTTGATTTCAGAGACATTGTTCTCTTGTCTCAAACGCTTTTATTCTTTTTGGGATTAGGGCTGACGGCGGGGCTTTAAAAAAAAAAAAAAACAGGACAGATGGTTTGGGAGATCTGACAAATCACCGTCATATGCTCCTCTCTACACAAAACCGCTTTTGAATTCCGACGGCGCCGCGAACAAACACGGTCGCCGGCGGGCTTTTGTCTTGTCGCCTGTCACTTCACTGGCCTGCGGAGAACCGACACTGGATTTTCGACGCGTGCGAGCGCCTCAGATTGGAACATTAGTAAAAGTGCTGCTCTCTTCCTTCCGCAGCGACGGGAGTTTGTCGACCAAGCAGATCCTCTTCCTTCAGAGGCCTGTTTTGCAGCGCAAGAGAAAAGACTTCAAGGTTCGCTCCCCTTCGTCTTCGATCTGTCACTTTGTGTCTGTTGTGCCTTTAGGATACGTGCTTTATGTCACAGAAGGTGTCGTTGTAAAAGTTGTGTTACTAAATATGGGACGTACAGCGAATTTTGAAACCGCTCAGGAAAAGTCTAAGAATAGGCGAAGACTCGTCCGTGCGCTGTACAGGAACGAGGCATCAACGAGCGGCGCTTTGTTGTGGTTTGGCAGCTGTCTGGAGAGATGGAGAGAGGAGGAGAGACGAGTGCAAACCTGCCTCTCACTGCACATCTGTTTGTTTCCAGATGCGGAACCTCAGGGGTTGCGGCAAGGCAAAGAAAGGATCTACTGGAGAAACTCAAGAAGACCGAGAGAACATGTACCCGCTGATGGACAAGCTGAGAAGAAACTCAAAAGACGACGACGACGAGGAAGAGGAAGGAAAAGAGGCTGAGGGGAGGAAGAGCAGGGACGGCGGAAGGAGCGAAGGAGCGAGCCTTCAAAGGGGCTTCTCGCACCTTTCCGGGAGCGGGGCTTCTTTTGAAGACGAGGAAGAGGAGACGGACATCGATAACATCCCGCAGCGAGGGAAGCCGCAGAGGTGGACAGATGTGTGTCAGAGAGTCGACGGAGGGGCGAGGGAGGAGCTGAAGACGGAGGAGCGCGTCAAGCAGCAGCTGTTTTCCGGCGTCTGTTGACACATCGGGCACAGAGCTGAGGAGTTTACAACAAAAAGAAAAAAAAAGCCTTTTGAAATAGCGTTTTAGTTTGTTTTAGTTCCAACCCAGATGTGGTCAGACACGACGTTGCTAGTATTCACGTACCGTTGCCTCGGCTTCAGTGTGCTTCGTCCAGGGTGTCCGCTGCGAGTCTTCAGGTCGTAGCTCTCAGTGGGGGAAGTTCTCTGCTCTGGGTCGGTGTTGCTTTTCGATGTGTCCCTTCTATGAAATGAAGCGGTTCAAGGCCGATAGAGGAAAACCTAAAGTCTGCAGGTTTGAGCATTTGATGCGATCTTTCTGGCCGATGGTTGTATTTGACTTTTCTCGGAGTAGGACGGTTAAAAAGGGAGCACTGATTTCAAGGGACTCACTGTATTCTTTTTTAGACAAGAGACGGTGTTTGTTGTGCGCTGTATTAGAGCCTGACGGACACGTGCATCCACCAAATATAGCTCCGACTTTAGCTCGAATCATGAACTAAGACATTGCATATGTCCTTTGTCAAATATCGTATTTGAATGAATCTTCATCACGTTCGAAACGCCTTTTCAAAAAAGATTCCTTACATTTGGAAGTTTTTTTTTTATTAGCTGGGTTCTAAACCACATGGAGACAATACATGCTACAATTTATTGGCCCTGAGCATTAAAGGCTAAATTCCTGTGATGTGTAAAAGCCTTTTATCCAGAGTAGCAGAATTATACTGTAAACCCAGAATGTCACATGAAAAACGGACCTTAAAAAGGTTTCTTCTTTTAGGGAAAAAAAACACTGTATAATAAGAATCAACTCTTCATTACTTATTTCCTGGACCGCCTGTGTCGTGTAACATGTCAGTCTTTATATAAAAGCACAGGTCAATAAAGTGTTTCAAAACAGATTCAATTTCTTTTATTTCCATCATCAGTACAAACTGTTTTCCTCATTCAAGGGAGAAACGCAAAAACAACTCAAATGAGTCTCAACCGCGTCCCCCCCACTGGGAGACGACGACGAGTTCGTAACCATCTCCGAGGGATGTTAGGTGATCCAAGCCAATCAGAGACCACCTGGAGGTTCCATTACAGCGCACCATGGGACGCTCGCCCCGCCCCCGGTATGAGACGCGTGAGTGAGCGTACGGGAGATAAGCGCTGCGCGTGGAAGTGGGAGAAAGAGGCCGGGACGCACGCCAAGATGTGGGAGATTGTTCGGTTTTGGACTCTGAAAATACACTGGGTGTGAAGTCTGCATGAGCGTAAAGTGTGAGAAATAAATCGCTCCAATGTAACGAGTCAATCATCGGGTGACCAACTCTAAAATCTTCAGTTCAGCTAATAAATATACACATCACATGAAGTCAGCGGAGGTAAATTAACCAGTTGTGTAAAAATAATACCACTGATCTGTTTACTGGTGATTTAGTATTTCAGGGAATTGATGAGCAGATCAATACCACTCATCTGTCGCTAAATGGGAAGCTCAAGCTGACTGAGTACAAAATCCGCCTACAGCTCACTATTAAAAACCCCCAAACAAAAGTATGGGAGTATTCTGACAGACTCCCTGAACATAGTTTAGCACATAATCCACAACCCGTCGACCGGACTCCACACTAAGCGACTTGCTTTCTTAGGTGTATTTAGTGGAAGTTTTTCTAGTCTATTTGTTTGTGCAAAACCTCAGTCAAGCAAATGAGATTAGACATGAAGATGTGAAACACATGTGAAATGATGTGTCACACACGCATAGTTTCATTATTGTAATATTCAGCAGAGAGCCGGCGGCTGTGTTGCTTAAACTGAGATTTTACGCTCCTCCTTTTTCCAATGATAAGGAATTAAAGTCGTCTGCTGAGAGTCAGCTGCTTGCGTTGGAGCGGGCGCTCCATCGCAGGTCAACCACGGGCTGCAGTGATCGGAGGGAGAACTTCACTTAAATGTCCTCATCGCTGGAATATTTCACCCCCCTCCCCTTCTACCACCACTTCTCAAAGAGGATTCGTGTTTTCGGGAGGCCGAAGTCCAAGAGGGAGCTTGAAATGGCTTCGATCATGGGCCGGGGTCCACACAGGTAACACAAAGTCCTCTGCGGGTCCACGTGAGACCGCAACTCCTCTTCTGTGATCCTCCCGCCTGCGGAGACACAAGAGAAGTCAACTGATTAATCGACACTCGCTTCTTTGAGTCCCACGTGGAGCTTTTGGTAGAACCCGCTCTGACGCCGATCAATCAACCGAGACGAGCGGCGACAGAATGGGACGGTTACTGAATCCCAGGCGGCTCCATGAGGATCACTTACGGCTGACGAATGGCTGGAGGTGCGATTCGACATCTGCGCTCTGCTGCGTGACGTGGAGGTCGCAGGAGAGTTTGTCGGGGAACTCTCGACACGCCTCGATGATGGAGCTCTGTGAAAGCAGACGGCGGGTAGGTTAGGGTCAATCCCCTCACACACCCCCCCAAATATTCTAAACATACATGTGGACACTTGTCAAAAATCAGTGCCCTAAAGTTTCTGGTCAGAAGGAGTAAAAAAAAAAACACCTTAAAGAGCAGTTCCTGGGTGTTCTTGGCACTGTAGAAGAGGTGGGCGGAGCCTATCTTGTAGTCCCGCCCGCCAGAGGCGTGGTTGAGATGCAGCAGGCCGCTCGTGTGCAACAGGATGGAGTACAAGGGGTTGATCCCCACGCCGCCAGCCACCAGCAGCAGGTCCACGGAGGGGTCGGAGGGCGCCGGGTTGAAGAAGAAGTCGCCGCCCACACGCATGGCCACTCGAGAGCCCACCGTGCACTGAGAGGGGAGAAGGCAACACACCTTTGACAATTATACACCAAGAAAAACACTCCCAGTAACGCTCCATATACATCGACGACGAGTCTCATGCAACAAAGACTTTGGAATAACGATGCAAACACACAAGCAATCTCAGCTGTGTTTAGGGTGAAAGCAATTTCAAGTTGCAAAGAGAGTCTTTTGAAGTTAAAAAGAAAAAGAAAAAAATGCAGATAAATACACCCCTGTCTGCTTTTGTAGGCACGCGAGTACACACACAAACACACGAAGTGATGCTGGCGTCCTTAATCTGCCGTTGTGGTCCCTACACTGGAGAAGTCAGAGCGCAATATCAAACAAATGGATCATCAAACGGTGGCAGAGCAGCGAGCTGTAAGTCTCAGGATGCTCAAACACATCACACCGCTTTCTGATTGGTATTTACACAAAGCTTGGGAGCTCAAAGCTGTTTATTAGGGCCCATCATCAAGCGCATGAGCTTCAAACAAACACGCCGAGTAGAGACACAAGGAAGGGAAAGAAAGGCAGTAAGTACACACTGTTCATATTTACAAAATCACGTTGCACCACCGCTGCTGGATTTGAAAGGTTAACCTTCTGGAGCAAATACTTGCAGACAAAAAACAACTTTATGCTGTTATTACAGTTTATATTACCTTTATTTTGGCATTTACACAACCATTACAAACCCTGGCTCGCTCTGCACACAGATAAAACACTAACATCTGTTTTTTTTTTACTACTGAGCCGGCAAATTTCAAATTTACTGAGTCACACTAACTAACCCCTCGACAGCGATTACACACTATTGAAAAACATTAGGTGGTCACATGGCAACGAACCAAATGTTCAACTGGGAGTGTGGTGAGGTAAGTGCTCAACGCTTCTGCATATCCTAAAAACCCACGATCCCTTCTGTTGCCCTCAGCTGCACGCTTCTCCTTCGCCCGCCTCCATTAGACGGCCTGGTGGATCACCTGATACCAGATGACACTGTTCTAGAATCTCAACTCAATAGCAGAAGTCTTTAATAACGCAGGTTCAATACTTTTCCCAGTGAGAGGACCCCCCCCGGCCCCCCCGCCCCCCCGAGCATTCTCAGTCCTCCGTGGTCGACTCACCGCTGAGTGGATCCAGTGGGCCGGAGGGTGTTTGGTGTATTTGACGGCCAATTCTACGACGCCCTCCCTCTGCAGCAAGCCGGGGCTGGAGCACATCGAGAAACCTCCCACCGTCTCCACACCAGGGATGAAGAAATCCACCCTGCACACACAGTCCACCATCTGATGAAGAGCTCAACTCATTTATTATATAAATGTATCATTTGGTCTTTTATTTGCTCACTGTCCCAAAACATTACAAATATATTATGTATATATTATAAATATATATATCATCCAGTTTCCTTTTTACAATAACCAATGGAAGGATTATGCGGTAGTTCTTATTTTCTGATAAATATATCATATACACACACGTTTGGACATATCTTTTACATAAATAAATGGGTATTTGAACATGATTATCCAAACACCTGCCAAGTTATAAGGACAAACTATTCAACAGTGGTTAAAATCGACTCCTGTACGTCGCTCTAACATGAATATACTTTGACGATCAAGGGTTGTTTTTACTTTATTATTATATTCCTATTCATGCTTGTATTGGTTGACATGCATCTCATTTAAAACACAATAACCATTAATGTTTGTGTCTTCATACAAAAGTCCTCCAAGTCTGATTGAAAATGTAGCTCACTCATCAGATTCCTAAACAGTTCATTCAAGCGCAAAAACCATGCTGAACTCAGGGCCTAAGAGTCACGACCTTTGACCTCATTTGAGGTGGCAGCTTGTTCCAGAAACAGAGCAGAACAAACCAAAACCAGATGCAAAGCCGCTTGCTAGCTGGTTCTTTTTTTTGGACAAAGTGTAGCTGGGATGGACACGCAGAGAAGAGCCAGAAGAACAAACAGCAATACTCAACAGTCGGGCTGATGTTCCAAACACACGATGACCCACTGTTGCATCAGAGACAAACAGACTTCTCCACCCGGGGAGGCATCATAAATATAGATCTGCTGTGAGGATGCACACATATGTTCCACCCACCTCCTCCTCATCTTCTCCCACCTGGAGACGAACAACTAAACCGTCTTGTTTCTCTGAAACACCGAAAGTCAAGGATTTCCATCTATTTCCATTCATTATCGGTTGCTGCGGGGCAACTGGCTGCTGGGTTTCATGTCTCAACGCTGCCGCCCACCCACAGTATGGGCTCATGTACATAAACTGCATGTGCAGGCTACTAATTAACTTTCACAGAGAGGGAAGAAAGCTCAGCGTGCATGGTTGGAGTAATTAACATGCTATTAGGACTAGAAGGGAGCCACTGAAGGTCAACGTATTTCCCCATGTCCTGCACCCATTCAAAAACAAGCTATAGTATGAAATGCGCTGCAAGAAAACGCTGCAAGAGTGCGTGCATTCCAGAGCAGAGCAGAATGGCCGTCACCTTCACAAATATACAAGAAAACCTATCAAGGCCTCGACTCTTTGGCTCTTCCATACTACATACATAGAAAAAGGCTGAAGATAGTCTGATGTGATATATTCCTGAACAACCCGTGTGTTCTTTATATCAACATTAATCTTGAGCCGTTTGTACATGTTGACTGCGTAGGATTTGTAACTTATTTTTCTGATGAAAAAATAAAAAAAGCGAACAAGCCATTGGGCGCAGAGAGACGACTCGATAGCACCGCCGTGTGGTTACTATTAGTATTACGGCAATGCAGAGGCCACCAGAGGGCTGTTTCATAAACACTCAGACAGTAGCCTAGACCTTGTTTGTCCGGTTGGGCTTATTTCGGTTTCGTGATTACAGTGCTACCATGGTAACGTCTGCTTTGAGCCCAACTGGTGAGAGACTAGATTAAGGATCATTAGCCATTGTGATCTGGGCGCATATCACACAGGAGCAGAGAACAGACATGGGAATATTGGAAGTAAATGGATCTGCCATTTCTTTGGGATTGATAAATAATCTGTTCAACCGCTGAGCCCCTCAACAACAGGTTTTATCGAAAACATAACAAGGCAGTGTCCCTTAATAAACAGATACATAAAAAGTGTGTTTCACGAGTTGGTGAAAAGTTAAATACTCACCACTGTCCTGCTTTGAAGCTGAAATCTGGGTGGACGGCAATCCTCAAACGCTTCACCGTCTCGGACTCATCCACAATGCCGCAAACTTGAGCCGGATACAGAGCCTGTGTTAGGCAACACACACACACACAAGAACATAGCCAGGTTAAGGACGTTTCCATATTATTCAGACGAGATCAACGATGTTGAACTAGAGATCACCCACTTACATTTTGTCGGAAGTTGCTCAATGTTCTCTCTAGATGGTCCATTTGCCTTACGGAGGACATGCTTCTTCTGAAATACAAGGAGGTGGTTTCTGTGAGGTGCTTTGTGTGTTGAACACTACAGTGCTGAAAATATTCAAAAACTACGAGTGGACTTTGCTCTCATTGTCAGCAAGCATCAACACGACCTTAAAGGGCCCGTTCACGTAAAAAAAAACAGAAGTACGTCGGTCCAGCCATGGAGAACAACACAAGTACACACACATCTAAACATCTACACAGACGTGGGACGATGTCAAACCACAGTGCCCCGTGCTGTCGGGCTCCACGGATCAGATTAGAAACCCACCTCGTCGCGGAGCTGCGAGCCGGAAGCCGCCCGCAGAGGAGGCCCGCGGCGGGGCTCAGCTGGACGACGCTCCGGGCAGCGGGGGAGAAGAGACAGCGGACGCTCATCGCGACCTGGGCCAACATGAGACAGGAGAGCAGAGACGTTAAGAGAGACAACTGTCACGTGTCACGGAGACCCCTCACAGGGGGGGGGGGGGGGGGGGTCTTTTGCTTGACGATTGATCGATCGCGCCACAGCTGACGAATCAACAGATGGGCCCCTCAACAACAATGCGCGTTGGGCTGAAACGTGACCCCTCCTGGGGAGGTGAGCATCGTCCAAATCGGTTATAGGTCACATGCCAAAGTACAATGACGTAGGGTATACAACGTTTACGTCATCAACGTGACTCAAGACGTCCGTTTTTAGTAACGCTCGCATTGTATCTTCCTATGGACGAGATTGACCGGGAAAGGGAGGAGGTATATCCAGTTAGTAAAGCGGCACGGTGGAGTTAATAGCGTGGTCGTTTTAAAGGGAGTTCGGCGTGACCTCCTTTGTCACCATGGCGGTTGTTAGGTAACATCAAGTAGCGTTAGCTAAAGCTAACGGCTAATCACCGCTTAGTTCGTTATTTAACGCTTACGGCGAGCTCCTTTTCTTACCGAGATAAAAATGAACGTGTGTTTTTGTCAGCTGATATTCGTATGTCTGCCAGGGGTCTTCGGAGTAACCTCGGTCATCATGTTTGACGTGACATAACTCGACGGATGCTGTTTTCTTCTTCGTCGTCTTCTTGGATCTGTCCTGCGGCTAACGTCTTCTTCTACGAAGTGGAGCGATTTGTATTCAATGTATCGAAGCAGCGCCCTCCTCTGGCGGGCTGTTACATGCACGCACACATACACATACACACACACACACACACACGTGGAGACTTTGAGAAACGTGGAGACTGCTGCTTGGATTTGGATCAGTTTAACAGGAAAATAATTAGAGATGAAAATCACAAACAACATTGTTGTAAGAATCTTTACATTATACAGTTGTAAAAGCGTGAGTTGTGGTATGCACAACAACTCATGCATGGTTTAATTGAACAGGTAATCAAAAAATGGAGCAGAAATAGGAGATCCAGTTTCAGAATTCTAAATAGGCCTTCCAATTATGTTACGATATTTATATGTGTACAAATCAACATAAAGAATAATATATACATTATTATTAGTAATTGGGTCATTCCGGTGATTACCATTAGCCATTACCATTAGTTGTTTAGTTTTACAGCCTAAGGGTTGACTCTTTGGTTCACACTCAATGCTCTCTTTAAAGCTAGCTCGTACACCAATTACACCCAAATATGATATGATTATCTATGTAATCACTTGAAGCAATTTCAAGCTCACTCAACTCTCAGCTCTTGGTCAAAGTAAACTTTAGACTAAAGCATTAAAAACGCCAAAAAAGCGGTCTGTGCCACTGGCAGCACTGGCATGAACGGTCAATAAGTCACTGATTATCAAACCTGTGATGACACCAATTTCAAAACAGATGGTCAATATTCTAGTTTGGAGCCTGCTGGTGGTCAAATACCAGAGATTGTTTTGTGAGGAGCAGCTTTGTGTTAGGGGGAAATGTTGTGAGTCTCTAATTCTTGGAACATAAGTGACTATGGCTGCTTAACAACAGCACTCACAACCTGCAGTCACACATCGAAGGGAAGCAACAAGAAAAGTTATTGGTTTTGTTATCAGTGTCCTTGACAGAGCGTTATTTACCCAAATACATGTGTGTGCATAGCTGATTGTTAAAAACTGTACTTATGAGAGACAAAAAAAAGTAAGTAAGTAAGATTCCTTTATCATTCAGCCAGTTTCATTTTCAGTGTCAGGGGTGAAGCTCAGGTGAGTATCCTATGGTCTACTCGCTGTTTGAACCCACTCGCTGTTTGAAGGGGGTCGTCGTGGCGGGGGGTAGAGAGGGTGCGCTGGGAACCGCTAGGTTGGTGGTTCGAGTTCTGGCTGCCCCATGTCTCAAGTCGAAGTGTCCCTGAGCAAGACACCTAACCCCTAATTGCTCAAAAATGTAAAAGCCATGGGTTTAAAGTGTAATGCAAGTCGCTTTGGATAAAAGCGTCTGCTAAATGACCTGTAATGTAATGTAATGAACCCCAAAAGGCACTGCGGGAAAAACAGGCCAAGCGATGCAACCCTCAGATCGGACGCACAATGAAACGCGTCGAAACTGCTTGTTGCTTTCGTTAGATACAGTAGCTGCTCACTTCATTTGATGGGCCGTCGGTGAGCCGACTCTACCAGTCCGACTGGCTGCCTTCTTCCCACGGTCAGCGCGCCACGGCTCAACCTGTTGTTCAGTGCTGCACAGTGACGGACATTTTCAGGTTTGTCACGTCCCAATGACTTGCCGGCGTCATTGGTACGGGCTACATGCGTGATGCCAGCACGCTACCGTCATCACACACATACATACACAAAAACGCATGCCCGGATGGGCGCACGTAGTTTGACGTGTTTGATTTGATGTCAACGTACATAAGTAATGCAAGGTTGTGTGAGTCACTGAAATGAATAGAAAAATAATTATGTTTAGAATCAGGAGCACAAAGGCCTTTGTTATTGACTCCAAGCATTTATTGTTATTTAAAGTTTGGAGTAAAGAAAATCATCACTGAAACAAGGTGGAGACTCTTCCCGGGTGTCGCTTTCTGCACACATTCTGCACATGCCTCTCGGTATCAATGGGCAAATGTTCAGATTTCACCATGAGGAAATCCCTCCATGTTCAATGTAAGTATGTCTCAGTACGAGGGTTTTCCTCGGCTGGCGTGGTCGAAACCTTCAGAGAGACTATCTCTGGTTTGTAGGGAGGAAAGTAGATGGCAGATTTAGGACAGAGTGAAATTGAGAGGCGGAATGAAAAGATAAAGTCCTGTGATTATGATGTAGTTTAGATCAGAGGACGTTATCTCCATGTGTGGGTGAGGAGGACAGCCGATTCCGTCACAATAAGAATAAACATTAGTTGCAGCAGTAGAATGAAGGTTCACCTGATCTGCATCATCTACAGCGTGTATGCGCTCACACATCCAATGCAGGCACGCTGGCCTATAAGGCACAATAAAGGACAGCATTCGGTGTGTGAGAGGGAATGACTCCTCAGAGTTTTGACCGGGATGGGAGGCGTGAGGAGAGGGAGTCCCCCAGGTGTGCATGAAGGGGCGATTCTCCACACTCTCTTCTGTCTTTTTCTGTTTCGCTTTCAGACTGAGGCCGTGGTTTCACAGAAATCATTTGATAATCCAAAGGCACACCAAAAGACAAAACAGCTGACCTGTGGCTTTTACACAGCATTACGTTGAGATTAATTTGTGATGCATTTGAAACCTAATGAGAATAATGCACAATGTATCCCAATCCTTTATGGAACTCTATTATTGATATTGATGCATTTATGTGAACATGGTGCTTTATTCTTACAGCTGCTCCAGCTGGAGCTTAATAGCGCTGTCAACCACCTCCATTATTATGGATTATGACCAATTATCAACGTAATAGAAAGTGAGAGTCTTGAGCGTCCTGTGTGTGTGTCCTTTACAACATTTTTCCTAAAAAAGGTAATTAAATGTGTTTTTTCTCAACCTGGTGTCTCAAAAGTTACATCCACCCACAACCGAGAGTTGTCTTTTATATCAGTACGGTATGTCTGAGTGGATGTTAGCATACACGATGCAGCGCGTGTTGAAGTCATGATACCTGAACAATGTCCAGGTAATGTGCCTTTCAGACGGACCAGGCAGACAAAAAAAAGGATGCAACGGATGTTTGCACTTGAAAGCCAGAACCATATCCGGTATAAAGTCACCAAACTGCTTCCCCTCACTTAATGTGAACTTACAGCAGCAACAATTGCATGTTCAGTGCAGCAAATGTATTTCAAGTGTTGCCACATGTAATGTCCTTGCCTCAATTCAACCGTGTGGCCCGAACAGGTTGGTGAGTTATAGCCTGCGGCCTGCTTTGTTCTGTGGCTATTAATACCATGTGATTGAGTCAACTACTACACTGCATTCCTTTGCATAACAACGTAAATCTTATTGTGGGCCTAAATAATTGGGCGTCTAAAATTGGAACGAAATTTGGCTCCATTGCATGGGTTGGGTTCTAGTGACACAAAGGGCCCTTTTTTTCATCTGCCACTGAAGAGGCGCAAGCTTCCCTGTGGCTGGTTGCCACGCAACCACAAGTCCCGCCCTACCACTCAAAGGTAGGCGACGTACCCTGAGAGTTCATCCAATCGGGAGGGACAACAGGTGTTCAGCGAGGACAGTTTCGGAGGCGGAAACCTGCGGGTTCTGTGGGAGAAAGCCGCTCCTTATAACAGCGACAATCCATCCGTCAAATTCATATGAATTGCAATAAGCGGAGTTGAGACATTCGACGAGAGCCGCCGGAGAACAATTTGATGAGTTTTGAGACGCGACGAAGCCCGACACACGGCGCGTGCGTAATGTGAATACCGCTGCCAAGGTCTGTTAAAGGACTGTTAAAGGACTGCTGTCCCACCACTGCTCCACCGCCGAAGAAGAAGACCCGGCCCCGCTCTTTGGATTGACATCTCAGAACAATCAAAAAGTGTAACATTTACACTTGGCTGTGTTTTGCATAACCGCACGCTGCCCTCAGGTAAGCGGAAAAAAAGCTTTGTTTTGCGCATTGTTCACCTGCGAATCTGTGCACGGGGGTTTTCCTCTGTTCGCACGACTCATTAAACCAGTTTTACAGAGAAAGTAGCACGGGTTATTCTCAGTAGTAGTAGCTGGTAAAAACTTGTCTTGTCTCACCAGTGGAAAGTTGCCACTAGAGGAGAAATGAAATGACATCCTGGTATTAAAACAGAAAGTATAACATTTGTGATGAAGATAAAGACGGGGAGCATTTCAAAAGTCAACAACACTGTCAGCGCAATATATCATTCAATCAGAGACACCATTTTTAAAGGGACAATAACATGTTGTGGAAATGAGAGGATTCAGAACACGGAGACCTCACAGATGATATGACTGGAAATAATAATGATCCAGATGATAAGATCTCTTAAAGATTCCTGATGTTTTGTGTTTCCTGTTTCAGTGCCCTACTTCCAGTCCAAGATGACAGAGAGGGCCCCGTGGTGGAAGGCTTTCCTGCCAAAGAAGAAGAGCGGAGGCTCCAAAGACACCACTTCGTCCAACGCCTTCGACGCGGACTTCGACCCTTTTGGCTCAAAGTCTGCGGCCTCCAAGGCCAGCGGTGACCAGTCCCTGTCTCAACAAGAGTCCAACAAGAGCTCCAGCATCGTCAGCGATGACACCTACGACGACTCCCGCCTGGAGTCCGTCTTCAACGAGCAGACGTGTCGCAGGAACATGAAGGTGTCCCGCTCGGGTCGGTTCAAGGAGAAGCGGAGGGTGCGCTCGAGCCTCCCTATAGAGGACAATGAGTCTGAGAACTTGGCACCGGGGAGTGAGGACACGCGCTGACGGTGAGCGGGAGTAGATGTTCAAAGACTGCTTTGTCTCAAAAGCTGCTTTGAGGGGTTTTAGAACGTGAAGAGCCTTCGTGCTCTTGAGGCATGCCGAAAAGGTCTGCTGTTTGTTGGTTGGGGTTGTGATGTTGAAGATGAGGAGCTTTCAACTTTTAGCCCAATACTGCAGGAATGCTGTTTTGTGGTGCTTGACATGTTGGACATTTTGACTTTTTTGTTGATGGACTTGACCACAAAAACAATGCTGAATGACATGAAGTTGGTTATATTTGTTCTTCAGGGTGGTTACCGAACCATTTTGCCGACAATGTGCGGTAATCAAAAAGAAGAGATGCACAATTGTTGTGGTAAACAAATAGCCAAATATCAGTTGTCAATGGACAACTTCTAAAATTATCCACAACTTTTTAAGAAAACGCAAAGCTTAAATCCAATGTTCTGTATAATATGCTCCTCGAAAATATCGTCCATAAGTTGTTTACATTATTTCTATGATAAGAATGTTATATGTTGCATAATGAAGGATAAAGTATAAGGCTGCTTATACTAAAAACAAGTTGATTGTAAAGGGTTAGAAGGATGTTTTTTATGAAGGCGTAAAATTATTTTATAATTGTGTTTGAAAAGAAATTACTTAGTGGACGAAATTAAATGATGCTTGTTAGCAAGTTTTACTCAGATGCACTTCGCGATACATCAAATATTTTAAATGAAGGATGGAATCCGGCCTGTTTTGTGACGGTCCAGCTTAAGAAGCTCTTACGTTGTGATATCCAGCTGAATGACTTTTGGTCAAGCAGCCAAAGAAGTATGGTCCAGATGTATGACTATGGACTGCCTGTGAATACTTAAATGAAGGGAAAATATAAGAAATAAATCTGATAACTGCATGAATACGTGTCTATGTGCTTTATTGTCGTAGTCAATCACAATCCGATGGCGTTGGACAGTGCCAGGTTTCCCCATTGAGACACTCCCTCACTGTCTTAAAATAAACACTTTTTTTTACATTTTGCGGTTACATCACAAGAGAGTTGTGTGAGCGCAGAAGAAAAGGCCACTTAAATGGAAGAGCATGCCTGTATCCCTGCATTCCTTGGTCACTGTTTTGGGTGTGTGTGTGTGTGTTTATGTAGAAGAGAAGAGAAGAAGACTGCTGAGGCTTTTAAAATGAATTGATTAGATTGTCAGATGCAAATCCTCGGTCTGATTCTCAGCTGAACAGTCAAATTCACACCTTTAAAATTTCGATGACGTGTATTGTCACGCGTTCAACACAAGGGGGCAGACATTTGCAATAGTGAAAGAATGGAGTTGAGTAAAACTCAAATATTCTTGTGCAGAGTGCAGAAAAGTCATGGTTGCAGAACTCCTCACCTCTCAGTGCAAAAGAGTTATTTCATTATGTTCATTCTTTTCCGCACCGGCTTTATTCAAGCATGAGTGGACGGGAACACACGGATCCTCCTGGACCGCCCCCCTCGTCTCTCATTGGTCCTGTGTGGAGCGCGGGGCGGGGCGCTGCTCTCCTGCGCGCGCTCAACAGGGAATAAGCAGCCGCATCTAGATAGAGACGGCTTCGTCACGTGCCTTTCTTTCTTCTTTTTTCCCCCCCACCAAATTACCAAAGTTTGGTGGACCTTTGGCCCTCACTGTGGATGCGTGTTGTCCACTGTGAATAACGCGTGGAATAACGTGGAGAGCGCGCGATGAGGTCAGTGGGCTGAAGCCCCGACAGGTGGATTTGAGATATATTTCATTAAGGTAAGACTTTGCTGCTGTTTGTTTGTAGTGTACTTTTTCCTGTGACAGCTGGCAACTACTATTTCTGTAAAGTTGGAAGAGTTGTAAAAATTGTAAAGGAAAATAATGGGTCTCAAGTGCAAAGTTTTTTACTGTCTCCAATGGAAATATAATTTATTTACTTCCAATTTGGTTAATGCAGCCTTAAAAAAGAGACAATCCATCAATCACAGACTTACATCTACATTCATTCCTACATAAAGTTTCAAAACTGTGTCATCCTAAAGTCGGTCAGCACGTCCATAGCCGGTGGTCCATGGTCTCAACCTCCTTTACATGTCCTTCACATGAAGAAGCACACAGGTTTCTTGTTGCCACCTCCAGATGCTTGTGTGTGTGCCATCATCCTCTTGTTTCCAGGAAGACAGCAGGCGGAACAAGACGTCTTGAAGGAGGAGAGGAAGATTTTCCCCGGTTGCATGTGGGGCTCAGCGGACCAGTGTCCAGCTTGCCCACCCCCCACTCAAAGACCAACGCTATTAGAGTCACTGAGGCTGCTTGACACAGATATGGAGATAGAAATAGCAACGGGGGGGACAGTCTGCCAGTTGCACAGGCCCATGCGAGCACACACAGCAGAAGGCGAGCGGGACAGACGGTTAACAAAAAGCACGCGCGTATTCCACAGAGAACCAATTGAGCACAAACCTCGCTGTGTTTTCAGTCTCTCTCGCAGCCACGCAAGAATGTATGATGTCAGGAAAGTGTGCAGCTCCCAGGGACAGTCGCCGTGGATCATTTACAGGCCGAATGGCAAACAACATGTGGATGGTGAGCATAAGCTCATCCCGGATAGCTGCTGTTTGGACACCAGAGCTTCCCGCTGATAACTGCGCCAGTTTGCTCTTGATGACATTAACGACCAGACACCCTGTTGCATGAGCAGTAAAAAAGCTTTGGGTATGATGCATGTGCGCGCCCTTTTCCTCTGCAGTCCCCTTGATGTGTTTATTACATTCACTTCAGTGCAGGGAAGGCCTTTGGCTGCAGAGCGACCGAAGGCTGGGGGTCCATTACTTTTCACACAAAACTCTCCATTGTTCCTCTCGCAAGTCCTACCACAGGGCATTGTGGAAAGAACAGGGCAGGGGGGCGTGCGGGAGGGGGGGGTGTCCGATTTCTCCAGAGAGGATGGAGCGTTCGCTGTTTCCTGTTTTGCGCTCTCCGCTGGTGGAAGCTCTTCCTGTTCGGGAGCAGGAGGTCACCCAGAGGAACAAACGGCGCTGCCGTACAGGATGCCGTCTCGTTCCCGGTCATACGGTGCACATTGTGTCCTGCAGGTACCTGAAGCCAGAGCATGCCAGCCCCACCTCCACCTCCACCTCCACCTCTCCCTCCGCCTCCCCTGGGCCCTCCTCCTCCTCTGCCGCCCAGCGCCGCCCTGCCACCGGTAAGACCGTCGCTCTCGAAGTAACTTCTCGTGGGACTGAAAACAGTCACTCGTGTGCTTCTCACCGACCTTCAACCGTCACCTGTTGGTTATTTACATTATTGATTAAGGTAATACACACAGACACACACACAGACACACACACAGTAGGGCAGACAGGAGACTGTCCTTGGCACAAGGGTGTAATGTTTCCACAGCAGGCACTCAGTGTCCGCATGTTAAATGAGTCACCGCCGACACCAAACAAGGCCCCGCTGCAGAACTCATGGATGCACCCGAAGCCTTCGCCGCGCCTTCTTTCGCTTTGTTAGAGGACGGTGTTGATGTCGTACAGTTGTTCTCCCCCTCTTCTTCTTGTAAAAATTACTAAAATACAACTTGGAAATCTTAAAAATACAGAGTTTTCAAATATTTTTGTTTTGTCACATGTCTAAAATATCCTAATTACACACATTATATATGATTGTAAAGCCACACATGGAGCCTACACGTGTTTGCATTCTCCATATTTGCCATATACTATTAATTTATTATCCAAATACTGCAATCCGTATCCTGAAGTGGACCCTCACAGTACGACACAACACACATTTTTGATCCCTGTTGAATAAAAGATATCATTTTTTTGTTTCCTGACAGTGTCCGTCAGAGCCTCTCAAGCTCAAGTCTGGAGGAGGAGGAGGAGGAGGAGGAGGAGGAGGAAGGAATGCCCTGTTGGCCGACATCCAGAAAGGAGCCAGGCTGAAGAAAGTCACACAGGTCAACGACCGTAGTGCCCCCTCCGTCGATAGTAAGAGCGACATGGTGCACGCGGGTAGAACCCCAAACGATACTCACATGCAGCCGGTGTCACCGACTTCTAGTAATTATTAATGTGGAGCTCAGAGGAGGGAATTTGATGTGTTGTCGTGAGACGCCGTGGAAGGATATAGTGTATCCGGGTGAAGGGAGAACCAGAGTGGTGTAGTTTGTTGGGAGTTTGTAGTTTCTCTTTGACCTATACGTACATTTAAGAATAGACACACACACCAAGTGGACTCTTGCATAAAGAATGTCTCACTGCAGATAACGATGTTAGCAGAAATGTAGATACCTTCAGTATTTTCAATTCTGTGTGCATTCAAATGCAAATTCTGGTGTAACGCAGAATATTTTAATTTGTTCGGTTGCATTAGTTGTATTCACATTTAAACAGTAGCCTCCTGTAGATTGTCAGTTACATGGAACCTGGCCGGTGGAAACAGACTTTTTTGTGAAAGAAGTGTAGTTTCCCCTGATGCTACTGCTACTACTGCTAGAACCTGCAGATCACGTAAAGTTACATTATAATGCAGTAATTATGTAACGGTTAAAAGACTCCACAAAGGACACTTCTTGTCAATAGTCATTAGTAATTTGTGTGTACTGTGCGTTGTTCTCCAGCGGTAAAGGCTAACACTGGAGACGTACCCAGCAGCGGCGCTGCTTCTCAGGGCTCATCAGGAGGGCCGGCACCCATGGGACCCTCCCTGGGGGGGCTGTTTGCCGCAGGGTTCCCTACACTCAGGCCCACAGGACAAAGGGACCTAGCAGGCAAGACCACAGGTGGGTGCGAAAGGTTAGAACGTTTATACTATATTGTCCACTGAATCCTGATCTGTGTGTGTGTGTGTGTGTGTGTGTGTGTGTGTGTGTGTGTGCGTGTGTGTGTGCGAAGTGTCCCGATCGAGCTCCTCGGCCTCCGTGAGGCCTCTGTGGAACCCCCCCACACCTGCAGACACCAGCAGCCCCTCTGAGCTTCAGGGCGCGGACTCCGAGCTCTGGCACACCCGCTGCTCCCCCTCGTCTGCACGGCCTCCCCTCCACGGCGGCAAGGACCGCCCCTTTCCCGCTACTCTCCCCCACCGCTCCGCCGCGCCCCCTCCGCTCCTCCCCCGCTCCCCCACCCAGGCTTCCAGGAACGAGCGGCCGGCAGGCCCCGCCTCTCCCCTCCTGCCCTCCTCCCCCGCCCCCGTACCAGGTCACCAAGCCCACCTGCTCCCCATCCAGCACTCCTACCACAACATCATCTCCCAGCCCTCTACACCCCCTCCTCCGCCTCCGCCACCTTTCCAGCCCCCCAAGGCCGAGGCAGGCGACCGCAAATCCGGCTGTTTCTACCCTCTGCCCCCCTCCCCGGTCCACTCCGAACCTTCCAGGTTCTCCATCCTGCGAGACAGCCCCCTGGGACCTCCTCCCCCACCTCCCGCTCCACCTCTACCAGCCTCTTTCGGCCCCAGCTGTCCGTCCACCCTCCCGCCTCCCCCGCCCAAGTTGGCAGCAGTTCCCTCTCCAGCCATGCGCTCCCTGCCTCCCTCGTACCCCTGTAACGCCCCGACCCGACGTCCGCCTGCTGTGCCCAGAAGCGCAGGTATGTCACCTCACCCCTGAATGAATGGAGAGCCGGTGAAAGGCGGATGAGAACAGAAGACATAGACATAACTGTTTTATAGGGTTCGCAAAATAAAATAGTAATAATACAAGATTGAAAGGGTTTAAATCTGGAATTCCAGTTTGCAGAACAGATGTAGACTTTGTATTATATAATAATAATATAATACATAATGTATAGTTTGTAAACGGCAGCAGCAGTTATTGAAGCCATCAGGGTTTCTGCTGTCTTAGAAGCATTTTCAAATTCAGAGGGACGACGTGTGAACCTGGTATTTCTGTCTCATTTATCATTAAAGACCACATTGGTTTTTCATGTGTTGCATTTCGTTGATGTCTGACACCCCTCTGACTCCTGTGATGTCGTCGCCCATGGCAACAGGTGTGGGTCGGCTGCCTCCTCCTCCAGCTCCCCCTGCACGTTCGCCCTCTACGGAGCTGTCCTGCCGCACTCCCCCCCCTCCACCCCCACCGCCGCTGCTTCCGTTAAGTCTCAGGAATGGACACCTCCACAGCCTAGGTGGGATATTAATCTGGCAGAATGTATCTTACATGTTAGAGGCCTTTTAGTGGATGTTCTTCCCCAGATTACAATGCTGTTATAATTTGTTTAGTTCATTCAATTAAATATATATATTCAATTAAATATATATATATATATATTTAATCAAATTCCCACATGCAACAAACAGTAGAAAGTGCAACTGACTTAGAATAAATATGAAATAAAGTCTTTGCACTATTGTTTTAGTGTCTCATAACAATTTATGAGACGCAGTAATGTTCTTTAATCTATTTTTTTATGGGATTTATATCTTGTTGTTTTTATGCCAAGTGAAACTCTCAGGGTCAAAGTACTGTGGATGGGAGGAGACCAGAAAAATGTAGGAGTTCATTCTTGAAGAGGCAGATAGGGGAGGTAGAGCTTTGAAGATGAGGCCGGATTGGCAGTATTTGATTCTAAATCTGCTCTGTATTCAGCAGACAATTTTGAATCCAAGTTCCAGTTCCACCCTGTAGAGGACTTCCCCCCCCCTGATGAGTTCAAGCCTTTTCCTCGGATCTACCCCAGCAAGGAAAACAGAGGTAGCAGCACCACAGCACGCTCGCCACACCCCTTCTTCACCATCTACTGAGCTGGTCCTCCTCTCCTACAGGGAACCTCCAACCAGCTGGGAATAGGACACACCTCAGATGAGTCAAGTTAGACTCAACCCTCCTCTTCCTCCGACAACAACATCACTGTCACGTGCTTTTTGGTGGCAGTCTCTGTGTGTGTGTGTGTGTGTGTGTGTGTGTGTGCGTGCGCTGTTTGTGTTCAGTGGGTGTTTGTGTATTTGAGCGTCAAACAAAGTCCCGCCTCATACTGACAGTGTGACCTCTGACCTTTTCCAGTGTGGAATGTTTTGAATGTGTGAGGAGGAGGGCGCTCCATTCTCAGTCACACACGGTTATATTTAACACGGCTCTTGACACAGTTGATAAGCATTTCAAAGAACATTTTTTTATTTGATTTTATGATATTTCCCTTTATATTTTAGCACTTTCATAGTCAAAGTCTGCATGTAACTCAGAAACATTGTAGAACCCACAGATTGTAAAGATTGTGGTCCAGCAGCAACAGAGCCGATCCTTATGTGAATACTTCAAAGTGTTCGTACAGTGGTGCTGCCCTGTGTTTGTGTAATTACTTTTATGAGAAATAAATCAATTTTTAAAAGTGTTGAGAGAGAATACTGACACTTGGGAGTATGCATGAGTTTTAAGTTACACGGAGGGGTTTCAAATAATGAATGAAGGTTTCCGTTCCCTCTGTACTAACACCGGTGAAGACGGCGCCCCCTGCTGGTTTAAAGTGTACAGTATTACAAGGTGTGACAAAATAAACCACAGTATTTTTGTTGATCACATTGGTCGTAAAATACATAAAATGATCCAGCTACACCGAAATGTGTTTGTATTAAAAAACTGTTGCGCCATAGGAACTGATCGCTGTAGATTCTAGTGTGCGCAGCGTAAATGTGTGACGGAATGCGAGGATGTTTGTTGCTTACCAGCAGGGCTGAACAATATAAGCGTTCAGCTTTGACACTGCAGTGTCTCACAGCTTGCTAATAACAATAATGACATTGGCAGCATTGCATTTAGGTTCACCGGCGCCGGGCCCGAGTACTGTGTAAGATGGGTTTCACTTGCTTCGACAAGTCACTGCGGCCTTATGAAAAATACCCATTCAACAGCTTGATAGAAACAAGTAGAGGTACTTAAGAGACCTAAAATACAAATTAGTCACCTTTGGTTGTGCGAAATGCAATATTTCCATTGCTGGACTTTGATGTAATCCAGAGGTTTACGCTACTAATAACAGAAATTGTAATATGATTTGTATTCAGTAACTAACTCCATTTAAAAGTACTTTAACCGAAATGATTGTATGAAAGACAATAATGTGCTCTTGTAGAAGTAACCACAGAAAAATACAAAGTAAAACATCCCTGAAACTGACTTTTAGGTTCAAAGCTTTTTTTTACACGTCACACAGCAGATCTAAACGCCGCCTCGATAAAAGTGGACTGTTTAGCAGAGAATGATACTCTGCCAAAGTGGAAGACGCCGGGCGAGGGAGTCGTCCATGGAAGACGATGGGGATTTAAAGTTCATCGTGCTTGTAAGTAAACTCTCTGGAGGATATAAAGCCGTCTTTGTTGTCATCCTCTTTGTCGAAGATGTCCTTCACCATGTTGTCATGCAGGGTGTCGTTTGGAGGGTAGCCGTGACGCTCAAACTCTTTCCTCAGATACACTTTCACCTGGTGGGTCGAGAGCGAGAGACGGCCGATTGACCACAATCGAGACAGGTTGAGATGGAAAAAAAAAAAAAAAGGAGTCTGTTAAATACATTCAACTTGTGCCAAGTTTGTTTGTAACAGTTAACATTCTCAGGGTTCGGTAGGTAATGAATCTTAATATCTTACAGATGAAAAATACCAAAATGCTATGATATGGGAGCTGCTCCTGGGACTGTGTAGTTCTACAGGCTCATGAAATAAATTGGGTTTTTCTGAACCCATCGGTGTGTGTGTACCTCGTCCCTGGAGAGCCTCCAGTCATCGTTGAGGTCCATCTCCTGGAAGGACTCGTGTGACCTCGGCCCATTTCTGATCTCAAGCACCTCGACGACGAAGGTCAGCGTGCTCTCAGGTGGGATTTTACCTGACCGAGCAGACACGGGACAAGAGGTCAGCTGACACTGAGACTGGCTTTCACCTGAGACTTCCGCGAGAGTACTTAAGAGAGAAGAAGAACTGCAGAAGTTACATCCTTTGTGAGCAAATCCAGCACCACATTCTGAGGTTAAGTCGAAAATGTTAATGTGACGCAAACTTAGGTTGCCATTTTAGTCGTTGTCATGGGCAGAGAAGAGATGGATGTAATTGTTAGGGTAACGTATGCTCACCAGGTCAAAGCATAGCATGGTTCACATGCTCCATGTTGGGAAAAAGTGGACTAATATTGCTAAATGAAACCATTCAGTGTGCTGAGTCCTAGAGACATAAAAGAAGACAGACAAGAGATATGCACGCATGCATGATACACAGGAAACTTTATTCTAAGCAGTCAAGCATGTTTCTTACACATGCAGTGCTGTGTAGCTATACGGCGGCATGCAGGGACGTTTGCATGAATATGAACCGAGCCACAGTACCTCTGCCTTCCTTCCCATAGGCCAAAGCGGGAGGTACAACGAGTTTCCTCTTCTCTCCGGAGCACATGTCCTGCAGGCCTTTATCCCAGCCTTTGATCGCTTCTCTGATGCCCAGGGTGAACCACATCGCCTGCTTGTCTCCTTCAGCTCGACTGGTGAGCAAACACAGAGGAGGGGGGAGTTAAAGGGCTGCAAAGGGCAGGAGAAGGTCTGGCTGACCCCCTCAGAGCAGATACCAGGGAACAATAAGGGAAAGTGGATTTTAAATATAATTTTATTCGTTATTTCCTGGTTGAAGAAGGCTGGCTCTGTGGTTGGTGCTGAACTGGAGTGCATCACTTCAGTCGCCGACAAAAGGACCCTCACCAAACCGCTCACCATCATGGACAATGAAAACCATCCCCTCCACAGCACTGTCAGTCGACAGAAGAGTCTGATCAGCAGGAGACGGCGCTTGCTGCCATGTAGGACTGATAGACTGTATAAATCATTCATCCCCAGAGCCATACAACTGTACAACAACACAACCCGCCAACCAAAGGTACCTCACTAGAAAAAACTCAGTTTTCTAGTGAGCCATGTTTACTGGCTATGTTGGCCCTTTGCACAACCCCCCCCACCCTCCCCCTCTCTCTCCACCCCCAGCCTGAACTCTTAATGTGTGTTTTAAATCACAAAGATCAATAAAGTACTTCTATTCTATTCTGGTTGAATATGAGAATTATAATCATTACAAAGATAAATCTCAGTCTGAGGAAAGAAAGTGGATCATTAGGAGTTTTTTCTCACTCACAAGTGATTTTAAAAGTCATACCTGGAGTGAAACATGGTCCCGTTCTCAAAGTACCCGTCGTGATGCACCAGCAGGATGTCTCCGTACTTGGACTTTCGGTGACAGAGAAAAGGTCTGTGCAGGACTTCTATTTGCACCTCAGCTTCGGGCACTTTCCCCCCGCCGACGGACACCAGCAGAGAGGCGCACATGCAGCTCAGCACGGTCAGCAGCATCGCGCCGAACGCCAAGAAACGGCCGGATCAACCCGCACTGAAAAGGCTTCTGCAAGTTCTGGGGAAGCAGCAGCGGCAGCAGCGGCGGCGGCGGTCGGTCCTCTACGTGGCAGTGACGTTTCATCGTGCAGTTTGTTGCAGGAAGTCAGATTTTCTGGTTGGTTCCCTTTATTCCCCTTTAAAAAAAAGCCGCGCTCACAGATCCACTTTGAACGGCCCAATCTTTATTAGCGCTCAGGGATTTATGAACTTTACAGTCATGCAGGCAGATTGTACACGAATCGCTCTACTGAATCCGCTGTGACGTCATTCTGGTGCATCCGAGCAGTTTTTGTCTTCATGCTGCGGCGACTCTCGGAGGTATTGTTCTTGCTGTTTTTGCTGTGTGACTGTCGGGTATTTGAACATTCACCCCAGAGGTGGCACACTTCTACAATACTGGTTAAAGCAGTTCACTGTGCACGAGTACACGTTTACATGCGATATCACAGCATGGCACCTTATAAATACATACTGTATACTACATACACAGGATCAAAAACATAAATACATCCCTGATTTACATACTACAGTATATATATATATATATATATATATATGTACATAAATATAGTAACAATTATATATTTGCCCTCTTTTGCAATGGGTTGTTTTTTTGTCTCTCTCACTACAAGAGGTACGGAATACACCGTGTTTCTGCATTAACAGTCAGTAAGTCATACACATTGCAACTATTTCCTATGATGCAATCATTCAAACGTTCCCCACCAACTCCAGTGTCCATAACAGTGCTGCCGTGGATGGAGTGACATCAACGGGGAGCCGCTCAGCGAGGCCAGTAAAATAATTCAAGGACCGCTCCCATGACTCCACATGGCTCAGAGCGGGTACAAAAGCGCTGCCTCTGCTCTTTTTAGTTATTTTTTAAGAGTTGAGACTTCAGTACAGATCCAAAGTATACACCCAGGATCAGAGAGAGAATTTGCAAAGTTGCAATCTGACGGAATCTTTTTTTTTTTTCTTCATTTTTCCAGTTCAGGTGAAATACTTGCAACCAGTGGAATCGATGAGGCAAGAGTCGGTGCATCTGAGCTGCCCAAAGGACCTGCAGAAAGACACGGACAATTAATTTAACAGGTAAATGATTATGCCAAGTGTATCCACTCCAAGTTTCTTTAATTGTCCCTAATAAAGGAACAAATAATCATTTAGCATTAACAGGAAGTTGCTCGTCTGGCTTAGAACACACCTGTCAAGCTCACTAATCGACGTGCTTAGTTTGATTAATTTGAACACAAAACAATTTTAAATGAGCTGTGGTTATACAATGAGTTGCATTCATAAACATTTCCCTGGCAGGGAGCATTGAATTGAAGCAGGAGTCACAGGAGAAATACATATAAGTAGGCCTTTTAAACCTCTGGTTACTACCAGGTAGCTAAGCTAACGGTGGTATCAATCTTCCCAGCAAGACAGCAAGTGTGTACTTTGTCCCAATATATTTAGCTAATCCTGCAAGTATAAAGCACGCAGAGCTGTGTGATTAATTAAAGCGATGTTCAGCAAGTGGTGCCAAGATCACGCTCCATCATCTCTGGATGCCTTCAGGCGCACCGCGGTAAATGTACAGTAGTTGATTCAAATGACCTCTACAATCCTTGGATGGGTGCAATTCAAAGCAGCCGCTGATGAAAAAGGAACCGCATTGTACGGTCTTGGCAACGCGCCCTCGAGGAAATGGCCGCTCGGCGTGTGTGTTTTGTGCGCGCGGGCAGAACGCCGCATTTACCCGGGGAGATAGGACCTGCACGTCTGATAACCAAAGTCCTTTCCATCACACTCCTCAATGCCATCGTGTCGGTAGCCGTCTCCACAGTAGGCCCACTTGCAGTCTGAGGTGGAGAGAGGGAGAGGAGGTTAGAACACGCTGGGGGAAAGAAGGTGAGGGCAAGCCAGGGAAAGCCGGGAGGAGACGTTTTGCTGATTGTTTTGGCACTCCTGTGTGTTTCAGCGGTGCCAATACAGCATTTTGCTGCTAATTTAATTGAACAGAGGAGAAGAAGAGGAAGAGAAGTGAGAGGTTTTGCATGACGGCAGGAAAAGAGTCGGCAAGATGAATGAAAGACAAAGGGAAGGTTTCACAGCGCCTTGCTGCTTTTCTCCTCTTGTCAAGTTTGTTTAGAGCCTGTGGTGGATCTCAGGCCCACGGACAGCATGGTGGCTTTTGAGCACCTAACCGTAACCTATTTGAGGAATATACTGTATATATAACGATTTCTGTTTCATCGGGGACTTTAATAGTAATAGAGAAATCTCAATTATTGTAGCCTACAAGAAGAGGGATTAGAATTGGTGCCTGTAAAGTTATGAATTCAGCCCAGCAAGAGTTGCTTGTGACTCACCGAGACAAGTGTCAGTGACGATCTGGTTTCCGTCATCACACTCCTCTCCGTGTTGGGCCTGCACCGTTCCGTCGCCACACACACCAACTCTGTCCGGGACTTTCTCTGTGGACTGGAACGGCTGGAAGGGCTGGAAGAGCAAACTTGACGTTTAGCGTCGACAGCTAAGCACCAGATGCATAGATGTGAGTTTGAGATCATGGAGCCATTTAGCTTTAAAAAAAAAAAATCACAGCACTGGTCATTTGTTAAAAGTGTTTTACAGCTCAGCATAGCAACCAGACGACACCAGTAGTCACTACCTGTATGGGCCTCCATCCATCTTTATCTTTGAAGTAGAGCACCCTCTGATCCTTCCTGAAAGCGATTGCGTTGTCCAGACGTAGACGCTCCATCTCCTCCTCACTGTTCACCACAAATATCTGCACAGATGCATACAGAAGAAAGCCAATGCTGATCGGTAATTATCGAATCTGTGGAAAGGACATGGATTCAGTTGGGATGGAAACACTGGAAAGTAAGCTGTTTTCCGTCAGCGCCGTCTTACCGCCGGGACTTTATCGAGGCCACCTCGCTGCGTGTAGCTTCCAAAAGGAGCATTATTTGCTCCCAGAGTGGAATCACAGTCACAGCGACCCGGTGGACCAACGGGACCCTTCTCCCCCTTTTCCCCAACTAGATAGAGGCCTGCAAAAAAAACAAAAAAACACACATCTGACTACGCTTCCTTGACACTCTTTCACCACCCTTTTAGTTATTTTGCTGCACACCGTGTTTGAGACTGAATGTGCAGGAGTGTGTGAGTTACTGTACCCGGAGCAGGTGGACCTGGTGGTCCCGGATGGCCGTTTGGGCCTGGGGGTCCTTGGGGGCCCATGACTCCGGGGCCTCCACCGTGGCCCTTTGTGCCCTGTGCAAACCAGGTAACATCCCAATGCTATAAAACAACGGTGTCCCTGTCAGCGTGCACATCATTCTCCGTGGTCTTTCCTCACCTGTTTGCCTCTCTTCCCCGGCCGTCCAGTCGGTCCTCTCCTTCCTGTGAGTCCCGGCTCTCCCTTCGGCCCCTGTTCCCCCTGGGAAAGGAGTTGAGGGATTGACCGTCTGAATCAGATTCTTTAATTTCATGGCTACGGATTTATTCTTACCTTCTGTCCAAGCATCCCAGGCAAACCAACGGATCCCTAAAGAGAGATGAAATGAAAATCTCGGCAGAAAGAGCACTCATGGATTGTTTGATCTCAATCCGCCTCTGAGAAAAGCAATTATCATCACTTCCAACCGATAATTCAGCAAACCGTTTTACTCATAAATCAACACGATGTGAAGCGCTCAGAATCGAGGCTGCGCACGAGTAGATTCTTAACAATTCTACAACAAAATATATTATTTTAAAGACTTCTCCACCAACCTTATCGCCTTTCGGTCCTGCTGCTCCAGCATCACCGTAACCGCCCTTTTGCAAAAGTACACAGGTAAAAATAAGTGATGAAAGGTTCGGTATTTTTGCTTTGACAAATGGGTGCATCATGACAAAGAATTTAGAACTAACCTTCTCTCCTTTGTAACCGGGCAAACCCTGAAATGATACACAGGAATATAACATATATACTTTCCAAACACATACATAAATTGTGTGAATGATGTTGTTAAGATGTGACTAACCTTTGTCCCTGGTGGACCCCTCAGTCCTGGTAATCCCATCAGACCTGGATCCCCTTTCTCACCCTAACAAAAAAAAAGCCACGCATACACGAGCGTTCACATCGTGTGAGGCCTCAGGACGGTGTCCGCTGGAGCGGCGGGACTCACCTCGGGTCCCTCTGGTCCAGACCATCCGGGTAGTCCTGGTTTCCCTGGGAGGCCTGGAGCCCCCGTACGGCCCTGACGCAACACAACCGCAATCAATCCCGGCACTTAGTGAAGATATTGGTGAAGTTTAAACTGAAGGAGTCTCTTCCTTTATACTCCATGGAGGACTCAATTTCCTTTTGAGTGTTGAAAGCAGGACATTTTAACCTTGATCATCTTAAGTAAACTCTCATTTGAATTTTATATTTAATACTGAAATGATTTATTCAACCGTGAGATTAAACGTTGGCCAAAAGCTAATCTAGCCAGTTGCCTTCAAGCAGGAGAACCAAATGTTTTTTAGCCGTGCATCTCGGTGACACCCGAAGGAGCATCCCAGAGCAAGCTGCCGCGCTAGCCGCATGCTCTCGTCTAGCTGCCCGTCATTAAAGCTGCAGCCTGTAGGGACACCGAGTACCTGCCGCTGTGCCGAGTGATTTATCACAAGAGAGCGAAAGCACTTAGGGAGATTAAAGTGCAGGAGTGGAGTGCTGGAGAGCCTGGATCAGCAGGACTGGAGTCCAGCGCATGGGGTAATGGAGTCAGGCCAAGGGAAGGAGAAGAGAGAGAGAAGCAGAGGCGAAGGAACGAAGAGGGGGGTGACGGAGGGGTGAGGAGCCGGGAGGACGACCGGTGACATCCAGGGATGTGGGCGAAGCTTTGCTGTGCGGTTCCAGCGGAGACTGACTAATGCGGCACGACGCATTTAGCGGCTGCAGAGGATATTCTGAGCGCATCAATAGATAAAATCGCATCACGGAGGGGGACGAGATAGAGAAAGAGAGAGAGAGAGTGTAATCCAGATCACATTATTCCAAGGACATGAGAGATGGCCCAGAGAGGGATGAGCGAGAGAACGAGACATGCCGGAGAGGTGGAGCGGCTCACCTTTGACCCCGGACGTCCAATTTCTCCCTGGAGGAAGGACAATTGAGGGGAGAGGAGATGCGGAGCTCGTTGGAGCACGAGGCACAAACACGCTTATAGCAAAAGAACATTAGGGATATATGTCAAGATAAAGGCACACAAAAACACACCTTCTCCCCTTTTGGTCCTCTTATGCCCGGGAATCCACCCCGACCCTGTAAGATGACACCAAATTGACATCCAGCTCACAGATTATGAAAGAGCACATTACATTTGTAGAATAATCAATGCAATAAAGTTCATTTTGTTACGTTTGCCTTTAACAATACGGCCGATTACACGGCGTGATGGATGGCTATGATGTAATCCGACTAATGGAGTGGTGCATCTCCTGTGAGGTTTCAAGCACCGTTTAATACTTTGATAAAAGTCCCTCACCTCTGGACCTCGGGGTCCTGGTTGTCCTGGAGGTCCGGGTGAACATCCAGGCATCACAGGTTTCAGTTTTTCCTGCACCCCTCCTCCAAAAACACTCGGCTCTAACACGCCAATACCGTCCTTCAATCAAAGATACACAAAGTCCAAGAGACGTGTGTAAGAAAAGGTCTATCCATGCAAGCATGCGTGTGTGTGTGTGTTTGTGTGTAAGCGTGTTTGACAATGCCTACGGGGCTGCCGCGCTTCCACAGCTGAGGTGGTGGAGGGAAGAACGGCGGCGGAGGCGGAGACGCGAGGCAGCAGGGGTCAAATGTCAACGGCTCGGCCAGAAACCTGAGAGCTGAGGGGGAAGACATGTCTGCCGTGACGACTTGTCGAAAGGCAACGCGCCCGTTGTTACGGTTCACTCACGCGCCTTACCTGAGCGGGCCGGGGGGATGCTGTCCATGTAGGAGTGACGGGCCCACGCGGCACACAGAAGAATGTGGAAAGACGCGGCAAGTGGGACAAAGTCCATCCTGGCGGTTTGCTGGAAGCACATAAAAACACACACACGCTTTTTTTTTGCTGAGCTTAATGCAGTTCCCAGCTGTCAGTTTTCCTTATACCTCTGCAGGCTGCCAGTATTTGATCAACCCCTTAACTTCAGACGCCCATCTCTCTGTCTCCCTCTCTCCTCAGAGCATTATAATACACTTGTTGAAAGCTCCACACTGCAGCAGATGCAGCCACCAGCCGTGCACCAACACCCTGCAGCCTTGTGCCAGAATTAAACCTGCATGAAGGGGATGGATGTCTGCAGGATTATTATGACCTCTGCAATGCACTTTATGAGAGAAGGTGTTACAAGCTGCTAGAACAGGTTCATGCACACAAACATTTACTATAGGCTCGTATTTCTTCTGTGTTGGATGCAGGTAGAAAGCCCTACGAAATCATCATGTTTTCAGCCACATTGATGAAAGTACGGCAGCTGATCCTTCTTTTTCTTTTCTTATCAAACGGACTCAACGCCTCAAAGCCCCGACGGCCAACGGGCGTTAAACGGAAGCGATGCCGATCTGCGCCCACGGCTTTTAAAACACAAGACCCGCCTTACCTTTCACTTGAAATTGTGCCGCACTTGTGGACGCGCCGTCTGTCGATCCACTGCGCTAAATGAAACGCGCGGCGCGCGGACCCGAGGAGCCGCCGCGCCGTGGCCAATCTGGACCGCTAATAAATCTGATCCACTTATCGACCCGCTTCTTTCCCGTCACTGCTCAATCACAGCACACAGTTGAGGAGAGAGGAGCTCTTTTCTTTTTTCTTTCTCGCCAAACGGCCAGCAGAGGCCACTGCAGACGAGGCGATCGGAGCGGCAGCGGCTCGAGTCCCGGCGGGTTTGGATCAGATGCGCATTGAAGGTTGTGTCTCCTGGATCGACTTCAGTGCAGATGGCTGAAGGGCCGATGGCACTGACAGTGTAAGTCATGCAACAGTCGGCATGCAACGCTCGCTTGGCACGTGTGATGTCTTCTCGGCAGTGAAACAACGCCACCTGCTGGAACTTTTACGTCATCGCAGGAATCAGACAAAATCTGTTTGCACTATTCTTACATAACTCCGATTCCCATCCCGGTTTGACATGTTTATGTCGGGCGACCACTAGGGTCAAAGACATCTGCTGCAAATATATAGTGAGGTGTGGTGTAACTAATTGTCGTACAATTGTGTGGCAATAAGATACACACAACGAGTAACTGAAATGAATACAAATATAAGTCCCTTTCAATGTGGAATGAATCAATGGATGTGGAAACAAATGAGCCACTGAAATAATTTTCTGAAGCAGAAGAAATGTTTAGGGGCGGCACGGTGGCGTGGTGGTCAGCACTGTTGCCTCACAGCAAGAAGGTCCTGGGTTCGATTCCGCCCAGTGGCCTTTCTGTGTGGAGTCTGCATGTTCTCCCCGTGTCTGCGTGGGTTCTCTCCGGGTTCTCCGGCTTCCTCCCACAGTCCAAAGACATGCTCTGGGGATCAGGTTAATTGGGGACTTTAAATTGCCCGTAGATGTGTGAATGTGAGTGTGAATGGTTGTGTGTCTCTGTGTGGCCCTGCGATTGGCTGGCGACCAATCCAGGATGTACCCTGTCTATCGCCCGAAGTTGGCTGGGATGGACTCCAGCCCCCCCGCGACCCTGTGTGCAGGATAAGCGGTTTGACAATGGATGGGTGGATGGAGAAGAAAGGTTTATCTATTTACTCAAAGTATAAAACAGTAACTAGAGCATCATGTAAATAAGCACTTATTCAAAAAGCATGGGCCCAAAAGCATTATTAGACCAAGGTAAACTATGTGTTAGTATGCTCTACTTCACCCCAAAACAACACCCCTGGTTTTTAAGAAAATACAAAAAGGTTTGACATTGTTATTATTTATTCATGTGGAGAAATCATAATTTTAAAACTCAATTTAAAGTGCAACTAAACGCATTTCCCCCCACCTGCTTGAGACCATTCAATGGACAGTCCAGCACCACTACAGACTGTAACACTACACATCAGAAGTGGATAACATAATAAAATAGTTTCTGTAGAATCGGTGAAATAAACTGTAAATCGAGAGCTGCCTCTTTAAGAAGACTCAGCTGAGACATATCTGTAAAACCCTTGAAGATAATTAAAAACATTCTCCTACACACAGAAACAGTGTGGCAGCAATCTAGTAGCCTATTTTATAACTGTTGTGAATGCAAAATGAAATCAAAGAACACATTGTTTTCCCCCTGAATGTACAGTGCAATACCTTTGAGTGTTTTGTGTTTTCAGTACATTAGGAGGTGGCGTCCTTTAAATAAGCTATAATATCCAGTCTTTCCTTTTTCTTTTTGAGGCCGTTGAAGACCATCTTGGTACCAGGAATGTACTTCTTAGGATTTTGAAGGTAGACATCCAGCGTTTCCTCATCCCACGTGATGCCTGAAAGACACACATTAAAGACACGTATGTTTTACTGTAAAGAGACGACCAACATGCATCCTCACCCCTCTGATGAGCTGTTTCGCTTGTATTGTATCATGTCAGAGAGCAGCTCTTACAGGGATCCGTACCTTTATTGATGTTGGCCTGTGTGTAGGAGAAGCCAGGCGCCTGTCCCGTCTTTCTTCCAAACAGACCCCACAGGTTGGGTCCCACCTTGTGGCGTCCCTCCTGCGTCACGGTGTGGCACTGGGAACATTTCTGGGTAAACACCTTCTTGCCTTTGTTGATGTCCGCCATGACCTGCGGCAGCGAGGAGAGAAACGATGGCAGTGAGAGGATGCTCACAGCCACGGTCCCCTGCTGTTTAATCAGCAGGAACAAGGGGAGAACGGGAGAGGGAAATAATCGAAAAGGGTTTGACAGGATTCCGGAGGTGAGATGAGTGGTTAAGTAACACCACACTTCCGCGTTGAAGAAGTCATGGGACGCTTTGTTATTATGAAGCTACAGATTGACTTGTGTGAGGTTACGTAACGTTGGCCCGAATCCGAAAACTGAACCAACGTTTCACTGACATTGACGGTAAGTTACAAAACTTAAGTTAGATAAAAAATATTACTGTGGTCCAATTTACCCGACAGGGTGTGTAGATCCTCCAGATAAAAAAAAAAAAAAACCCTCCTCCACGTCCCAAAGCCTCAGATCTTCCGGTGAAGGTAAAAAAGTTTTGCGGTTTCAAAAGCACGACTGAACGGGAAGCTCAAACTGTCAGATTTAGGGGAGCGGTTCAATAAACAGAGCAACTCAGTGAAGACGCCACAGCTCCAGAATGCGCGTCACACCCACATCGGCCCCGCAGGCAGGTGAGGCATGTTAACAACGCAGGTGAGTACATTTACTCAAGTAGTAGCAAAGTAGAGTTAGAATGGTTCACTTTTACTTAATAGGGAATTAGCCTACATAACTTACATTTAAATTGTCCTGTTTGAATATTTTATGCTTATAAATTGTTGGCAATTCAAACAAAATAAGAGTGTGTCTTGAATACAGCTTTATTACGCCGTAAGAGCTCTGAAAGTGCTTCTTCTTCACAAGGTCTACTTCCTGTCATTTACTGTATTAATTAAGAAATATGGCAACAGAAAAAAATGAAATGAAAAAAGTGGCCCATATTTAATGATTTTAGTGTTAAGTTTCAAAGCCTCTGTTCCATTTAGGTATTTTAGTGTTTTAGTGAGCATTATCGGAGAGCCAGCATGACGCCAGGGCCTCGAATGAACACACGTCAATACAGCCACTGTGAATGATTATATGTGCTTTGCTCTGCCGCAAAGAAGGAGGGGAGCAAATTCTGTTATTTTTTATCAAAGAGCAGGAATTGAAAATGTGTCATGTTGTAGTTCGACACATGACACATACCAGCGTCACTGCTCAGGACAGTGGAGTCGTTACCTTCATCAATCCCACTTTTGCAATATTTTGACATTTTTTCTATAAAGAGCCTGTGACCTGTGTGCGAGTTCACTGTGGAGGTTTTGAGTTGGTGTTTGTCCCCCTCTCTTGGTTGTGGGGATGTGTTACGTTTGAACGCTACCGTCGTACGTGCACTTCTCGCATCTTGCAGTTATGTGCTTGTGAATGGTCTTAATTGTGTCTTCATTTGCGTATCAAGCAAAGCATAACAAGTGGTAAAAGCAACAAGTAAAAGCCCAACTACTGTCTAAATAATAATAATAATTTATTAAAAGAGACGCATACATTTAAATATTTGAACGTGTTTTATTGCACATTGTAATGCTTTGTCTTCACAGTAAAAACACTGATATTTACACGCGATGGACGTCTGTGTTTCCTTTCTGATCTTTCATCCTCTCGAGGACTTATCGTCTGTCTCCACCTCATCTGAGCTGGCTGTGAAGTCAAAGTCTTCATCCCTGTGGGAAGAGAACACAGTCGTTGATGTTCATACCAAAGCAGAGCTCACGGATGTTAAATTGAACTGGAAATGAACGGTGAAGAGTCGCCTACCAGTACAAGCCAGTGTTGAACAACTTTTTATTGACCAGAGTCCTCAGAAGACTCCTGTATGGACTGCTTCTCCCAAATCTCTGAGGCAGCACTGGGCCCGGTGCTTCTCTGATTTTAGGGCCCTCGGCGCACCTTTGAATCCCCCCCCAGGACCGGCCGAACCTCTGGGGCATGTTGTGGGTCGAACTGGTGTCGTCGGCGGGATCGCTCTCCCGGCCGAAGCGCATGGGCATGTTGGCGTGCAGGTGGATCGGCGTGGCGGTGGCCGGGTACAGCTTGATGACGTTTGGGAGGCTGATTTTGTAGGTTCTGGGGGTCGAGAGTATGCGGAAGCTCTCGAGGTCCACACTCCTGCGGATTTCACTCGTTGTCTGGAAACAGAAATATGTTGAAGTTACGGGTCTGAACGACAAAATAATATTTTGGTGCGTTCTTTACTTATTAATCCATCAGTCAATTAGTCAACAGAATCAGTTCACCTTTCGTTTGTCAGTTCTTTCAGCAACAAAATGCCAATTGATTGCAGGCTCCATCTTCTCAAACATGAGGACTTGGAGTTTTTTTCTTTTGTCATATGTGACAGTAAAGTTTTAGCTTTTTTAAAATCTTGTTTTTTTTGGTCTTATACGGCTCAGCTTAGATATCTTTTTTTTTTTTTACATTGTCCTAAAAACCTAAAAAACAATTCACAGAATTTTCAAAAGATGAATGTAGAAATAATTTGACACACTATCCTAGTTTTTTAATTTATATTTAATGACCATTTATTTATATATTATATTTATATTTATTTTATTATAATTTGATTTGCCAATGATGAAATAAAAACAACTATGCTGTATGTAAAGATAACTGGTCATTTTCTGTATATACTTCTAAAAGATCTATGGCATTATGATAAATGGGCTCATTTGTTATTATTGGTTGTATATGACGTTGACAGATGCACAACACAAGGGAAGTAGTGCTGAAGCCAACTGGATTTGCTGATAAAATGTCAACAAATCGTTACAAATTCTGTCCTTAATTTGCTCTTTCTCTTTCTATCCAGAAGACCCAACTCACGAAATACTCAATTCGAGATCAGGAATGACAAAGACAAGTATGAAATCCTCACTTCAATAAAGCTCACACAGCAATTTTAGCATTTTTGCTTGAAAAAAATCCAATTATCATTTGATGAAATCAATTAGTTGACCAACTTTTCATCGGTGATGGAAACCTGAACACGGCAAGTCCCGCTTCCCTTCTCCAGTTGGATCGTTCTTACCTGCTGGTGTGGCTGCTTCCTCACAGTGTGTCCTCCACCATTGCTGCTCAGCAAAGTCCGGTCACTGTTGATAGATTTCCGATAGACCTGCGAGTCGGACGCCGCTTCTCCTCCCAGCCCCCCCAGCATCAGGAGCGCCGACAGAAACGTTGTGGTCGACATGTTAGCCCGGAGACACGTTCCATCGGGACGCGTGGACCACTGTTATTAAAGACCCCTGAACACATACGTCACCTGTCGCATGTGATCCAAACTCCCACATTTAAGTGCACAAAATGACGCATGCACGTGTACCTCCAAACACCAATTCAACACATTCCCGTCTCAATATCAAGCTCTGAGGGATGCATTTGAAAAGGCACGTATTCCCTAATTGGGGTGATTAATGAGCCAGTTGGTATTTTTTGGAGCCTGGAAATACTGAATGGGAGCACCGAGCTCATGTGCTATAACTAGTATTGTTCAATTACATAAAGGCTGCCTTTTGACAAGTGTATCCACCGTGTATTACATCTGGGAAGCTTTGAAAGATCAGTTTGAGTTGACACGCTGATGCCATTTGGTTGTTGATTTTTACAGCTTTCTTTCTTTTTCTTACTCACTTCTATTGTTTGAGGCCTTCAAATGTGTATAATGCTGTTGTTGTGTATCCAAAATGTCATTTGAAATGTATGAATTGGTACGTTATCCCCATGGTTGACGTCACTGCTTGTTTTGGACCCGGTGGATGAAGAGGAGAACGGGAAGACGAGCACATACTGGCCGCGAACTCCGTAGACTTGGGTTCTTTCTATTGCATATTTGAAGGCCAAGCCATTAAGGTTTCTTCACAAGGTTTCTAAATTGGCTCGTATCACTGCGTTGGGGTTTTGCGCCGTTGGTCCTATTTCGAAGCGACACTGAGAGAAATCTAACGACCAGGAGATATTTGCTTTCTTTGCCATAGCTGTGATTCATCGACTGAAAACACTGCATCTAGCAACCGTTGGGCTCCGACAGGCATTTTTTTTTAGCGACACGGGAGCGGGGACGACGTCACTCACCATTCCTGTTTCCCAACTCGTTGCAGAGAACCACAAATGACTCACACAGTATTTGAGGTATTTCCGGCGCGAGACGAAAAGGCTTAGAATGACAACCGGCACGGAACTTTAATTTGACCCCTGCGTCACGACGCTGACATTGTTTCCATTTGCCATGTTGCCACGTCGAGTCCCGCCCTCGACGCCGTGGTTTGGAGCGCCTCCGCTACTCGTCGCGGGGAGAAGCATCTGGTTTCACTGATTCAATATCAACCGCAAGATGTTTTTTAGGGCCAGGGTTTCAGTACCTCTTTCAGTATTATCATTTACCTCCCTCCTACCCCCAGCCCTTGTCTTTACCCCCCCGTCCCCCTCCATCCCTTGACCCAGGCCCCAGCTTGCAGACCAAGGGGTTCTGGATTTACGATGCTGTCACTTCTCCAGAGTCTTATCCGCGCAGGGCTTCTTATACCTCAAGCTCTCCCTTTGTTCTTTCCCCGAGCTCCCCGGGCACTCCCTCAAAGACCCCGTTCTCCGCCACTGTAATTCTCTCTGTTTAATGTTCATAATGTGCATCCCTCGCCACCCCGGCGGCCTTTTCATCTTTCCATTTTCTTGCGCTCGGGGCCTCCTCTCCCTCCCCTCTTCTCTGCTCCTGCATAGCTGTCGGGCTTGAAAACAGACGCAGCTTCGTCGGGAGAATTACTGCCTCGCAGGCCGGATTTAATACACGCTGAACCTCCCTCTTACAGTGCAACGTGCTTTTGACTTTTGACTCGTGGTGCACCCACGGTTCGGCTTGTTTGTGCAAGAAGAAGAATTTCGTGGAACGTCGGTCTTATCAGTTTTCCTTCGTGAAGTCTTGGATGCCCGATCAAAAGGAAGAGAAAGACTGATAGAGAAACAGAATAAAAGCAGACGGAAGAAGAGACAGAACCAGGAAGCAGATTGAAAGCGGCCACAGTGACACAATTGATCCTTACCTGTCTGCCTCTCCGTTTTTTTTAAATCTGGCAGCTTTGCCGGCATTCCTGTCCGGATATCCCCGGGATGATTTGTGGGAATGTGCCGTTATCCCCCTGTTGAGCTGATTTATGTGGTGTTATCTACCCGCTCACTTAGACATCAGCAGGGTCATCATCACAACACTTTACATGCCCGAACACTCAGCAAGGAGACGCATTCATCAAGCCCATGTGACGGGTTATAGTTTCATCAATGATCAAATCCATTTCTGCGGGATCACTGCTTTGTGATGTATGGGACAGCGGTCAGACAGACACACAGCCGCAAACCGCCGATTGTGTGGCCGCTGTAATTGTGTGTTGTGTGGCTATGGAGGGGGGGGGGGGGGGGGGTCATGGATTTGTGTCTGTCACGGAAATGGAGAAAGGCAGGAACTAGAGCAGCTTTCTTTCCTTAGAATGTTGGGCAGTTTTATGTTCCAGTCTGTAACCTGCCACAGCTGCCGAGGCCTGAGCCCCTCGATGAAAGCGTCTCAGGAAAAGACCCTGAACTGTAATTTTCATTTTCAGAAAGCTTGTAAAACTGTGCAAGAACTGAAAAGACCATATATTATTGCAAAGACAAGGCTGGCAATGTTCTCCATTTTTGTTATTGTCAACAAGTCCCAAGAAAAGAGCGGTTTCCACCCTCTCTGTTAGGGGCTCTGAGCTCGACTTGGTTGGTTAGTTCTGAATTCATGAACCCAAAAGGCCGAATAATTGGATTAAACAGCTGGGAACTGATTGGTTTCTGATGGCTCTTCATATGATTGACTAGGAAAAAATGATAGATCATAAGTTAATCATAAGATCATAAAATAAATCAATGATAGGCTTCACACTAGGCCATTTTTACTAACCCCTCTCCAAATGTCTTGAATAATAATCAGACTAAAACACAGACATTTCTCTACGTTCTTGAAGTTATTTTATACATTGTCATCTGTAATTTGTGGGGGAACGGGGAGGGGGTGGGGGTGCCCCCTACATGGCACAATGCTCTTTGTGTGCAGACAATTTAAATGTGCAAATAATCCCAGACCCTTGCCTAGCTCAATATGTTTTCACATGATTTAATTGGTTATCAATTATGGCTTCATTCAGCGAATCAGTATCAGACACATGTTGCATTCAGGTGCTGAGTCAAATCAAAAGTAATTACGGTCTGTTCTTCTGTTGAATGTTTTCTATTTATTTAAATATGTTTGCAAGCCAAACTGGATCTGGATTTGGAAAGACCGTTTTGGCTTGAAAAAAAGTGTTTTGTAATGAAGAAAGGGAGCTTTCAGCAGTCCTGTAAGTCAAGTGGATCTGAGACAATACTAATTCTCATTTATTTCTCTAGTTTCTTTATTTGTGCTACTTTTGTTCAACATGAAATAGTTTAGAAGCTTTTTGTTTTGCCTCCTTTTTGCCCATAGTTTGCTAAAAAGGTTTTACCTCTGTGTTCTTTTCAATTTTACACATACACTAGATGGCGCTATCGGTCTGGATGATCAAATTCGGTTTTGAGAATTCATAGATTTGTTTGTAAGAGCCGCTTTTCTATTTTATTTCTTCAACCTTTTATTTTTCTATCAGTTTTAGGTCTTTTGTCAAGGAAATTAGTATTTGTTGTGTTTAGTGCAGAATGGTGTTCTCTGTGAGACGTGTCGTCCACAAGGAGGCGCTCTAACACCCTTTTTTCCTTCTGACGAGGAGGAGGAGCACCCGAGAAAAGGAGGTATGGACTCAGAGGAGGAGGCTGAACTAATGGAAGAAGGAGTGTCCCTTTAAAAAGGGGAGGCGCTGTTGAGAAGAGGAGGCCTTTAAAGCAGCGGCCAATCAGATCCTTGTTGAAATTCACCAATCAGATTGAGAGGGAGAGGCAGGCAGGAAACGAGTAAAATGACCCTTGATGAGAGGGGGGAGGTGGAGGATGGGATGGATGAGGGGAGGAAAAGGGGCCCTGCGAGAGGAGTGTGTGTGTGTGTGTGTGTGTGTGTGTGTGTGTGCGTGTGTGTGTGTGTGTGAGAGACGCTAAGTTGAAAAATCTGCCACAGCACATGTTTTTCTTATATTTTTCTTATAAGATATATTCCTTTTCCCAAAACTATAAATGCTCACGGTCCGTTCAAGTGTAAAGAGATAAGAAAACGTGCAGACAGATAATGAGCGATTCAACTGAAGCTGCAAAATACTGTTATTAGAGAAATATAGATGCAAGATGTGTACAAAGTCTAATCAAACCTCTTTAGATTCGGGGAAAAAGAGCCGTGTTTTCTGAATATACCACATTTCTGTTGTTTCGGTCTCTGTCATTTTGCTGTTTTCCTTTCTGTTACCTCATTTGCATGTTTACTCAGCAATATATCTGATGAGTGAGTTTCATGGTCCATGGGCTTTAAAAATCATCTTAAAACACTGATCCATGAATCACAATGACAATGTGAGAAAATAAGCAAAAGCTTAGGTTGTGTAGATGAAAGCACACATATCAGTGAAGGCAGGAAGAGAAAAAGAAGCAGAAAATGGCGTCGTGATTAAAGAAAGTGTTGCTCCTGACCTTCGGGCCTGCTCTCTGCTCCCAGTTGGCAGTTTGGAGGTCAGAAGTCATCTTAGACACCCACACGGAGAGCTACACTCTGACCTCTGACCTCTCTCCACCGGGCAGCTGAACCCTGTGCAGGGAGGAAGAGAAATGGAGGAAAAATGCGCCTCTATCTGATTCCCTAAAAACATATTTTGTCTCAAGTCACAAAATTCGACACATGGAATAAATCTGAGTCATTTAAATGTAGGACTGAAGAATTCAAAAAGGTTTTTGTCCGCTGTAACCACGATGATTGAGGTGGGACTGTTCGACATTATCGCTAATTGATAACATGAGACTTTCATACACTGAGTAACAAACAGGAAGCATGCGCTGCTCACTTTCTATTGCATGCTACATGGGGAGAGGAAAATATACCAGACTTTGATCAATCATTGCTGTTTTGATCATTTCTGAATGTGTTTATCTGGCGAAACACTGATTTGGAGTCAGACGTGGCAGACCAAATTAAAAAGCGCTCGGTTTTAAATAAATATAAAGAACTTCATAGAGCGCAGGGAAACATTTTTCAATGGCCTAATCACAGCCATTGATTGATTTTATTATAGTAAAATTGTGTTATTGCATAAATAAGGTGAAGGGAAATCTATATAAACTTAGTTCACTTAATTTGAACAGAATAAGCTTCGTTAGTTCGCAGACTAAGCTGGAAAATTGAGATGTTAAGTAATGCACAATGTGTGTAGACTTTATACTAGACATTATAATTACGTTAAACTAGTTATTTCCATGTTGTAGTGCTGGGAAAGTCACACAAAACCCTTAATTAAATCAGATATAATATAACAGCCCGCTAAAAGTGTTCCATTCAAAAAACGGCCTGAAGTATTGAAGTGCCTGCACTTAGATGCTTTCAGTTACAGTACAAACACTCGTGTTTCATTTCCAGAAAGCTTTCGACCTCCGATGCATTAAATAACACAAAATAACATTGAAAAGTAGTTCTACTTCCTTAAGTGTGCTGTTTTGCTGTGCTGTTAGTGTGTGTTCATATGTAATCTCCATATTAGAAAGTACTTTTATAAATGGTTTTGGATGTTTGTAAATTTTGAAATTTCAAATTCAAAAAGTGTCTGCATGACAAAAGCTCATCAGTTCTGTTGTGCACCACTCAAAACCTTGGCTCATAGAAATAACATATTCAATAGAGCCTATTTACATTCAATATACTACATATTACGTTCAATAATAGGTTCAGATTTACTGATTCTTCATTTAGGTGTTTGTAAACTGTATGAATACTCACCTTCTTATTTATGAGTCTAAAACAGCAATACAACTTTTTTTGACTTCTCCATCACAGTTGTTTTTTTTGTATGGTATTCAGAAGCTAGAAAAGTTCCATTGTTTTTTAGTTTGAATTGTGATCAATTTATGAATTATTTTATTTACTGAATTCATCGCTACGATAATATTGAAAGCCATTCAGCCACTTCAGTCCCTTTTAAAGATAAAATACTGCTATAATAAGCACGCGCTGTGTGAGCTCTCGGTGTGTGTGAGGCCCTTTATGTGTGGCTCTGATGGTTTGTGATAGTTCTCCTTTAAAAGCATCCCTACGTTCCCCTCGTTCCCCCTCCCTTTCCCACTCGCCCTGTGCCATTCCCGGCAGCCAGAAATGGAGTGTACAAAGTGTGTGTGTGTGTCTGTCTGATACTGACACACACACACACACACACACACACACACACACACACACACACACACACACACACA